GAGTCAGAGTAAATACATCGGCTTACCCACGCTCAATCACACACATCGCCTCATACGACCCGCTGTCCTGAACTGCTCGTCGTAGCGGGCGCTGCCGGTACCGGCCCTACCATCATAAACGTTCAGTATGCCTTATTCATCTAGAAAACACCATCAAACAGGATTCCATAAACAGTACTATGCTGGTATCGATGTGACTTGCCCGCCTTCCTTGGCAGACCACTTTGCACATTGCCAGCATGCATTTTCTTTACAATGCTCCTTGACACCACAGCAAAGCTGGAAACCGACAAGTGGAGGCGCATAAGTTGATCAGAATGAATGTCAACGAGAGCAGCTCTGGAAGGCAATTATAATCGCTCAAAACCTTTGGTGAGACGGCCAAGTCAGAGTTGTAAGAATCAGCGACAAGGACTTAGTTCAGACTATGGTTTCCCTAGTTGGTTAGAAGGGAGCTGAAAACATCAAGCTCCATAACATCACCAATCCGAGCATGTGCAAATCCCAATCGGAGACATGTCTCATAGATTGTAAATCAGTAGCAGGATGTCACATTGACCCGATGTGCTTCGTCGACCTTGGTGGTGGACCATGCGAAGTCGTAGGGCGGTTTCAATCAAGCATACCCATGCTGATTCACGGCCGGATCAGACAGAAAGGACCGCGCACGGTACGAGGATTGCTGTTTTACAACCCCGTGGAATGACAAGGCAATCTAGATCAGACATACGACCTGATCTCTATCTTCTTCTTGTTCTAAGCGAAGGCCACCATTTATGATCACTATCCGGGTGACGACGAATCCGTCAGTGTACAGATGAGGCGAGTGATAGGTTTTTGACAGAAGCCGATGACTGGCCCATTATATGAGACGATGATATGATACGCGAGCTGACATCGCTTTCAATCGAATGACGGCACGCAAATGGCTGCACGGCTGCTCACCCACGCGGCTCAGCTAGAAGCTCATAGTATCCCCTCCAATGGCTCAATGCGACAGGAATCGTCTCCCCTTTGCCCTACGCCTGGCCAAGATTTTGCGTCCGCTACGGGACCGCATCCTCGCAAGGAAACCGTGTCTGCGCTTGCGCTTGCGCTGCGATGGTTGATATTCTTGTCCATAGGTGGTATGACGTGTTTGCTGGAGAACGGAGAGAACTGGAGACGGCGTGCTGAGTGCTGCCGTTAGTGGGCGCATTACGCGACTCGCGAGCAACGACGGGACCGGTCGCGGCAGCACGGCCGTGAGAGACGGAGCAGCGCGGGACAAGGAGACATTTGGGGGAATTATTGGCCGCAGCGTTGGCGGACGAGCGAGTAGCCGCGATAGCTGAAACGGTATGCGAGGCATGCTGAGGTCCGTCGTTGAGCTTGCCGTCCTGGGCGACCTTGCGAGGACGAGCACTAAGGGGACCCCGAATGGACGCTGTTGCGGGACCTCAGAAACCATGTTCGCAGGGAATGATCTGCATGTTCGCCTAGAATTGCAAGTTGACTCTGCACACCATCTCTTCCGCCACTGCTGGGCCGCTCTATGTCGACGTATGCGCCAGGCAAAGGCCGCCAGTCTGGCATAACCCCTCCAGGCAAATCAACTGGCATTCCTGTCCCAGGCGGTGTCAGGTCGCGAGCACCTTCGTCCGCAGGTCATAACCCTCCACTGTCATCAGACAATGAATACGCCTCTAGGGCCTTCTCCGATGCAATCAAGGCCTATGATCCTGCCCAGCATCGCCACGGACGTTACAGCGATGTCTCGGGCACGTCATTGTCGCCTCCATATAACGGACGACAGTCTGTCACTGGTCGACCATCCTCTGTAGCCTCTTCCACGTCTGCTGTGAGCTCCGCTCCACTTCGAGCAACTATTTCAAGCTCAAGGACTACGACTCATCGTCCTCCTAGCCGTCAATCCGATGTGATTGCTCGCAGCGCTAGTCGTACTGGTAGGCCGTTTGAGGTGGGTGACAACGTGCGGATTGAGTCTCTCGGTTTCGAGGGAACGCTAAGGTATCTGGGAGAAATCGATGGCAAGCCTGGGCACTGGGCTGGAGTGGAATTGAATGGGGCATTTGTTGGGAAAGGCAAAAACAACGGAACTGTCAGTGGGTGAGCCAGCTGTTCATTATAATCTCTACGTTGAGGCGGACGGTGCTGCACACAATGACTTTGATGTTGTGCACTTTGGATGGCATCGGTCATTAGGAATAACAGCCACAAATGCATTCGCATTGACTCTCAGCGTTAGATAAATCATGCACCGACCGAGGTCTTTTGAATCATTTGCTAGTCTCTGTCTCCAGTTGCTCACATCGCCGTTTTGCTTGTCTGATAAAGAAAATCATACTTTGTATGCCTACCTAATTGTGGCGTGTTCGTCGCCTCAACGAAGCTGTCCGCCCCCACAGCCGATTACACTTCCTCTTCCCGTCCTTCATCCGTTGCTTCCTCTCGCCATGGCCGAATGACGCCTTCCATTCCATACTCGGGTTTTCCAGCCTCCGCTTCGGCCACCATGCCTGCTGGGCGTAAGACCCCATCAGTATCGCTATCGAATGGACGCATCACGCCGTCCATAAGTAACGGGCGGGGCACCCCTGCGGCATCGACAGGCCGACGAACACCAGCGATACGTCCTATCTCTACGCGCAGCGGCTCTGCTGGATCGGCTCGCATGATGAAAATGACCACTCCTACGAAAACTGCGCCTCCACATGCTGCAATCACCCCAGGATCGCGTGCGTCGAAGTATGTGGGCATGACTGCGAAGCAGCTCGGTTCGCGGGTTTCAGCGGCAGCCAGGTCTGGCAATAGCAGCCCAAGCAGATCGACAGGATTCTCGCCGACGCAACGTCCTGGCCATGTCTCCTCCCCTACCTCTCCATTCGCTACACCGAAGCCACCCTCCAGAACATCCATCGGCATTGGCATGCCGTCCCCTACTTCCGCAAGGCAACGTACTTCACTCAGTACTCCGCGTGCTCGAGTACTCAGTTCTGTTGCGTTGCCGCCTCCCGCCTCCCTCTCAAGTACCTCGCTAATGGCTCGTTCTATCTCAATGACCGAGGCCAACGGCGACGTCGGCTTGCTCTCTGACCTGCAACAGAGCGGGAAGGCATTGCAAGACCAGATCGCGGAGCTCATGTCCGGCAAGGTGCCACCCAATCCTCGTCCAGAGTCCTCTGCATCGACAAGCTCGAGCAGTGTCTTTCCGACGAGCATCAGCAATGCCTTCGAGCTCCAAAATCAGGTCGAGATATTGCAGTCGCGCCTGGATGCCATGGAGGATGAGAACAAGCGATTGCGAACGGCAACCGAGAAGTTCGAGGCCGCAGAGCAGGAGACTGCCAGCCGCATAGAGAGGATTTCCGCTGATCAGAAGCAGGGCGCTGCACGCGTCGTGGAGCTGGAGGCTCAAGCTCGGAACAACGAGCGCACACTCAGTGAACGTGACACCACCATCGAGAGTCTCGAGAGGGCCGCCAAACAGACAACTGCGGATATCGACAAGATCAAGAGCGAGTTCGAAGCTCGCGTCAGGGACGTCCAATCCAAGCTGGATGATAAGGAGGCCCTGGTCACGAACCTGAAGGAGTTGCTCGAAGAGAAGGAAGGCCTCCAAACCGAGAACGACGCTGTCGTGCGGGCCAAGGATGCGGAGATTACTCTGTTGGAAGCGCGGGTGCAGAAGGCATACGTGGAGCTGGAGGAGGAGAGGAAGGAGCTGGGCGGGCAGGTGGATGAGCTACGGAACGCAGGGCAGGTTTGTCCAGAGTTTGTTATCGCAGCTACCGCTCTTGATTGTTTGTGCAGGAAACCATCGCGCTATACGAGGAACGGCTCAGCACGGCGGACAGCCAGCGGTATGAGCTGGAGGACCTCGTCGCGTCGCTACAAGAGCAGCTCCGTGCGCAGGATCGTCCGCCATCCCCAACCACCGCACACGGCCAGGCCATCACGGCGGTAGAGATCGACAACGAGGCGCTCCGAGAGCAGGTGCAGCACCTGCAGAAGAGGATTGCTGCGCTGGAGGATCAGCTCGAGGATGCGCATGCCACGCTTGAGAAGGAGGAGGCTGCGGCGCACGAGCGCATGGTGCAGTTCACGGACAGGGAGGACGGCCTGCACAAGGAGCTCGCGGCGGCGAAGGAGGAGACGCAGCAGGTGATACGTTCGGAGAAGACAGCACGCCAGCGGATTGAGGAGCTCGACGAGGCTCTGCGGGAGAGCAAAGTTGCGTTGGAGAATGCGAGAGCAGAGATTGAAGGCCTTCGGAGCGAGATTGCCGTACGTGCCATGGACAGCCACTTTATTGCGCGCACTGATACCGTGTCTTTCATCGTAGGATCTTGAGAGCATAAACTCGATCGCATCCGGCGATGAGAAGATCAATGCCGTTATCCGTCGGTCAGCAGCGGACCGCACTCGTTTCATGGAGGAAATCGAGCATCTCAAACACCAGCTCTGCGAGTCTCGATCCGAACATCCTCACGACGTCAGCACACCCATTGCCGGACCAGCCGAAATTGAGCCCAGGATTCACGAGCTTACCGAACTACTGGAGAAGTCCAAGACGGATACGGCCGAGGTGAGCACATCGTGCTTGCTGTCCAAGTTCATATGCGGACGCTCACCGGCATGGCAGTTGCATGGGCAGCTCGCGGAAAGCAAGGCCGAACGAGACTCGGCGCATGCGGAAGTGGCAGCGCTGCAGTCGCTGGTGGACGAGCGCACGGCGGAGCTGGAGAACCTGCGCAAGAAGGTCAACCGCGAGATCCCTGTGAACGGGATCGAAAGCGGCAAGGCGTCCTCGTCCAAGCATGACATCTCGAGCGCGCGGGACGAGATCACCGGGCTCAAGTGCGTGTTGCGATGTCGGTTTCCCTTTCTGTGAGAGTAGGCTGTTGAACGCTCTCATGTCAGGCACATCGTGCAAGAGCTGCAGATGGAGAACTCGGCACAGGCTCAGCGGAACAAGGCGCTCGAGCAGGAGAACAACTTCCTTCTCTCGGAGACGGACCAGCTTCGTCAGGTAGATTGGGCGTTACCGCATTAATGCCAACGTTGTTCATCACTTCGTTATAGGAACTCAAGACGCTCGAGGAGAACGTCGAGCAGAGTTTCATGCGCGAGGAGGAGTCGCTTGCCTACGCGGCTGATGGTGCAGGTTCTGCGGAGGACATTGTGAAGATGCAGAAGAAGCACGAGGTGCGGCGCTCAACGGTCTCTAGTATTTGCCAGTGACTAACACGGTGCGGCAGACTGAGCTCGAGCAGCTGCGCAAGAAGCTTGTGGAGGCGGAGCGGACGAGCGCGCGGACGATTCATGATGTGAGTATCTGCAGAATGACGTGTGATTGCGTATTCACGGTGCATTGCAGCTCAATAAAGAGATCAGCGAGCTGGAGACGCTGATTGAGTCGAAGGTACGTCTTGCGTCCTGTCTTCCGAGGAACGCGCTGATTGCATTCTTCAGATCTACCGGGAAGTACGTACTAGCTTTCGCCATCCCTCTTTAATGATGCGTACTGATCGCTTATATAGGAAGAGCTCGAGTCCGAGATCGAGAAGCTCAAGGACAAACTCGCACGCTCGCAGAAGAAGATGTCTCGCTCCTCGGTGTCCACACCCACCTCCGCGACCCCGTCCGTGTCCGCGTCATCTTCGTCCACGTCCACGCCGAACCTCGAGACCGTCTGCGAGATCTGCGAGCGCCCGGGGCACGACATCTTCACGTGCGACCTGCTCAAGGACGAGGGTGCGCCGCTGGGCATGGACGGCGGGCTGATGACGGAGGGGCTCGAGGGGCTCGAGGAGGAGGTGTGCGACGAGGAGCTGATTTGCGAGGACTGTGAGGGGAGGGGGCACTTGGCGGCGAATTGCCCGCATTCGCTGGATGTGTTCTGATGGATTTATTCTCTGGGTTGGAACGGAGGCACTCGATCTGACATTCATTTTTTTTCTGTGTATCATAGCACAACACATTCTGTTCTGGTTAAATATCGTCTTATTTGACTCCTGACCGTGTAGTCGATCCGCGAATACCCTAGACGTACAATTACTATCCTGATGCTCTGAACCTCTCATGAGAGTGGCGTGAGAGGACACACGTTATCGCGGGGTGACCATCTGCGGACGCGGTACGTACGCACAATCATGCGTGTACAGGCCGCGGGGTCATAAGGACATGTATGGGGCGAGGCGGTTCGCGGACCAACAAATGGACCGGTCGCCGACGGGCTCCGGCGTGTGCGCACGCGTGGCGCTCGCAGTGGCGGCGGGCCGGGTGGCGGTCGGGGACAGAGTTCGAGTCGCTGGGACGCGGCGCGGGCGAGCGCGCTCCGGGGCACGGCAATCGCGGTGGAGACGCTGGCGGGACCCGGCGGGCGGGGCTGGAACGCGGTCCGGGCGGGCGGCACGCGTTTGTGGCGGAGGATCGCGACGCGGTCTCGCGCGACGGATGACGTAACGCACAGGACGCCACTGATGTCATTTTTGCGGAGTATATATCGTGTGCCGACTCCAGACTTATTGCCTAGTTCACGTCTGGCTCTGCCCCAAATACCATGTCGTACGCTGCCGTCGCCGCTCACGACGCCCCGCCCCTCTCCCAACAGGTGCAATCACTCTTCCTTTCCTCCTCGGGAACATCCTAACCTCTTTACCCAGCCACACCCTGACCCCGCACTCTACAACACAGAGCCCCCTTCTGCGAGCAACATGGCAAACGAGGCCGCGAAAGTGAATCCCGCCCCATCCGTCCCCTCCTCCAACCCTGCCCCGCCCTCCTCTGAGAAGGCACCAGCACCCGGCTCCGAGCCCACATCACACGACGCAAAAAGCAGAGCACAACACTACATCCACGAGGCAGAGGAGGAGAGCTTCCACCTCTGGGAGGTTACCAAACACTACCTCTTCCGCCCCGCAGTCGCAGGTGGCCTCCTTGGTCTCTGTGAGTCCTTCTCACCCAATGTTGTATTCAACGAATTAACTCTACTCTCGAAGTGAACATTGGGCTTATCTCCGGCGCAGGATATGTGTACTACACTGAGCCCCACCTCCGTCGCGATACGCGCGCCCTCGCCTCCACCGCAGCAGCAGCCCTTGTTATTCTTTCTGGCGAATCCTACGCGGCTGAGAAGTACCGTCAGACTCCTCATGGCAAGGAGGAAGAGCGCAAGTCCAAGCAGGAAGGTGCCGCCATCTACCGCGTCACAAAGGAGCACCTTCTCCGCCCGGGAGTGCTTGGTGGTCTCCTTGGTGCTGGTGGGTGTCTTCCGTCATTCCAAGCATCTCGTGTGCTAATGTTGTGCAGTGAACGCCGCCATTCTTGGGACTGTCGGCTACTTTGCGTATAGAGAATGGAACCGGCCGACGTGGGACAGGCGTATTGTCACTGCGGTCTCTGTCGGTCTCTTGACGCTCTGGTCTGGCGAGGGGTATGTGCGCGTCATTCGTGTTATTGACTCCGACTCATCCAAGTTTGCAGATACCTTGCTGAGCAACACCGCAAGGCACACTAGGTGGACTAGTTCGATGTAAAATTATAATGGACAGGACAACAATGTGTGAACTATTCCCGTCCGCAATCCTGTATCTTACCACTAGTATACTCCCCCGACATCCGACAAATGACATGATGTGCGAATTAACACGTCATCGTTTCGCACTGGCTTTCAGTCAGGCCGTCCTGTGGCTCTTCCATGGTATCCGACGATGCTGAGGAGCCAATGCATGATTAAGAGGAGCACGGGCGCCACAGTGAGCCCATTCCCACGGAGCCTGCCTAATCTGGAAGTTGAGTAAGCGCTTCAATGTGGCGGAAAGTACCGAAACTCAAAATTTATGGGACGAGTGTCGCATACGGCTGTAATCAGTCAGACTGCTTACAACGCCTCTGCACCTCAATCACCGTCCCCTGTAGCCCACCATGTCTCGATTTTTCCGGCAAGCAGGCGACAGCGACAGCGAATCCGAGTCCTCTGAGGAGGAGCTCATGTCCAGCGACGATGAGGGAGCCGCTGCAGCAAAGACACCTGCAGCAAAGCCCGCGATGTCGCGCTTCCTGCGCAAGCCAGGGGGCGCGTCATCCTCAGAGAGCGAGTCTGAGGAGAGCGAGAGCGAGGAGGAGAGCGAGGCGAGCGAGGAGGAGGGGGAGGGCGCGAAGAAGCGGAGTCGGTTCCTCGTGGCGGGGAGCGAGGAGGAGAGCGATGAGGAGGTGAAGAGGGTTGTTAAGAGCGCAAGGGATAAGCGTCTTGATGAGATGGAGGCGTGTGGGAAGACGATGGATAACGCGCTCAAGATTAATGATTGGGTTGCCATCTCGAATGGTGCGTCTACGCTCGCTCGCCGCATACGATGCAGGTTGCTGATGAGGAGCAGAGTTTGATAAGCTGGTGCGCATGGCGCAGCGCCAGCAGAATGTCTCGGAGCTCGTGCCGCCGTTTTACATCCGTACGCTGATCGGTCTCGAGGACTCGCTGACCAGCGCGGTGGCCAAGGAGAAGGAGGCGAAGAAGAAGATGAATGCGAGCAATGCGCGTGCGCTCAATGGGATGAAGCAGAAGGTGAAGAAGGTCGCGAAGGAGTACGAGGCGGAAATCAAGCGCTTCCAGGAGGTCTGTCTCTCTCGTTCATCGTTCTTCCTTCTAGTGGTGATTTACTGTTCGTCTTGCCCTGTATCGTGGACTGTCGCTGTGTAGGATCCGGAGGCAGTCGAGAGAGAATATCAAGCTGCATTGGTCCCGGAGGTTGCGCCCTCCGCGCCAAAACAGAAAAGGAAGAAGGTAGAGGAGGAGGAGGAGGAAGGCGAGGGCGAGGAGGCCTTCACCACTGTCGGCAAGGGCGGAAAGGCCATACAGTTCACGGCGGACAGCATCTTCAAAAACCTGCAGCTGGTGCAGGAGGCTCGTGGTAAAAAGGTCCGTCGTGCATACATCCCTTCTTCGTCGTGCGTGTGCTGAGAATTGTCACCAGAACACCGACCGGCACGAGCAGATCCGGATCCTCGAGAAACTGCTCGAGGTCGCGGTGACGTCGTACCAGCGCATCCGGGTGCTGCTCACGCTCATCTCGGCGCGGTTCGACTATAACTCGTCCGTCGCGACGCACATGCCGATCGGGCTCTGGGTCGCGGCGCAGCGCGAGGTGGACCAGCTGATTGCGATCGTGATGGCGGAGCCGGGATATGTGATCCAGGAGACGACGGAGGAGTACGATGAGCTCGCGGAGCGCACGCCTGAGACGGAGAAGGACGGCGTGGTACGCATCCGCGGGAGCATCATCAGCTTCGTGGATCGCCTCGATGACGAGTTTACGAAGAGTCTGCAGAATATCGACCCGCATGGGACGGAGTATGTCGAACGGCTGAAGGATGAGAAGGGGTTGTATTGCACGATCTGCAGGTCGCAGGCGCTGTACGAGAGGAACAAAGACGAGGACCCGCTCGGGCGGGTGATCATGCGGCGGTTGGAGCACATCTACTCGAAGGTACGTGCATGCTCTTTTATGGGTTCCGAGTGTCGTCTGAGCCATTTGATAGCCCGACGCCGTAGTACATGCTCTCGAAGCAGCCGTCACCGCCTCAGATACCCATCCCTCGATAGTGTTGCCTGCTGATGGCAAGACCACGCCTCTCATTCACGCACTCTGTGTACATCTGTACAAGTCCAGCAACTCCTTCCTCCGCACTCGTGCGATGCTCTGCCACATCTACCATTATGCCCTGCACAACGATTTCCACACCGCGCGGGACATGCTGCTCATGTCGCATCTGCAAGAGTCCATCTACTCCGCGGACGTCGCGACGCAGATTCTGTACAACCGCACGGTCGTCCAGCTCGGTCTCAGCGCGTTCCGGTGTGGGCTTATCAAGGAGGCGCAAGCGACGCTGCAGGACATATTCGCGACGCAGCGCGTGAAAGAGCTGCTCGCGCAGGGCGTGCATCAGCAAAGGCACCAGACGCTGACGCCGGAGCAGGAGAAGGCAGAGCGCCAACGACAGCTGCCTTTCCACATGCACATCAACACGGAGCTGCTCGAGGCGGCGTTCCTCGTGTCGAGCATGCTCGTCGAGATCCCGCTGCTCGCGAGCATCGACACGGAGGAGCAGCGCCGCAAGGTGATCTCGAAGCCGTTCAGGCGCCTGCTCGACTTTGCGGACCGCCAGGTGTTCACGGGCCCGCCGGAGAGTACGCGAGACCACATCATGCAGGCGAGCAAGGCGCTGCAGAATGGCGAGTGGGAGAAGTGTCGTGATTTGATCCAGAGCATCAAGATCTGGAGTTTGATGCCAGAGTGCAACTCTGTCAAGGAGATGCTTGCGAAGTACGTCGATTTAATGAAAGTTTTTATTTTCCTTATCTAATATTTCTACCTAGGCGGATCCAGGAGGAAGGCCTGCGAACTTACCTTTTCACATACGCGCCGCATTACAGCACCCTCTCGCTGTCGCTCCTTTCGCGGACGTTTTCGCTGCCACTGCGCGCCGTCACCTCCATCGTCTCCAAGATGATCTGGAACGAAGAGCTGGCGGCGTCGCTCGACCAGGCCGCGGGCGTCCTGGTGTTCAACCGCATTGAGCTCTCGCGGCCGCAGCAGCTTGCACAGATCCTGGCCGACAAGATCAACAGCATGCTCGAGCAGACTGAGAAGAACCTCGACAACAAGCTCGGTCCCGCTGCGGGGTGGGGCGACCGTGCCGATGGCGGCAAGGGCGACAAGCGCGGTGAGCAGACGCAGGAGCGGAGGCGAGGGGGCGAGAGGAACCGGGGCGGTGTGCGCGGTAAGTCTTGCTGCTCTTACTCGATTTTACGCAACGGCGTTGATATGTGTTTTTAGGTGGTGCACGCGGAGGCCGCGGCGGACGCTTCGCGCAAGGTCTCGGAAACCAGATGGCAGGCGGCACCCAAAGGACCCGATGAATGTTGATATAACGATGTCTACCTACGCTTTATCACGATTTTGCTGTTTTATACTGTTTCGTCTACGATGTGTATGAATGATTTACCACAGCAGTGTCTTGTTGCTGCGATGTCCATCTGTGATTGCCATTCCTCGACAAGGGATACGGATGCGTCTACAATGTGTAAATGCGGTGTACTCGTATGCATGCAGTTCAATCGCTGTCATCGGATTGAGTATCGCCATTTCCGTCGTCGCTCTCTTCCTCATCTGAGAGCGGCGCTGTCCAGTCGGTGATATCGAGTTTCTCGTTCCGAATGGAATCTTTGAATTATATGAGTAAACTGCAGCATTTCATTTGCAGGTGATCCCAAACGTACCGCCCGCGCTGACTTCGTAACCACACTGGGTGACGCATCTTGACAGTTCTGCCTTCTCACCGACTTTCGTGCCCTTTCCCAGAATGCAGCCATCAAGCTTTGCTCTGCAAGAAGACGATCTACTAAGTCAGATGAATACGAGGTATGAGGCTGTGCATACCCATCTGCAATCACACAATGGTCTTGAATGACACAACCCACAATCTTCACCATCTTGCCAATGATACAGTGCTGGCCAATCATAGACTTCTTGATATTTGTGCGTTCTTCAACGCGTGTAGAATGCCCGATCATCGAATCTGACGAAATCTGGGCTTTGTGGTCAATGAGTGATCGGCTCTCCTGGTCGGTAGGTAATGCATAGGTCGTCTGCGAGAGGAACTGAAGGACGATGAGTAGGCGCAGAACTCGATGTCAGCGTGACAATGCGTACATGCCGGTTCAGCTCCAGATATGTCTGGAGATTGTTGGCACGAGCGGCATAGCCTGCGTCCGCTCGTTGAACAACTAGTCCGATTCGGAGACTTGCAAGGTTCTCGTCCTCATCTTCGCCCTCTGCCTGGAGTATTGATCGAGAATGCTCTTCGGTCTGACCATCTGATGCGGGACTGCGCAAGAAATCCTCGCTTTGCAGATGGCTCCCGTGCTTTTGCGTGTATAGCGTCGAATGTTTGAGCGCAAGCGCTTGAGTCAGTGCGTTCGCGTTGGGACTGAGGACTACCGACAAATGAGCTCATGGGACGTTGCATGGATCGAAACAGAATTTCGCACTGTGCCCGTATTTTACCCGCTTGACACGCTGATATTGAGGTTTGCAAAGCCATGGTATGAATTCTTCTCGTATCGAATCGAATTGAGGCTTCTCATTCAACGCATCAAGCACCTGCCGTCGGCAGACGTATACGTGCGAGTCTTCTAGGTTGGCAGACAACCGCGCCCGAGGATACCTGCAGGATGACCAACATCAGACCGCGCTCTAGTGCGTGAGCAAGTCGCCTCACCGAGACAACAGGCTCATCCGCAATTCCAGCTCTTCGCCATTGGTATCGAGATCGTCTGGACTGTCGACATACAAGAGTGTGCCAGACCGATCGTCCCTCACGACTGGGACAGCGGACGGTAGGACACCCCACTCTTCGGTGGTGCTGCCCTTCTCGGATTTGCGGCTCTCGAAGAAGCACGCCGTAGCAATCGCTCCGTCATAGGTCGACTCCGTTCTGAACTTGTTCAAAATCTTGGAGAGCGAGAAGGAAGGCGGAGACACGAAGTCGCATGGGAGCAAGACGAAGTCTTGTTGAATGCGATGAGAGAAATGTCGGAGGATCGTGCATGTCCCGACGCTGGATTCCTGCGTCTCATCATACGTCTGGAGGTCTATGCGCAGAGATGGAAATGCCGATGAGGCATCAGACTGCACATAGTTCGACAGTGCAGACCGATGTGCGGTCGGGCAGATAAGCAGGACATCTGCGCGAGGTGTGAGGAGATATGTAGGACCGGTCTCGGAGTTGACGCATGCCTCTAATGACAGACTGTTCAATCCATACGAGAGGATACTCTAGCATAGGCTTGTTTGCAATCGGCAGCAGGGCTTTTGGGCTGGGCTCGTCGCCATAATTGCCGGTAAGTGGGAGTAGCCTACATACAGATCAGCATGTTCCTGCCGGAATTTGGAGATACCGTGCACTCACTCGTTGCCAAATCCCGCAAGTACGACGGCAAGGAACTCTTGCGGGATGAGCTTCGTTGAAGTCTCATCAAAGTCCATAGCAGAGTATCTCGACGAAATTAAGATTGTGGGCCTGGCAGAGTCAAGGCTGGCTGAGCGCTGAGTGGTATTATCCTCGTGATTTTGAACGGTAAGAGGTTATCAGACAGTTATTTTATAACTCGTGGGCATTGTCCAGAAGTCTTCCTATTGACCAACGAGCACAGGCCTGCTGATGTCTCGTCTCGCCGTTCTTTTGTGTTGTCTGTCGGCAGCTGCTCTTTGAATGCTCTTCCATGATTCTCCACGCGTTCACCTGCCCTGATCCTCACCGTCATTCGCTCCTTGTCACCACCACGGTCTTGCTACCATCTGCGTCTGAAGTCCCTTGCTATGCCCCAACCTTCCGTCCATCAGCTGTACAAACGCTTGGAGACAGTCGGTAAAGGCGCTTATGGCTCTGTGCACAAAGGAGAGGAGATTACGACTGGAAATGTCGTTGCTCTGAAAATCATAAATCTAGACACTGAAGATGACGATGTGGGCGACATTCAGCGCGAAGTCGCACTCTTGACACAGCTGCGGGACGCGCCAAATGTCACACGATACTATGGTTGCTTTCTGGATGGTCCTCGAGTCTGGATTGTCATGGAGTATGCTCAGGGAGGCAGCGTCCGCACGCTCATGAAGGCTTGTAAAGACGGCGTTCTCGAGGAGAAGTACGTCTCTGTGATCACAAGGGAGGTTCTCATGGGCTTGAGCTATCTGCACAAATCTGCGATTATTCATCGTGACCTCAAAGCCGCCAACATCCTCATAACTGCAGCAGGAAGGGTGATGATATGCGATTTCGGCGTGTCTGCACTCCTCGTGACCGCCTCTAGTAAACGAAACACTTTGGTTGGTACACCACATTGGATGGCTCCCGAAGTAGCGAATGCCTCGGCGTACGACACAAAAGCTGATATCTGGAGCCTGGGCATCATGATTTACGAGATGAATAAAGGGAGCGCGCCTAATTCACATGTTGTGGACCAAGCAAAACTTATTCAAATGATCCCCCGAATGAAACCGCCACGATTAATAGAGGGTGAGGGGAGCAAAGAACTGCGCGAATTTGTCTCACACTGCTTGAGAGAATTGCCGAACGACGTACGACAGTTCACTTACTACCTGTATTATATGCCTCGCTCACGTTTGAGACAGCGTCTGACTGCTGACGAGCTGTCCAAGACAAAATGGATTAAATCTATTGCGAAAGTTCCCATAATGACGCTCAAGGATCTTATTCTTCGATACGATGCCTGGCAGCAGAGCGGTGGTTCCAGAGCAAGTGTGGCTGGTCGACTCCCATGGGAAGAGGAAGAGGAACGAGAGTACGTAGATCGACCGTCAGTTCGTCTGATTCTAGCTTTAATGAGCCTTTTTTAGTTCTCAGCCCCCAGTGGATTTGGAGGACGAGAATCCATGGGAGTTTGACACCGTACGTGGGCGCCCATCCATTGATTCAGGGAGGACGAGCTCGGAATATGGTCTTCTGGCTACCCCAGACGATGAGACCCCATCAGCATTTCCAACTGTGAGACCTTCTGCCGCTTCAAAAGTTCCTCCTACTCTGCGCAGGCTTTTCGAGGACGAGAGTGCAGCTTCAGACCCTTTCCGGATGCCAGGTTTTGGACCTCCGCACAGCGAGCTGCAAATCAACACGCCCCCACTGCTTCCTCCCAGCTCTCAATTACGTGTCCGGAGTCGGTCTGGAGTGAGGATGCCGCTATCCGCTGATTCCGCCGGAGCCGAGCCGGACACAGCGAAACAGTCTGACTTTGTCTTCCCTCCGCGGACTTCTACACCACGGAGTAAATCCAAGTTGCCTCCGTTGCCTCCCAATGACGATGAGGATGATCGCGATCGGCTGCCCCCTCTTGGTCCTGGAATCCCGATAGGCAAAAGACCAGAGGGACCAGCGAGTAGTGGGCTAGGGTACACCGCTCAATCTGGGAGATCGATACCGAGCTATCGCGAAGTCCGTTCGAATCGCGGCCCTCCTGATATAGAGATCCCAGCACCTCCGAAGAAGTCTTCGCTTGACTTGGCCATTGAAGGCTCCACTCCTCCGATCGTGTTGTCGTCGTCTTCTCCAGAACATCCTCCCATTCCTCCTGAGAAGCCCAATATCTTTCGTAAACGTTCTCGGAGTACCGCTGCAGGAAGTTCGTCGTCAGTATTACGGTCGCATCGCACTGAGCGCACTCCTCCTCCATCTGCAGGATTCCGGTTTCCTGCAACGCCAGGGTCGGGAGGTGGGCGGCTCGTCGATTCCCCCCTTCCGACGCCCGAGATCTTCAGAGGACATAATCGCGCATCTCCGAGCCATGCAAGCGTATCTACTATTTCCACGATGTCCTCTGGTGCACACCAGTTCACACAATCTCTGGATGCTCGCGTTCTTCCGAGACGGGTGCCCTCCCCGACGCAAGTCCCCACCCCACCCTTGCTGGGTCGTGCCCATTCGGCGATGGCAGCACCGGAGGCTACTGCAGAGTCTAGTTCGGCTTCAGTAGCACGCAAGCCTAGCTTGAACCGCCTGGCATCAGTGGCTGTGATGGAGAACGTACACAAAGCCTTGCCACCGCTTGTAAGACCGTTTGCGCGCAATCGGGAGGCGCGGAGTGGGAGTTTGGCGGAATCATCTTTTCATGGTCCATCGGTCCCACTTCCTGGCCTCAAGGACGTGCTGAAGGTATGTTCTTGCGTCGATTGGTCAGTGGCTGACATTAACCTCCTCTGTACAGATCCCAACCCTCACATCGGAGCACAAGCTGGGAATGCCCGATTTGCTTCCTCCATCGCCTTCCATCACACAGCCCCCTCGAGCAGCCCCGTCGCCAAGCCCATTTAGCTATACACATGTAGACACAGGACACTCTCGATCACTCCCGCTCGCAAACTCGGCGGCTTCCTCTTCAACCACCTCTCTCAGCTCGCTATCATCACAAATGAATAATTCTATCAGTGAAGGGCGCGTGGGCACAAGCGATTCTTCTACCTCTTATACACAATCCCATTCGCGGTCTCTTTCTCATAACGGCACATCTCAGTCGTTCCCCGGCCCTTTGTTCGACCTTATTGGGCCTCCTATACGGCCTCTGGATTTTGGTTCGTTGGTCACATCCCACGAAGCCACGCACGCTGCACTGGCGCAAACGGTGGATGACCTCGCGCAGTGGCTGTCTCTGGTCGAAATCGGGCTCACACACATGTTGGACAGAGCGACCGAGGCAACTATTGAGGAAGAGCAAGAACAGGAGATACCAGATGGTGAAGGTGCTGACCTTGTGAACCCATATCCGGCGCTGGTCGCTGGCGAACCATCATCATAACATTGGACTAATTTTCGTACACTGTGGCTCGTGCTCGGACACAATAATGCGATCTGTAATGCATAACAATAATCTAGTCCGTGGTTGCATTTGTCCAATCTCATATGTACATGTCTCGCTCGTAATCATAACAATGGACGATGTTTTCACACAGCATCTAGCGGAGCTCTACTACAGCCCACAAAGACATCGATAACAACAGGCGAAAAGATGGATGACTTGTCACCGCTACCTGTGCTCTTCTCTTTCCTTCCTTACGGCTGGAGCAAAGCGGCAGACGCATATGTGCGCGGTGCGCCGCGGAGAACACATTTGAGAGGCACATGCGACTATCTAACCCATTCGTGACCAGCCTGCTGAGCTCAGCCGCGCACCAGCCGTTGCTCTTAGCCTTACAAACCATGACACCTATATCTCTCATCAGTGGGCTAGCTGCAAGCGAACAATACCCTGTCTCTGTCAGAGGATAAAGTTGACTCCCGCATCATGAACTACAGCAACCATCGACGTCGTAGCCACCTCCTACAGCTTACAGGCGCATGCTGGTTTCCCCGACCCAACAGACAGGCCGGGTACTTATCCCGAGGGCCACGAAAAGGCCTGCGCCAGGACCGACCTCGAACAATGCGAGAGACGACCCTCCCTCGAGACCCCTCCCTTCCGTCCCTTGCTCTCCCCCCATCCTTCAAAGAAAAAAGAATGCCCGACCTATCGCGGTCCCGAGAGTATTGAAACCCCCGACACGCGAGAGAAGACACCCGACCAGCGAGAATCCCCCTCCAGACGACGGCGACTAGCGCACACCGCCTACCTCCAGCTCCTCAACGCCAAGGGGGGGGGTGTCGTTGTTGGTCGCTCAACCCAACGCGGGGTGCTGCAACAAGGCTGGTCAGCGGTGAGAACGAGCGGGTTGCGGAGGAGGCTGACCTGATAACAAGGACGTGAACCGGCAACCCTAACGGCGCTGTGATGGGGGACGGAGGAAAACGACCGACGTAAGTTCATGCTGGTGGTGCAGAGAGCTTTGCTCACCCAGTGGTCGCGACGAGCCCGCTACCTGTAACCGAAGCAACGAACAAGACAAGGGTGAAGATAGAAGGAGAGGAAGAAGTGAAGTGAGGGCTTCGGGACTCTGAGATCGGTGGGCTTTTATACCTACAGTGCATTTGTCGAACAAACAAGAGCCTCCTTGTCAGCCGCGGTCAACCATCGTTTCAAACTCAGATGACGTCGGCGCGACGTGTGCAAGGCAATTGAGGTTGTGATCCTGCCTGGACGCATCTTGTGTGATTGACAGAACAGACTACGGTATGCCGCATAAAAGCACGGGACAGCATCAATGGATGAAATCTGATGGCCAATGTGGTGAAACATCGTCGTGGCGCTAAATGTGGCCACCGCGGACGCGTCTCAGGCAATATGTCACGAGACCGCGTCGATCAGAGGCCATATTTTGAATTGTCCATAGATTGCTAAGGGGTTCTACGTCTGCTCAGCAAATATTGCTTGGTGGCATGTCCCAGACATATGGGCTAATCAGGTATTGATGCGGCCGTTCGCAGTGGGTGAAACAACCGATAATATGCACAAAAATAGTGCCCTCAAAAGAATGAAAACTCCATCAAGATATTTCTGTGTGGATGATGTGAGCAAAATTGGGGAAATACTTACCATATTTGGGAGTATGAAAGGGTCTTGAATCTGCATCACTTATTTCAAGATATTGTCTCAGATACATCTTCCACATTACGACCGGCGCTCGTGAAAGGAATGGCGGGAGACTTCAAAGCTGTGATGACCTGGACCTGCACACAATCTGCCCAGCCGATTCTGGATACTTCTGAAGTCCGGAGGCGGTGTTGGGGCATTGGCATGGTGAACGGGAGCATATACCTGGCAACGGAACGTCGCCTCGTACAGGTTGTACGGATGTCCGGGTGGTGTGTGATTGCGCACCATACAAATGATGATGTTTTGGCAAGTATTTTTTTGTCCAACAACCTGCAGCTCCTTCTCGCCTTGCTCGATCGTGATCTCGCGCACTCTGCTCCGCTTCTCGTTCAGCTTGTCCAACTACTCCTTCGCCCTCACATTGCCCCCATTCTCTTTTAGCAAATTTCCCTTCGCGACTCACGATTGCAGCGAGCAGCAAATGTCGGTGTGAGGCCCTCCCGGATGGCGTCGGATTGAATGGGAAGTTTAAGATGCTTCATTTTGTGACCCCGCATTCGCCGAGGGCCCACAGCTGGAGACAGTACGAGCCACCGCGGCTAGATCTAGGATTGTCGCGTAGACGGCGAAAGCAGCTCTGCATACGGGTCCAGGCGGGATGGTAGGCTCGCTGTGGCCGAGCACAAAGTACGAATTGATGTGATCGCCCGGCGAAACGGCAATTCAGTTTACCACTGTTTGTGGCCAGTGGCGGATGCCCACTTGAGTGGACTTTGGCCGGTTAGCGTACTCAGCAAAACATCTCGCCGGACAAAGTCGTCCAGCATGGCACTCTCTTATTCCGATTTGGTCGCTTTCTGAGATTTGTCTTCTCTCCTGCGGTGGTCTTCCTCGCTCTATGTTGTCTGCTTACCTTCGTTATCGTACTCTATCAGCCCAACGCCGGCCCTGGAGCACCCTAACGTGCGTGATGACAGTCTTGGGAAGTCATCACTGAAGCCCTCTCCGGAGTCTCTGATGGCAATGCAGATACGACCGCCGGCGGAGACAGCATGTCCATTGCGGGGACTCCACGCAGGCAGAAGGGATTGTAATCCAGCACTCGCAGAAGGTCGATTCTGCAAGCCTGCCTCTTGATGTTGGGCTCTATACTCTCACATGATGCTGAATTTGAGTAGCTCATTTGATATCATTTCCCTGACTTCATTTTAGCGCATACGTTGGCGGTATGCCTATGCCCACAAGCAACGATGGCAACGAACTCATATGTGCTTATGACACGATACATTCTGCTGTTGATGCAGTGGTATACGTGCAGTTACCAGCCTTCTTGTTGCTGCTACCTTCCGGCTCATTCGCATGACTATATGGGATGCATGGTATCGCGCGCTCGCGAGCGCTAAGGTGGTACGATGAATGCCGCGCGGAGTCTGTATGTCGTCACGGAAAGTGACCAGTTCTGTCCCTGATGTCTCCCTGATCTCTATGTCCTTCCCGCTGTGTTATCGTCGCATTCCACCGTTCCGCTTAATTCGCTGACGACTATTGCTCACTGTCCGAGACGTACTCTGTGGCGATGACCGGCCGTGGTATGAATTCGAGAAGCTGGACACGTCAGTGCTTAAGGGCAAGGCGATCATTCAGCGCGAGAGCGTCTGGTTCACATACCGTTGAGGTGTCAAACGTGCGTAATTTCTTCCCTCTGTCGTGCACGTGCTGACATGGATCCCAGCGGCACCCCGCGCCCTTCCGCTGCATTTCACGCACGACGGCCGGTTCAAAATATGCAGATAGCGGACCTGCATTACTCGGTGTTGGCAGGGACGTGCGGGTACACACCGCTCGCGCCATGCAGCAACTCGGACGATCTGATAAACACGCTTCTCGGACCCATGCTCGACACTGAGCGGCCAGCCTTCGTCGTCTTCACTGGTGATCAGCTGAACGTTTCGTGCTCGCGAAGTTTGCAAAGGTTGTGACACAGCGCGGGATCCCGTGGGCGGCCATATTTGGCAACCATGACGATGAGGACGGGGGCTCGAGAGGGGACGAGATCAAGTATATGCAAGGGCTGCCATACAGCCTTGTCGAGGCGGCTCCGAAGGCGTCGGCAACTTCGTATTCAAGGTCGAGTGCCGATCGTATGCATGATCGTTTTTGTCAATGATCAGTCGCTGATATGAGATGATATATAGATATATGACACATTTGTTGACACTGTATTTCTAGAACTGGCTCGTACTCGAGAGGTTCTTCAACTTATTTAGATTTTTTGTGCCCACGGAGTACGACTGGATCCATCGGGTGAGCTTTACGTCGCAGGCCCAAGGGGTCCTTCATATCAGCCCTTATGCCTCATCCATCCGACCCTCCAGGACTCAATTGATTGGTTCTTGCAGGAGTCATGTGAGATGCTCTTACTGGGCATCGGAATCTATCATGTAGTCAGTCCAGAACGGAGGATTGGATGTTAGCGAGCATCTCGATGCTGCGCGAATTTTTCATACATACGTTCTCTCAGCTGTTGATATGAGATTCCCAATCTGATGCTTGATGACAGCGCATTCGAGCTGGGCTGCTGCTCCAAGCAGTGCGCTCTCCGTGACATATTGATATGTGCTGAACAATTTTTGCTCGCAACGTGGCGTGTGTACATCGTCGAGCGGATATACTGCATCCACTCATTTCATGCGTGTGTGTGGGCTCGGAATTCAAGCAGAGCTCTGTTAGACTACATCCGCAGTAACGAGTATCCAGAAAGCCGAAGGGTTGAATCAGGCAATTATGACGCCGAAAGATTGCATATATATGCACAACTGGAACCTTCATGAGCATGCGCCTATCTTCGGGACTGGGTCGGCCTGCAGGGGATGTATCGTCTCTGAGTATGTTGCCGCAACGGAGACCTAGGCGCATCAGTAGGGGAGGAAATGGGACAGGCGTATCGTGAGACATTAGAAACGTGCAGAATCAGAATATATAGGATAGTACATAGGTGCAGGGACATGTCAAGGGTCGTCAAATGAGGATCTCGGGGGCCGGGCCTCGTACCACGGGCAGATGTGGTGTCACCTCTGCGGATGAAACCTCGCACTGCCTTAACGCACCGGCGATGAGAAGAGCATCCTGATGAGGCAGCAGTAACGCCTTTAAGGTGGATCGAACTTTGCTACGCGCGACGAGGTCGTGGCAGTCGAACGTATGCATATGTGGCGTTCAGGATACCAGGATAGCAACCTTCGGATGTGCGGGGCGATGAAGGTGGAGATTATATTTTGCCGTTGAATTTCGCATTTAGGTTCGTGCTTTTTGCCGGCTGGGAGAATATATTCATTATCGAGGCGCTGTCTTCAAATGCGAGTCCTAGTTCCAGTTGCTGTTTCAGCTCAATGGCTACAGCCGCACTGTAGGATGCGCGGAAAACTCCAGCTGAGCCTCGAGGATCTCATGCCTGCAAACGATCAGTGGAGCCACTGTAGTTTAATAGGAGTCGTTTGGTCGTATGGGGGCAATGATCCTGTGCCCGAACCTAAGTAAGGAGAAGAGCGACAGCTGTTGCAGAGGATCCTAAGAACCACAAAAAGAGTTGAGGGACATGGAGAGAGTCACAAGAGGTAAAAATGACAAATCAATATCTCGGAAGTGTACACAGTACTTGTCTGTGCTCGTCCTTCGTCCTTTCTTTTCCTTCTTTAGTACTGCTCCTTCTCCTCTTTGCCCAGTATTTGGCGTGAAAGGCCGCATGAGTGTTTCAACATCCTCTGGAGCAATTTACAGAGCATCTGACGACCGACTTCTGTACAGGCTGGTCCACAAGCGTGTGGATTTCGAACTGCTGCTATCCCACCCACCAGGAATAGCCCGAGCGTATGCGGCGACGCGCGTGGTGGGCCGCGTCCACGTTTTGGTTTTGTTTCCTCGAGCGAAGGCAAACAGTGAGCGAGTCTGACGTGGCTGCTGAACGCCGGCTTTGGACGAGAGGATATAGGCCAAAGGCTGCCAACACGCTGTGCGTAACCGTCGGCGGCTGGAGACTGGCAGGAAAGTAGGTGGAGGATCCGTGATGAGCGAGAGAGCAAGTTCTGGCTGTGGCGAGGGGAAGTCTCCCTGGGCAGACGAGACAATTCCTTTATCCCGTCGCTCTTGCTCAATTCACGCACTTCTCACAACGCCTATTTTTCTGTTCGATGCCGCTACCATCTTTCCATCGATGCCAGTGACCAAGTTGGATTGGAAGTACAGACGACTCTGGGGCTGCGATAAGAGCATTGAGAAGGACCAGAGCGGGTACAAACAATCCAAAAGATTTCTGGATTTGGGATCTGTAAGTTATCAACATTTCCCCGGATCAAGCTCAACATGTCCAGGCTCAGAAGGTGGCCGGGGGTTTGACAAAGGGCTACATCTGGACGATCTCGAGGACAATCTGTGTGAGCAGCGAAGCACAGCGACGGCGGCATCTTGGAGCATCTGAAGGCGATCTCGGGAATTTCTGGAGAGAGATGCAATGAAGCAGATGATGTTCAAAAGATGATCCTCACGAAACAGTTTACGGCGGAGCGAATATTTGCAGAGACGGCATTGGCTGCCAGAAACCCGGGTTTGAAGGCAAGGATTCATTTGGCTTATGCGACAAATCCGTGGCAAAGCGGGGTGATTTCTTTCATGGGCCGTCCCACAAGGTTCTGGGGGTGCCACTGGGTGCCTCTGTGTGCCTCAGCGGCTGTTGTAGGGCGGTCGAATGCCTGGGCAGCGGTCTCAGTGGGTGGTGGTCCGCTTTGTCGTTTATTGCGCCCGCGAACACCAACTCCCTCTGAGCCTCTCGTCTTGTCTCGCTGCCCCGTGTCCGCATCTTCAAACGGCTAGCGCATTTTGTCGACGGCAACGAGCGCAGGGTTGCCTTCGAGATGAACGTAATCGCCGTTCCTCGCTGGATGGGCGTGCGAAGATGCGTTAATATCGTCGACCTCTGTTTAGAAGCTCCTGCTCTAGCCAGTACTTTGCCAGCAAATATTCGCAGTGTTGTCGGTGCTCATGGATGCATGCAGAAACAAGCGACGTCCATCGCCCGACGCGCGACCCAAAGGGCCCGGCGCAGCGCGTCGCACTCTAGCGCCAGAGCTTGTGTGCGCTGAGATTGGCCCAGCTTGCTTGCTTTCTAGCTCGGCGCCGGCACGAGGAAGGATATGCTTGTGCTGATGTTATCAACGTGCCAGACGACATCGGCGACGATGCACCTGAGCTCGACTTCGTGTTCGTGTGATGAACACACTCCCATCGACGGATTCTCCGGTATATTCTGATCGTTGGCGATGAAGGCGACAAGAGCAATGTTATTGTGCAGAGTCGCGCTATGCGGCGGGATTTACGAACTTGTGCTATTCTCTACTGCGAATCTGGCGGATTGGCCCGGATCTCTGAGAGGCACTGTCGAGACTCATGCTATGGCTGCACGTTCTGTTCCCTCGTTCTGTTTCCGCCCAGCTCGTCGCCAACAGCGACGCAGTAGCCAGCACGTTCGCCGCCAACGCCATCCCGCCGAGTCAGTCTTAGGTCTCTCTCCTCCCCCTCTGCGCGGGTGAGGATCCGCATCGGTTGGTTCCATTCATGCTTCACCCACTCGCGCACAGCCCACAGATCCACGCCTCGGCCCATCGCTCCGTTTCGTTCACGGGCAGCAGATTCTGTGACGGAATACTGCACCCGGGTACGTGTTCGCGGTATCTAGGTTGATCATCGACCTTGGAAGCTGCTCTTGTCTTCCAATCGGACGCCTATCCCTGAGACATGCTACAGTTTCCGTTCGGCTTCAGGCGCAAGTCCCACGAGCCTGGCAAGATATTGGAAAAAGGGGAAGGTATCGTGCATAGGATGCTGGGCTTCGAGACATGGAAGCAGGCGGTGGCGGGCGGACCATGATTATGAACCCACTGGTGATCACCTCTTCTGACGGGCTCGACCCCGTCGACCGGTGATCATCTTCCTGCATTGGGCCTTGGGTGGAAGATCCTGCTGAGTTCCCTCAGTCGTGAAGAAGCTGTCTCTTCCTCGCCTAGGTCTCGTCTCTTTCTCTTTACTCTCATGTGCCTGACTTAGCTAGCCATGGACCTTCGTTCAACATCGTTGACCTTACAGCTCTGCTCGCTCGCTCGTCACACACCCAAGCATTTTTCCTCGTCGTCTTCGTTTGATGAAATTTTATTTCCAGCATTCGGCAATAGGCTACTCTCTATAGTCTGCTATGCTATGATGGAGATCAATTCAGCGATGTCGGCCTCCACCATACCATTCCCTTTTCATACACCCCTGCTAGTCCAATCAATGCTCAGATAGAATTTCTTCGCGGCACACCTTCATCCACAACTGTACAGTATCAATAGATCTCTTTGCCTGCCACCCATGCAAACGGCTCGATCATGTGCCACAAGTCGACCGGCATATCAATAACCAACTATATCATGATTGTGAATGACCACCAGATTGTCCTGTCCCCTTCCTCATTGCTCTATCCCGCTACTTCTCACGGCATCCTTATTCTGTCATTGATATTGTATAGGACGATCTTGCCTCACGAGTGGCCAGAGTTCGGGCAGGCGTATTGCCAAAAGGTCGACACAATCGCTATTCGCTGGCTTCTTTCTACGTTGTCATGCGAAATAGGACGACTTTCCGGACCGTTATCTCTACTCGGCTGTGGAGCGTCCTTGGAGTGTGCACATTGTATCCGATTAAGGCACTAATCAAGAGTTCATCTATGTGTCATGGCGGCGCATTGGTGGAGTCTTTGACATGTCAAGAGGCGGTCTCCCTATGACTGTTTTTGTCAAAACACTCACTCTACAACGTCTCCAACTGCTTCGTTCAGTACACGGGCTTCTGTACAGAGGAAATATCCCATCTGGAGCTTGCCGGATGTGTCATCGACCATTGAGTACCACACGACGCGTCACGTCTCATGGCTTACCCTCCGTTAGGTCAGCCATTGTACTGCTATCATGAACTGGCTCGATTTGTTTGGGGGAATGAATTTTAGGTGTATTGCCTCAGCCGACATGTGATGGGCGAGTGTGGTCGAAACTCAAAAGGATACCATTCGCTATTCCGTGGCCATGACTAGGCGGGTTGTGGATAACTCGTCCGCTACGGCGAAGAGCCTCTGACGGCTGTGTCATTTGTCAAACCGAGTTATGCTTCCGTGAACTCTCTGGCCGGTGGTGTCAGGGGCCGCACACGTCCAGGGTACATCGGTTCCTGTTCATTCAACCCAGTTCCCATGGCGCGGATCCCCCCATACCGGGCTTTGTTCACAGGTTACGATGGATGTTACATGCAATTCTCGACGTGGGGCATTTCTGTAGTTGGTATCCTGTAAGTGCTCTATGTGCCGAGATGGCGGGCTTCCTCTGGCAAATATGCCTTTCTTGTCCATGGACGTTGGTGCGGTGCCCGAGCATCATTTGTTATACAGGATTTGAGGATATATGTTTACAGTTGAGCTATACATATTCACTCTTGCGGTGCATTGCAAATCAGTCTCACGCACCTCGTCTGTCTTGTGTAGAACGAAATTCCATGCCGCTCACGCTCCTTGTCGAGCCATCTTACCGGATTCTGGCTCGAGCGGGGAGTGGCCTGCCCATCGTTTGACCAATGACTATTCCACTGCATCTATCACGTTTGCGAAAGAAGAGGGATGTACTAGGCGGCTAACATGGCAGCTAATAGATGCCGCACAGGCAGGCACGGACAAACTCATATCCCGAAATGCAAGCTTTCTTCGCGCTATTGGAGGCTAGAAGCTATCTAACGTCTTCTGGTTTTTGGTCGGGGTTGCATGGACCAGCGCCATATCCAAGTTGTGGATCCGCCGTACCCCCCTTCTCTCATGTACACTTGCCGCTGTATATTTACCTTGCCATCCTCATCTGCCTTCATCATCTTTCCCTCTATTCCCGGTATGTGCTACTACCTGTTCGCTTACACCGAATACGGCTGCGGCCATCAACTCCTTGATCGCCGCCACTTTGTGCGGACGGCCTGTTCGTCGTGCATATATTATTTCGTGACTGACTGGGATATTGTATACAGATCGACTGCAATCGGGTGACATGTCGACGGAGCGGGTTCCACAATTTGGACGAGCACGACTGCGCGAACGAGTGTACGGAGGAATGGTGCGTAGGAAGATGTTGACGCCCCTCGTTGACGTTCTAACGCGCACTGTAGGACGCTTCCTGACCAGTCACTTGTCATGCATATATGCCCCGAACAATGCAGGAGCTGTCTAGGCACGGCTGGAGCTAAGGTCAATGGCGCCAATCATGACGGCTCTGATGACAGCCAGTCTGATTCAGACGAAGAAGAGGTTGAAGAGGAAGAGGAGTAGAGGTTAGATGAGAGCTGCCCGAGTGGCCATTGCGGATTGGCTGTGAAACACGTACTTGTAGTTTTACCCCAGCGTTGAACATATGCGTACAGTCAACTCGCAAATATTTCGCTGGAGCTGCGCTTCTCCCAGTCCAATCCGGTTTCGCGGCACAGGACCGTATGGCAGTTCCACCGCAGACTGCAGTCGCGAAGTGGCGGAACTTGCAGAGCCTCCTATCGCGTTAAGTCAACAAAAAACCTCCTAGGTGTGCGTGACGAATTTTACGTCTGGCGTCCGACCTTCTGCACTGGGAGTGAGCTGATGGACCTCTGAGACGAGGATGACAAGATGGCAGAGCGAAAATTTGTAACTGAAGGGAAACAGACATGCTTTAAAAAAGAGAGAATGAAGACAATCAATGAAGTGTCGAAAGCAGTAGGAATACTATTTTTTTGCGGCCGTATAGAGTACAGGTGGCAATAGAACCGAAGTGCAGGTGCCAGTGCGGACGAGCCGAGAGACGTGCAAGCTGATCCTAAGACGAGGACTTTATGACTCTGGGGGCGTTTAATCCTCCGAGGCCCTGAAACATTTGCAGTCGATGTGGGGCCAGGCCGGAACTTCAGCCTGAAAAACCTGTCGGAGGCTTTGAGAGCAGCCTTGCACCCTGCAGCGATGAAGCAGGCTCACGATTGTCAGCGAGACGAGCGAGGTCCATTGAGGGCTTAGCGATAGACTCATGATCAATGCATGGAATACGGAACAGCTGAAATCTGCTGAGATGTATTTTCCGGCTGCGAAATTGGGAGCACCGCACACTCGCTTGACTTGATGTACTCTCCGGCCCTAGACAATCTCAACATTTCTTGTGAGCGAGTCCATTTTTCTCGCCGACACGCATGTCAGTCTGTCTGCACCATCGGTGGACCTTCTTCATGTCTTTGAGTTGGCATGCGCACCACCTTGTGACTCACCAGCGTCGTCGATGATTAGTCGCCGTGGCCACGGATTGTGCGAAACCTCAGTGAGTAGACACTAGGCCGACTAATGCCGCGACTGGTTCGCTGCAAGCAGACGGCCGGTGCACTGATCTTCATCTTTGCTCGCTGATCTGACCGTTACCCGGGTGCTTGCCTTCCTCATCCGCAGAGTCTGCCGATGGACCTGCAGCAGCTTGGCGTATCTTGGACAGCCCCCATCATGCGAGCTTAGCAGGAATCCAGATGAATTGCTTCCAACCTGTTCACTCCCCTGATGTCTTCTAACCGCATGTACATCCTAGTAGGGGTGAGCTGGTCATCGCCCGCAATGTCAGCTTTTGAGCGAGCGTACGAGTATCACTCATCGGCAGAATGACATACTCGCGAAACGTCCCGTCCCCACGTAGCGGCAGTCATAGACCTTGGTTATTCAGACGGTACCGCGCTAGTAATGGCCACCGTCTTATGTATTCATGAATTTAGCCCGAACCGCATCCACTCGGGATCCACGGGATTACACATCCCGAGAATTTGGCTCGGTACCAGCAGAATCATGTTATCGAAGCCAGCGCGTCTCCTCGTTTGCCTTGTGACACGCTGAAGTTCGTCGTCAGTCCAACTCTCGGGCTCGTTGTATGGCAACTTCTGGAATGTTCCGTGCACCTTGCACCAAGCGGAGAATATACTCGGCAACAATGGAAGAACTATCTGGTGCAGAGGCCACGATGGCATCGCCTGAAAACACGGGTGACTAGTCATACCTTGTTTAAGCTACGCTGATTCCCTTTGAAAAGCTGTCTTTATACCCGGCACTTATCGTGCAATCAGAAACTGGTATAGTTTGTGCTGTCCACCGGCATTGCAATCCGCAACACATCCCACGTAACGTTTGCCAAACCCATCCAGGCATCTAGATGAACCCATTCTTCTCGAGGTACTCCGTGATGACGCGAACGGACTCCGCGACGTCGCACTCGTCCGTCTTGATATGAATCTCCGGCTTTTCCGGGGCCTCATACGGCGCAGAGATACCAGTGAAGTCTGCCAGAATGCAATGAGCGGTGTCTCCCCTCACAGAAATACGAACGCATCGCATACCTTTGATCTCTCCCGCCCGTGCCTTCTTGTACAGCCCCTTCGGATCACGTTGCTCGACGACATGGAGCGGCGCATCGACGAACACCTCGACGAAGCCCAGCTGCGCCTTCTCGTGCAGCTCGCGTGCGGACGCGCGGTCCACGCGGTATGGGGAGATGAACGCCGTGATCGCGATGCACGACGCGTCCGCAAACAACTTGGACACCTGACCGCGCGTTCAGCGCTCAGCATTCAACGCTCCGCCCTCGACCCCGCGAGCCATGAGCAAGATCTACACACCTCGCCAATCCGCCGGATGTTCTCGTTCCGCGACTTCTCGTCGAAGCCGAGATCCTTGTTCAGCCCGAAGCGGATATTGTCTCCGTCCAGCCGGTAGCAGAACTTGTGCAGGTGCAGGAGATGCTGCTCCAGCGCACATGCGATGGTGGACTGGAAACCTACAATGAGCCCGACCCGGTCCGAGATGGCAGCGTGCATTTTCTCACCTTCCCGCTCGCGCTCAGACCCGTCAACCAGATCGTGACGCCCTTCTGCTTGAGCAGGTCTGTGCGCTCAGCGCTGCCGATGGAGCCTACGAGTCGTTCGAGTTTTAGGAATCATTCACCCGGTACATGGTGCATCTGCCCGTACCTGGATGGAAGACAATGTTGGTAGCCATGTGATCCACGAACAGGAAGACCCCCCAGCAGTCCAGGGCTCAAAGTAGAACGTAAAGGAAACGTCTACTCTTCGACAGTACGCACAGAGCTTTTAGCTTGGGATAGAGACGTTTTTTGAGGACATGGTTGCGCCATGATGAGCCTGCATTCAATTCTCAGGATAGGCGGGAAGGTCACGTGACGTACAGTTACTGAACTTCGAAGGAAGACGCTATCCTGCACAGTGGAGACGATGTGCAAGCAATCACAATTCCGAATCCTTACATAGTCGACGTCAGCGTGCAGTCGCAGCCTTCGCCCCGGGAACCAAGGGTGGCGCGAATGTGACGTCTGAACGCAGTACGCTCGCAAGAAGCTGACGCCTCGAGAGGGCCGCCCCATATACTGCTACACTTATATAGTTTCATTCTCCGCGCGACATAAAGTGTCACCAACATAAATAAAGACAGATATGCTAAAGCAAAAGGATCCAACAAGAGACACAAAAAAAGAAAAACGAGTAAACCGCCTACTGATGCAATCGACTGCACACCCACAGCACAACCCTCTTGATCGCCTCCGTTACTTCCTCCGTGCCGAGCGGCTGATCCACAGGCGGACAATGCATGGACAGCACCGGCGCGCTCTTTGTCGGGCTTCCACGATCCTTGAACTTCTCCTGCCGTGACGACATGCGTTTTGCCTCTGCGAGCGAGCAGTAGAAGATGAAGTCGGAGAGGTAGTGACCCGCGTCCATGGACGAATAAGCCGACTACAGGCGCATCGTGCATGAAGAGCCGCGAGCATAATCCAAGACCAGAAATGATCAACCTACCTCGATGCCCGCCTCCTTCATGTGCTGAATGAGCTTCGCGACGTCGATCTCCGTGTGGATCTCGTCCGGGAAGTTCTCGTAGCCCTTGCCAAATCCGCGATTGGGCGGGATCTCCACTCCGTCCGACACCCCCTCGCCGACAGTGGACCCATGTGGCTGTGACAGCTGCGCCATCATCCCCAGGAACTGCTGCATCCGTCCGTCCTCCAAGGCATCATCGCGCGACACGTCCTTCGGCAGGAGCACCGCCGGCGCGTACTGGCCATCCGCATCCTTCATGCGGTATCCGTTCTTGTGTGCGAGCTTCTCCAAACGCAGCGGACCTCGTCCCGCGAGGCCCACATGGAACATAAAGTCGTAGCCGTTTGGCGGCGGCGGGGGGAAAACGTAGTCGGGGTCATTCGAGAGCGGGAGGATGGGCGGGCGGGCGTGAAGCCCTGGCGTGATCGCCAGCACGGCCTGATAGGACATGGGGACCTCGAGTGCGGTGATGTGGATGGGCTGGGGCCGCGGAGGCTCCTCCATGTCGTCGGTGATGATTGCCTGATCGTCCTGCATAACCAGGTCGACCGGCGGATCGGTATAGAGCACGGTGTTGTGCAGCGGCTTCACCGACATCCAGGAAGGGTTCTCGTTGAATTTGTGGAAGGGCTGCACTGGCGGTCGTTAGAGCGGGAGCACACCGGCGCACGAGACAAAGAAAGCAGACACGCACGCCAAACCCAGTGATGAGGACGCGGATTGCGTGGGGCTCGACGTCCATGGCGTCGGAAAGCTGGTATACAAGGTCAGACATGGTGGCGGATAGCGAGGGGCGGCGGGATAGGGAGGGATGAAGAATGCAGCGTGTAGCGCTTTGAGGAGGTCCTCATGTCACGCATAACAACGGGGTCACAGCATGCTGACGTAATACGATCTGACACAGATCCGCTCGCAGATCGGACTCGATCGAATTTGTCCTCTCCTAAAACGCGCTGCAGGCTGCAGTTGTTCAACTCGTCGCGTTCCCTCTGAGCTAATGGTGCGTCGCGCTCGACATGCCTCTGCATCCTTAAGGCTCTCGGAACTACCAATCCAGCCAACTCTGCCCGAGTTGTCGGCTAGTGTGCGTCTCACCTCCACGTTGTGCATCGGGTAGCCGTAAAACAGCGCGACACTTCTGGATGTCACTGCCCAGAGAAGGACAAAGCAGCGCGGAATGTGGACGGACTGCATCATTTAGCCTGAACCACAGCCGACTGCAAGGAGGGCCATCCGGGACGCTACAGGAACCTTGAAGCTGTCACACGGATGCGTGAGGGCACAAAGTCGGTTTCCGGTGCTCAGCAACCTACTTACGGCTTGCCATTCGGGTCTTCAGGCCTTTAGAACTCTAATAGAGTTCCGGCGAGCACCGCTTTGCGCCTTCTAGCCCTTCACCGTGACACTCACGTCGTCCTCCCCCTCACGTTTACGGTGAATGCCCGTCATGCAATCACAAACGACCGCTCCCATCGACCCGAGTGCGCTTCGTGTCCTCGTCACCGGGTTTGGCGTGCGTGCTTACGCTCCTCCGCACGAGTGGCGTATAGGCTCATGACGTGATACTCTTACCCACAGCCATTTGGTCCGATCACGGTAAACCCCTCCTGGCTCGCCGTCAAGCCTCTGCACAACACGACCGTCCATACCCTGGGTGCGTTCCCGAAACCCATCCACATCACCAGTCTAGAAGTCGCCACCTCCTACGCGACCGTGCTCTCCCTCGTGCACCCCCCCTCTGCACGCACGTCCATCTCGGGTCCCACAACCAGCAGATCCCACGCTCGCAGTCGCAACACCTCCAACAGGCGGCTATGACTTCATCTTACACGTTGGTGTCGCAAATCCGGGAAACATGCGCACCGAATTGTGCGGAAGGAAACACGGGTACGCGTTTCCTGATGCAGATGGGCACATGTGCCCGGTGGTGAGCGAGACAGAGGGCAGCCCGCCCTGCTCTTCCTACACATACCGCCGATTGGCGAGCCGCTCAGCACCGAGGAAGCGACGGAGGCTTTGCGCAGAATCGTCTCCTGGGTATGCGGCCAGGAGGACAAGGCCTGACGCGTCCGCGTCCGCGCATCATGTGCGGCATGGTCCGTAGTGATTGTATAGCGTTCCGTAAGTTGGTGGTCAAGCGTATGCGTATCAGAAGTCGGATCATGTCGCTTGTGCGAGACTCACGCAGAGAAACTTTGCTCTATATTGCAAGATGTCAAACTGGATATGGACCTAAGGGTACACAGCAATGGGACCGGCAATAATCCCGATCCGCACTTCATCTGCACACCCACGATATGGTACTTCTCAACACCGCCGTAACTTCGTCGGTACTGATGTGGTCCACTCCGGGGATATGGATGAATAGAGCCGGAGTGCTCTTTCCGCCAGTCGCAGCTGTGCGTCTGGACTCTGCGAGGGAGCAATAGTTGATGAAGTCGCACAGGTAGCGGCCTGCATCCAGCGACGGCGCGACGTGCTGCAAAGCAAATCAGCATGATAGGGCGACGAAGGCTTGGAAACAAACAGACCTCAAAGCCGGTCGCTTTCAAGTGCTCGATGAGCCTTGCACAATCGACAGGCGTGAGGAGTTGTTCCGGGTACTCCTCGTACCCCTTACAAAAGCCACGCACTCCTTCGCCATCTTCTTCTCCTACCACAACACAGTACTCTCCTTCCGCATCTTCCTGGTCGTAACCGTACTTGTGACCCAACTGCTCGATGCGTATCGGGACGCCTCTGCTGCTCATGACGCCAATATGGAGGATGAAGTCGTACCCCTCGGCGGGAGGCGACACGACAGCGAAGGCAGGGTCCTTCGGTGTGGGCACGACTGGTGGCCTTGCATGTAAGCCGGGGACTATGGACAGGACGGCATCGTAGGTTGTGGGCACCTCGAGTGCCGTGATGTGAATGGGAGTAGGGCTGTCGCCGTTGGTGTAAATGAGGGTGTTATGCAGCGGCTTGACGGCGAGCCATGATGGGTTCACTTTGACTGAACGGAAAGGCTGGAGACAAATACAGGTTAGACAGTGATATGCACGTGGGACATCAGAGAACGCATTACGCCGTATCCAGTGACCAGGACGCGGAGGGCGCCCTCGTCGGCGGAGCGGGGGGTGTCTGAAGGGACAGGCATGGTGGGTCAGTTGGGAAAGCATACACTTTAATATCTGTCACGGCAATCTAACGAGTCGCGTTATCTATCGCACGCCGACAGCACGTGACACGCGCTTCGATCACATACGCCGACAGCACGTGACACGCGCTTCGATCACATACACCGACACGCGAGCCTTGGATGCAAATCCTCGCCGCTCGCTACCACCATTGATCAGATCACGATGAGCACCGAAGGTGCGTTTTCTTGCATCATCTCTGCTCGTATATCTCACGCGGGGCTGCAGTAACATGGTACGCGTCTTCTCGCAACGTTGAGGTTGCGACGGCTCACCGCTTCCTAGCCCAGTCTGCTCGCGCAAAATTCTCGAGAAGGACATCAATCACCATCTGGACACTGGCTGTGCGGAGGACGTCGACCCAGCCTCAAAAGCAAGACGAGGACCCCCTCGTGCACAGCCCAGGACACAGGCTTCTATCGCGTCGATCTTCGGCGGGACACAGAAACCACACGCAGCATCAGCCGGTCCTTCGCATGCGGCTTCGACATCCAAGGCTCATGGGAAGAAGAGAGTACAGACAGATGAGACTTACGTATCTGCCGAATTGGGACCCTCAAAGCGGCCAAAAACCACCCCCACTTCAAGCACTATGACTTCTCGCATGAATGCTGCTGCTCCTCTGGCTGAACGCCTCCGCCCAACTTCGCTGGAGGATTTCGTGGGGCAGCCACACCTGACTGGTCCTGACTCGCTGTTACTGCGCTTGCTGGATAATGGCTCGACAGGAAGCATCATCTTTTGGGGCCCGCCGGGGTGCGTCATGTTCTCGCCCTTTTACTCGTTCATCGATTAACAGCGGAGCATCGGCCCGGTAGGTGTGGCAAGACGACTCTGGCTAGGCTGTTGGCAAAGCGCACGAATGCCGTCTTCAAAGAGCTCAGCGCGACAGACTCGGGCATCGCGGACGTGCGCGCAGTCGTTGAGGAGGCCAAGAACGTGCTCACTCTAACTGGGAGGTATGCTCGACGCTTGACTATGTCTTTTTCCTGACTTCATAGTCCTCAAGGAAGACTATTCTTTTCCTTGACGAAGTGCACCGATTCAACAAAGCACAGCAGGTCCGTCTCAGTGGTTTCGATTGGGCGTGTAACATGTCCTGACGTGACTTAGGACATTTTCTTGCCATTCCTCGAGCAAGGCCAACTGCAGGTAAACTACGAAAGGACCTCTACACCTACTCTACAGCTAATGTGCGATGCAGCTGATCGGTGCGACGACCGAAAATCCATCCTTCAAGTTGACTGGCGCCCTGATCAGCCGCTGTCGGTGAGTTCTCCGCTTTCCGTACCATCAGCGCCCATTCATCACCGTGCCTTGAAGCGTTTTCGTGTTGGAACGCCTAACAGACGAAGACATCACCAAGATCGTCACACAGGCAGTTGATCATGTCTCGCCACACCCACCGCCACCAACATATGCAGAACACACCACCGAAGACGAGCCGGACCGCCACCACCACCACTCTGACATACGAAGCTCACAGCCCGAAACAGAGGACGTCATCCTCCCACCCTCCTCACCACTAACCCCCATATCCACCGGCGACCCCGCCTCATCATCCAACACCCCATCGCCCCCCCAATTCCCCGCCCACCCCCACCTCACGCCCAAGCTCCTCTCCTCCCTCGTCTCCCTCTCCACCGGCGACGCCCGCACCGCGCTCTCCCTCCTCGAGCTCGTCCTCTCCGCGCCGCCCACCACCGACCCAGACGCGCTCCTCTCCGCGCTCCGCCGCTCGGTGTCGACCTCGTACGACCGCACGGGCGAGAGCCACTACGACATGATCTCCGCACTGCACAAGAGCGTGCGCGGCAGCCAGCCGAGCGCGGCGCTCTACTGGCTCGCGCGCATGCTCACCGCGGGCGAGGACCCGCTGTACATCGCGCGCCGCATGGTCGTGTGCGCGAGCGAGGATATCGGGCTTGCGGATAATCATGCCTTGCCCTTAGTACGTGCACGACCATCTTACTTTCTCCCAGCTCCATGATGAAATCTTTTGTCTGTCGTTTGCTAGGCGATGGCTGCCTTCCAGGCATGCCAGATGATCGGGATGCCCGAATGCCGCATAAATTTGGCGCACCTCGTCTCGTACCTCTCCGAGGCACCAAAGTCCACCCGTGCATACGTGGGGTATAACCGCGCAGAAGCGGCCGCCAAGTCAGACCCGACGGCTCCGGTTCCTATGCCTATGCGCAACGCGCCGACAAAGCTAATGAAGGAGCTCGGGTATGCACGTGGCTATTGCTATAATCCGGACTACGCGTAAGTCATCCTAGGACGGGACTTGTTGCGAAATCGACATGGACTGATTTGTGCGGCAGACACCCGGTCACGAATGACTACCTGCCGCCTCGGTTCAAGGACGAGGGATTCCTCCTGTCGGCAGGCGATATGACGGGAAAGAGCTGGGACGAAGAAGCTCTCCGAAATTGGGAGATTGAAGAGAACGAAGGTCTGCCTTGGGAAGGAAGACAATATGCATCGCAGAACGCACCAAATAGTCAACAAAGTAATACGAAAAAGTGATATAACACGTGATGGAAAGGATCTGTAGCTATAGCATCGTTTTAGCGGATCATACCCAACTTGTTGCGGCTCTATGTCCATCCTAGAATCTCATTTTGTTGCATACCTGAAGATTGAAAGCAATGTCTAATATATAAAGACACCCAAGCACTACCTCCACATGTTGCCTGTGCACTTCGCCGCCCCGCATCGACATTCCCTATAGACAGCGTCATTCGGCATGCAGATGCTCTAAATCACCTGCATGAGCAGCAATTACGAAGTACTCTGGCAGTACATACCTCATGAGGACTCTTGGGAGCATCCTCATCGGAATCGTCATCTTCGCCATAGTATGAGAAGCACAGCTCATCTCCAGGTCTCACATCGCGTGTGGTAAAGATCGCAAGAAGAGGCTTGTCGATATTGGCCTCGTTTATATAGACCGCGTTGATGCTGCAATTCGGATCACAGCTGTGGTTCTAGAAGTGGATCAGCAGAACTTTCATAGTGTCCCGAGCCAAAAGTACATACTAGATATCTGGTGAACTGTAAAGCACACAATGAGCCAATTGACCACTATCAATCTTCGTTTACTTACATTGCCAGCATGATACGCATCGATGCTATACTTGGAAGTCCAATTGGGGTCATCCACACGCAAGTGCCAGAAGTCGACGTCAAACAGATACGTGCGCCCGAACTTGTTGTAAAGGCTGTCACCACATCATCAGCAATGAGAACATATTTGATACGCAAGGTGCCACTTACACGCCCCGTTCCTCCGCTTCTGACTCGGTCAGATACTCTCCAGCATATATACCAATGTAAGTGTTAGCCGGGATCCTCTTGTGACCAGCGAAGACACCTGTTCAGATGTTCAGCACCGGATTGAAATTGATACACCCGAGTCATCTCAATAGCGACTTACCCCAGCCTTTGTCCTCTGTTTTGCAAATATTGATGGGGTATTTCCGGCCCCGCTGAACTACCTGTTGGAAAAGTGTAAGATGGACACCATGTCCTGCCATGAGAGCACTTACTCTGTTGATACAATCATCGGAGCATCTGCACAAGTCATTGCACTCGAAGATCGGGTACCCCTGGGATGTCAGTCTTCCCCTCTCATCATACAGGAAGCCAGGACTTTCAAAATGCTGCCGATGTCTCTGCGCACAGATGCAGGTCTCGGACTTCGGATCGCATGGACCGATGCAGTCGCATCCTCGCAAGTTCTCCCAGTCTGGCTTGGGCACCCCTTCGCCATGCCACATGAGGTTCGAGTAATGAAATTCGTAAGGAGGCGTCAGGTCATCATCAATGTCGTTGATGATGTGGATCGGCGGGGCGTGCGGCTCGTCGGTCTCGGTGTTTTCTGCGATTGCTGCCTCGAAGAGTTTTACTTGCATGTTATCCGCGCGTCGTGCATACCTCGGTAAGTAGTTAATCCTGTCTTCCAACTCATGAGGTAGATCCTTCGCTAAAACTGGGGGATGCGCGTATTCTTTCGCTAGTTGTTCTCGATGTTGTTCCCACGTCATCATCCTGAAGCCAGATTTTTGCGCTGTCAAAGCCAACGCTGACAGTTCGCTATCAGGGGTATACCGATTGGGGGTAGTGATCCGAGGTTCAGCGGAGAGTACGTCGTTGACAGGAGTCACGGGGCCGCCGGCGGAGGACCCTGATGAGGCAGACGATTGCCGGGCTGATGCTCGAAGGCTCATAACAGCATTGCTGGCTGCTGAACGAGGGCGCAACACACGCTTTGCGATGGTTGGAGATGCGGGATTTGACTGTTGATCCGATGCCTGTGAACAAACCGTCAGTAGTCATCGACGACCAATTGGCAAGATTGTCCACCTCTGATTCGTGAAGATACCACGCAATCTCTTGTTCTTCCTCTTCATCTTCATCTTCTGAAGGGGACGAAGGTGGCGGGTGCATTCCCGGCGAGGGAGCCCTCGATACGTCGCTCTCAGGGGTATCCACACCGGACGCACGTTCAGGCACATCCAACACGTCTTCATCAGGCTGCCCACCCAGCACCTCGGAAGCAGTAAGGAATGCTATAGGGGCGAATATCTCCACTGCGAGGCTGTGTGAAGTTGATTGTTGGCCTTGCATAACAAGGTCTTCATCGCGTATGATGTCCGGTTCGACAGATGACGCCGTTGGACGCGGTCTTATCACATCTGCAAACCTAGCAGGGACAGGTTCTATCGCAGAAGCGGATATCTCCGCTGCGAGGATGTGCGAAGTTGGTTCTTGACCACGCACAGCATAACGTACGACGTCCTGTTCGACAAATGACGCCGTTGGACGCGGTCTTGTCGCATCTGCAAACCTAGCAGGGACAGGTTCTACTGGAGGAGAGCTATTGTGAGGCCGCCGCGATCCGCGAGTACTACCAAGATTCCTCGGCGATTTCGAGCGAGATGGCACTCCATTAGCCGGCCACAACGAACTGATACTACCAGGCGGTTCGTCCGCATTGACAGATGAGTAAACGATCCTCGCATTATCAGTCATCCCTGCGGAGAACGAGTCGGTTAGAGAGAAAATCATGATCACGGATCCCTTCGGCTCACCATTAGAAGATGCATCGCATGGTGGGTTCACAAGGTTTTCGTCGTTGCTGTGACCTCTCTGTTCAACAGTGCTATGGACCTCAGCTTGCACTGGTACTGTCTCTTCCTCATCAAAATCGATGAGTATGGGATCGTTGGAAGATGATCCAGCGCCCGGCCTCTGCGATTGGACGGGTGTACTTGTGGCGTCATCTGTCTTCTTGTTCAATTGCGCATCCCTATACACCTGATTGAGGAGTTCGGTGAGCGAAAGACCTTGCGGCTCTACTTTCGCTGTAGACTCAACAGGTGAGGAATGCTGCGTAGCTGCAAGAGACTGAGCTGGGCGCTACAATAAAATCATAATTGAACATGAAGTGGTCGATAGAAGCAGAAATGCTTACAGAAGCGATCGCGCTCTGCGATATTGATACTGATGAATCTTCAGTTGGTACGATCTCCGGTACAATGTCGTGTGTCGGTGCCTTCCGTGGCTCTCCTGCTTGGCTAGACGGACAATTTACTAGCTCATCTGTTGCCATCTCTACACCAGGTGATATCGAGGCTGTTGGCGATTCTGGCTCATCCACTTGCATAGTACCCGGTGGGATTCCACTTTCGAGCGCGTTCTCGGGCGTCACAGTCTTGACCTCTTGCGCAACAGCAGTCGCAGATCCTTCAGCTTCATCAGCAGTGCCCGAATCAGAGCTCTGCGTTGCGGATGGTGGGTAAGCTAGCTCTGGTAACCGCTTCTCCATCTCGTCCGTATTGAAGGTGGGCGGCATCCCTTCGCATTTAGATCGTGCGAAATGTCCTCCTTCACGAGATTCTCCGGGTTTCAAGATTTTACTGGATGACGCATGCTTCCTCGATCGAAAGTCGTAAAATCCCTTGAAACAACCATCTGGACCACTGTAGGCTAACGGTAGCATCCTAGTAAGTGAGGAAGGGGATTTACCCCACCACTGCGACCCAACTGGGGACTTTGCAACCTGGGCTGCCTGGACTGCGTGATCGTCCGTAGTAGCAGACATGGCTGTCCGAGTGTTCTCTTGCACGAGTTCCTCCGAAGATTTGGAAACCGGCGCTATAGTATTCTCAGTCGCGCTGATGATCAGCTCTCGAGTTTGAGACGCTCGTGCTTCAGTTACAAGCATGTCATTCTGCATCTCCAAATGTGAGGGCTGGTCGGGTGACCCGGCGAGGTGCACAACAGACGAATCGGTGTTGCTGATCTGCAGTTGAATGTCGACAGAACTGGCCAGCTCCGCATCTTCGCGTTCGCATGAGACCCGAGGCGATGGAAGATCTTGACCTAAACAACAATCGCTTCAACAACATATTGGCGGAATGCACTAAATCGCAGCATTTACCTGATATGGCAGGGACATCCTGCCCGTTGGGAGTAGGAACACTGTCGTGTCTGCCTTCAGCTTGTCCTGGTATCTCATTACCTTCGTCAGCACACAAATCCAGAGTTTGCATCTGATCCTCGATGATGGACGGCTCCGGACTTGGCGGTGGCGGCGAGAATGTTTCTTCAAGACGAGTTAGAGTCGACATCTCCACCGGCGACGATCTCAGCTCATGAGGCCCATCTTCCGTGGACATCAGCACGTCCTCTGCTTGATCATTCGGGATCGGCTCCTCGTGTTGGAGCAACGCAGCCGACCTAGGAATTTCATTGCTACCTCTTTGCTTCGGCACGCATACAGGACTCGAGATAGCAGCGGACGGTAGCATGACATCGGCGCCTTGCTCTTCGTCGGTGTCAGAGTCTATGATGATCGTACCATCGGCATCACATTTAAATTGTGGTGGCGGCGGCTTCTTGGCACTCTTCTTCGCCTCCTCGCCATCCGTGTCTGTTAGACTGATCACGCCATTGTCTGGTACAATTAGAGCAGACTTGCGGGGACGTTTGCCTGAGGCAGCCAATGACGCATGCGATCTAATCGACGGTATAAGACTGGACGTACCTCGTGTAGATGGCTTCTGCGTCGAAGCAGGAGTCGAGTCACCCGACAGTATCTCTATAGAAGAGCTTGGCGGCTCCCGCCGTGGCTGCGGAACTGATCGAACATGAATACAGCAAGAAAGGCGAGTGGCGGGCGCCATACCTGGGCGCTTCTCTGGAATTGAGGCATCCGATTTGCGCCTCGCCTGCGAGGCTACTGGCACATGAGTAACATATATAAAGTCATTACGCGTAATTGCTTCACACCTGGAGGCCTGATCTTATTCGAGACAGGCTGTGTCAAAGCAGGAGGCCTGTCAGCAAGTGCGGACGATTGCTTCCCTTTATGTCGATCAATAGAAGAACACATGGCTGCTTCACGGAGTCAACTATACCTGCAGTTGCAACTGCCTTGGCTGAGATTGAAAAGACAGCTTCTGAAGCGAATGATCCAAACGACTTTCGCCTAGGTTGCGTCGCTGATATTGCATCAGCTAAAACGTACTTAGACTATCGGCTTGAATATATACCTGAGGAGCCTTCTGGCTGGACGGATCTCAGCGTTGATACGTGCACTGGGAGCAGCTTTCTCTTCTTTTTCTTCTTCGACGAGTAGTACTCTCCATTCGACGCTATTTTCAGGTTACCGATTTTCTCGCGAACAATTCACAGCACGTACCTGCAGATGAGTCGCTATCTCCATCTTGCGCGCTTGCCTCCATAAGCCTCGAAACGGAGAGAGGAGCTTTCGCGGGGCTCTTCGACTTGCGCTCGACATCAGCTTGCCTCATTATGGCCAATGCGTCCACTGGCAACTCCTCTGACGAGGTCTCAAAGTCGGACCGTGCAGCGCTCTTTCGTGCTTTTGCTCTCTCCAGAGGCGGCATCATCATTTTCGATGAGGATGCAATGGGCTGAGATGTTGGAAATGGGGCAGAGACGGTTCTTGGAGTCGGTCGCGGACGCTTTAAGGAGGCAGACGAAACAGAAGCTGGCTGAGTGGCCGGCAGCTTATTGAGGGTTTGCTTTGATGCAAAAGACCTGAAAGGCGTTAAGGGAGGATTTCCAATGGGAGGATGCCAGGACGGGCTGCCGCTTGCATGAGGCCACTCTCTTCTTTTGATCGGCGGGTTGAGAAAGTTTATCTCATCATTGCTGTCGCCACTGGACGACGCAGATTGCGCCCTGCGGGGCTTGCGGCTCGAAAGAGGTGGGTCGCCTGGCTTTCTGGCAAGAGAAGTGGGCTGTGAGGCAGGCGGCGGCATGAGTGTTGAATCCTTCTGTCGGAGAGCAGGCTGTGAGGCGATAGGTGCGTTCTCTGAGGGGCTGGATTCCGAGTCTGACTCATTCAAAAACTGGCGCGGAACAGGTTTCTTTCTCGGAGGCCGCTTTCTCGCAATCTGTATAGGATATCCTCGCTCTTCTGTTGGCAGAACTCCCCTTAGACTGAATGGCAGGAGAGGAACCGACTTTCCGCCCGCTGACATTGCGAGTAGATTGGTGGATTGGTCATCAAAGGCTAAAGGATGGTAATATACGTACTGTTGGCTCCTGGCGTCCTCACCAACGATAGATTTGCATCTTGGATCAGTGATGGTCTTGTATGACTGGAAGCTGCGTGCATGGTTGAAGACGGTGTATAGAACCAAGAACAGAGAGACGTACCACCATCCCCATCAACCTCCCCACCCACTCGACCTCTCGAATCCCCAGAGATCCTGACCCTTTTCACTTGCACATCTTTTTTTATGAGTTCATCACTGCCAGACGTATTCGGCTTCCTCTTCCGAATTGTGTCTTGGTGCACGGACTGCTGTGTGTCGTCCATTTCCTGACTGCTAATCGTTAACTCGTCCGTGCCATCTGAAAGCGCAAGCGAAGGAGACAATTCTACAGAAAGGCACAACCAGTCAGTCTCTTTTTGACGAGGAGGTGCGAGACGCGTCGTACCGGGGAGGACAGTCCAAGAAGGCCCGGGCGACCGCGCGCCACCGGCCATTGTTACAGAGCGGTATACGCGATGCAAAGTGCGCTTGGTTTACAGGCTTGACTAGATAGATATTCTCGAAGAGCTGGGAAATTGTGACGATTGAACCGCGGCCCCAGAGAGGGACAGTCAGAACGATGTTCAGGAGCGACCTCTACCGTCCCCAGATCTGAGCAATGCACATTCACCACGTGCTCCGAACTTGCGATCCCCCGCGCGTGGCGGTCGCTGAGCTACTTAGAACTATACTTACATCGATCGACCTCAATTTCTGCAATTGTTTTCTTGATTGTCTGTCGATGCTGTTTGACGTCTGCACAACCACGAGGAAGTACTGATGCATGTTGTCAGTAAGATATCGTGTCCCGACGCGCCCTCACCGACACATTAACGCGATGCTTGATATAGCTCGAATTCTTTATGGCTATAATTCCGGCCCTTGCAGCGTCTCGTGTCGCATATATACATCGCTCAAGGTGCGCTGTTATCGGAAACGGTGGGAAAACATCTGGTGGATCTCACGCAGAGAGTTCGAGTTCCACACCGGACGGTGTCTGAGCTATATATCTTATGTCTCTGGCCCTGCTCGCAAATCTGGTCATTTCTGTCCAGCAGGCAGTCATGGACAAGTCCTTGCCAACTCATCGTCCTAAGGTGGTGCGGCGCGTCTGCCACGCCGTCGCGCAGAGGGATATCGGCTGTCGTATCTTGTGCCACTCAGGTTCGCGTCAGCCCTAATCATGTCGCAGTTTGCGTACAATATGGTCTGGCACCCAGCTCATTGTTACGGCGGCGTAGTATAAACGGCTGTCGGCCAACGAACGACTGTGTGTCGCCTCCACGCAATTGCCGACTCGACTGTCCCTTCTTCCTCGACACATTGCGAACGGCCTCATCGTTACAGCCGTCTACCATCAACATCTTCTACAGTCCTTGCATCAAGGCTTCACTCTTTAAAAATGCTCGCACAAAACTGCAATCGCAGACGCTATTTTCTCAGAACCACGCGAAACACTTTTGGGCAATCAACAGACCGTTGCAGGCGACACAACAGTGCGTGCAGTAGGTAGTCGGACGCGACGGACCGCACCCACTTGCAGGTGGATCGGAACGATATGATATCGTTAAAATTCAACTGATCCGGGGCAGCGAACAACGACTCAGCACTAGTGCAAAAAATCCTACTTTCGCACGTTTCTCAAAGAAACGTACTGCTAGCACAATCGTTGCTCGAGATAGTGACTATGAGCAACGAGCTCTGTACACCACGCTCGCTCCCAAGTCGGGCTCGATAAAAAAAGCATCCCGAGTCCACACTTCGCCACTATGTTTCCAAGCCCAGTTCTTCCGCAGGATCACTCAGTGTGAGTAGCATGGTAAGGACTGTTGGATAATTTTGGGTATCTTGCCAGTGAATGGAAACTGTCCTTTTTCAATATCAGTCCTGTTAAGCAACATACAGACAAGGGCCACAGCATAGCTTGCGTGTAGGATGTGTTATGTGGTTTGCCATTCTTGTTGCAGTTTGGGCGCAGTGGGTGGCCTCCTGAGTCGGAAACTATCGGTTCTACCCATGAAGTAAAACCTTGTGATATTTATCTTGTTATCCTGCTCATTGCCAGGCACTCGGTCGTGCACTAGCGTGTTTTCAATGATAATCGTAGCTAACTCTACATATCAGTTCGAGTGCGTAAGGAATTTCTCTACTGAGGTGCGGTTGTCTGGAATTGAAGCAAAACAAATAGACAACCAAACTGTACGAAAACCATCTCTCCCGCAAACGACATCGCGCGCTGGTCTCGCTGAAAACATCAGAACATAAGTTGCTGCTCTCAAGGTCCGGGATCCGGGGCGATTTCCCCTAGCAGTGGACGTTGAAGATACCGATGCCACGATATCTTTCATCCTCCAGCATGCAATTGAAGCCGTCGCTGACAGTGTACTGAAGATGCCATCAATTGGAGCAACCAAAGCTCATCTGCTCACAGAGGGTATCAGCAATACCAGTATTCTGGGCGTGATCATCATGCTCACTAACGATACGGCCATATCCTGCAACTCGGGAGATGCGCAGAATGGCAGAATCTGCTTTGCTTGCGATCGTCTGACTGACGTTGACTCTGAATGCAAGTCAGAATGCCAGGTCTGCCGCTGTCTGAGACGATTACAGTGTACACGCTCACACTCCTCACCCAAAACGCCACCGGCCGCATTGGGGTCAACCAGGCATGGACATTGAGGGACACAAGGTGAGACGCCCCATAGATAAGCCTTACGTACCAAATCAGCCAGTGTGTTGACGACCTCACATCCTCTCTAGGCTGCTCCAAACACAGGCGGCGGGGGTTCCAAAGGCAAAAGCACTCGCCTCGCATCTGTCAATGTCGAGACATTCCCACATATCCACGTCGATGACATCAAGGGCGACCTCGCGCGGGGATGTGCTCGAGTACAGCAAGGTGGTGGGGATCGACTCGCCACGTAGGGGTATAGTGAACTTGGTGTAGACACAAAGCTACCGAGAGGAGTTCAAGCAAGAAAAATATACAGCTGTGAGGGGACATGATGGACCCGGGAAGAAGAAAGCACTACGAATCGCCGTTAGTAACAGGTGCGGATGCCAAACGTTGGCTGACGAAATCCTTGATAACTGGTAGGGCCTGTATGATCAGCTTGATGGGTTTTGTCTCTTCTGCTTGACGGGTCAGCTCTGTGCTTATGCGCGGCCATAGAAGACATACCAGAGAGCATGACGCTGCCGTGTTTCTTCATAATCTTCTTGTCGTGAAGTATGTCATGATCCTTTGGGATAAAGATCAGCGAGTTCTTTGTCTTTCGTCAGCATATAAGCAACGTAGCAAAGACAGCTTGGGCAAACCTTGTAATACCACGTGCGGAGACTGTCGATGTCTCCAGGTGTGACCGGCACACTGTAGTTGCCGACAACTTGTACTACGGCACGAACAGACTTCATGACGTTGACAGCTAATTCGAACGCGCTAATCAGGCTGCATGCGATGTCAACAGGCAAAAGACATCACTCACGTCTTTGCCGCATCAGCGCCATGAGAGCCTCACATCCCGGCCCGTGTCCGATGAGCATAATCCGTCGAGCTTCGGTAAGTCTGGATAGCGCAAAGTCAGATAACGTCCGCTGATAAGCATGGAATGGTACGTGCTGGATGTAATTATCCCACAAGTAGGTCATGATATCCGCTGTTGGGTCGTCTGCGTGTCTTGTCTGTGCAGAAGATTCAAATAGTCGCTTCACGCTAGAGTTTTGTGTACTTACTTTGCTCTTGGTAAATGGTTTCGCAAAGACGTTCACATCAAGCAAGGCGTAGCCGGCGCTCGTCACCCATGCGATCACTTGTTTGGAGCAATCGACCTATAGGCATGCGGGTATAAGAATATAGTTAGCCCACAAGAATCAAACAACCTACTAGATACGAATGCTCCTGGTTGACATCACAGTATATCACAGAGTCGAGCTCCGCACGCAGATTCCCGCTGAAATCCTCGTTGGCTTTGATAGTCCAGCACTGCATGGATCAATAGACGGACGTACAATTCGTGAACGAAGACGACTAATACGTCGTTATCCATAATGTCCGGCCTGCCGATATCAGTTCGCAGATGGACGCATGCAACGGGGAGGCGAACTCACGTGCAAGCCACTTGGGAGCCAAACTGCTCTTCGAGGGCTTTCGGAATCAGGGGCACTTGCACCATGGAGTGCGTCCTGAAGAGGTAGTCTTGCCTGTGTGCCTTGAGCAATTCTATACGAGATAATTAATCCGATACATTATTCATGAGTTGAGAATCGCAAAACGATGAACTCGACTCTTACCGGACATTGAGAAAGTAATCGGCTCGATTTCTGCAATATCAGCCCATCGTCATCGTCAACGCTGAACGCGCGTTTCGAAAGCAGTACAAACCCTCTATTGGTTCACAGGCCTTTGGGTCAACATTCTTCCAATATTTGCTCTGCTCCATCGCGACTTGCCATATCGTCTCCGTCGCAACCTCAGAAGCGACCATCGATTCAATCTGCGGCGGCGCTTCGCCTAGGAGGACCTTTGCCACAGCAAGCGCAGAAACTGAAATTGCGTCCAGACTGTACCCACCCTACAATGCCATTCAATCCAACGTTTCCGATCCCAGAAGAAGGGATCGCGTACCTCGAGAGCAACGACAAGCTTTCCGTTGGCGAGGGCCGAAAGCATGTGCGTCATGTGCGCATATCCGGTAGGCGAGACGTGGCACTCGCCGAGCGTATCTCCCTCGGCTGCATCGAAGCCCGAAGAAACTTTTTGATTACAAAAGCCGGTCAGCCGCAGAAACTGTCTCATGAGAAGAGCTGATGTACTTATGACTAGATCTGGAGCGAACTCCACCGCAATTGGCATGATGACCTTCTGGAATGCGTGAAGGTAGTCGGCATCGCCCATGTCTTTTTCGGGCCATGGAATATTGACCGTACTGTGGTACATAGATAAGTGCCTGCATGATGAGCGTAGAATACACCTACTAGCCAAGACCATCGCCCTGCCCACAGGAGGTCAGATTGCCGAAGGGTCCGTTGGGATAGAAATGGCCACCCTCGTAGCGGTGTAAAGAGATGTAGAGGACGCTAGGGTCATCGTAAAATGTACGCTGAGTGCCATTACCTACGGAGAAGTTTGTTGAGATGGTCTTTCATGCAATATGTGATTCTGCTTTACCGTGATGGATATCCCTGACAGGAGTTTCAGTGGGCGTGTTAAATTTCAGCGCAAGCAAACCTACCAGTCTAGGATCATGATCTTCTTGACCGAAGTACGCAGCTGGACCACCTTCGATGCTATCGATACATTGTTAAAGAAACAGAAGCCCATATGTTCGTCGGGTTCAGCGTGATGTCCGGGTGGCCTGACAATGGCGAAGGCCTTTTTGACATCACCGCGGGCGACCGCAAGTGCTGCCTCGATGACACCTCCAGCACTTAGCCGAGCAGCATATGGCGTGCTCTTGTGTACGTATAGAGACAGCTCGTCATAATACGCTGCAGAATCAGCTATGTCCTGGTCGGTCATCGCTATCCACGGCGCGGCTCAGTCAGTTAGACGATCAATACAAGATATTCACACTTGCATTGTATAGCCATAACTTTCTCCCACAGCGCCTCGCTATGGACCAGCAAAGCCTCTGATCGGATCACCTGTCGGATAGGCAGTCTCCGCATTTTTCTGGTGCAGCCAGCATCCTTGAGAATGTCGAAAATGCGTGATATGCGCTCCGGCTGCTCCTCGTGATGCCCACGGGAGCAGCTATGCATCATCATCTTGGACGAGTAGACATAGCCGACTTGCGCTTGGGAGGGTGCGAGGATGGGTGGGAGGGATGCAGCACGAGCCACCGGTTCGGTGGGCGGGTTCGGTGGCGGCGGGGCGGAAGACGCTACAGGTCCCTCGGAGTCGACCTCCATCTGCACGGCAACCTCGACATGTTCTGCTTCCATCGATAACACTTGCAAAAAAAATCTGGCCTTGAATTGCGACGTGCGGCCTCGCGTTGAACTTGCTTTTAACACGATCGTATCTAGTCGGTCACAAAGAGTGACAGATCCGATCGACGGATCTCAGTGGTCCGCATCAAAACACGCGCCACCAGGCCACACCGCAGCATGCTCCCGCCAGCTCGACGGACATGATGACTTTATTTCAAGATTGTACGCGACGTATTGCAATAATATTGGCCATGTTTTCAGGTCAGATTATTCGACGTGGAGCAATTGGCTTTCGTGTATCGTACGTGTCTATGGTGGACATCATCGAGGGAATAGTAGTATGAAGCAGTCAAATTGATCGTGACTAACGAGTTCAGGGCAACTCTACCTATACAACTTCTCGTTCAATTGTGAGGGTCAACGTCGTGGTCTTCAAATTAGAAAGGACACAGTGTCCACCTACATGTGTGACCGCCCACGGGGTGTGAACGCGATTCTCAGCGCTTTGCTCCTTTACATCCACTGCAGCCACCACCTTGGAACGCGGCCGCAGGCACGTTTCGGTGCGTATCAAAGCCGACCCACATCCGCGACGTGTGCGCCACGACTAACTTGCTCGCCCTCTATTGCAAACTTAGAACCTCGCTGGCCAGTCATAGCAATGGAGAAGGTGACGCTACCGTCGTACTCCTCGCCGCCAGCTAGGCCAGCAAAGGCCAAGGTTCTCTTCCTGCTATTAGTATATGCACTCCTCGGGTTTTCGATAGCTACTCTTTTCCGCAAATGGTCCTTCAGCATCGTAGATGCTTTCTATCCGGTCCCACCGCATGTGCAAGCGGCCCTCACACGCTGCCGTTCACTCAGTCTTTCCCCTGGCCCGTCACCGGAGTTCTTTGACCGCAGGGAGTCCGACCGCTACGTATCAGGCACCAAGGCGTACCTGCTGAAGAACGCTAAGATATGGACTGGCGGAAGGAACGGCACGGAGATCGTGAATGGCGACGTTCTGCTGGACAAGGGCATGATCAAGGCCGTTGGACGCGTCCATCGTGGATTTCTGCAGTCGATCAGGGAGGATGTGGTGACTATCGACGTGCACGGTGCTTGGATAACGCCTGGGTAAGTGCTGGCCCTCACTCATTTCAAGTAAGCTACGCCTGACGGACACGTCGCCGGATGTATGCAGTATCGTCGACCTGCATTCGCACATCGGTGATGCGTCTAGTCCGGAGCTGGAAGGCGCGAGCGGAGACGATAACTCCTTTAAGGGTCCCATTCAGCCGTGGCTCCGATCTCTCGACGGGCTGAACACTCACGACGCGTCCTACGAGCTCTCTATCTCTGGCGGTGTCACCACAGCGCTTGTCCTACCCGGTTCTGCCAACGCAATTGGTCTGACGCGTGCAGAGTTGTTTTGAGGAAATTTGCTGATGCTGAGCTGATAGGTGGACAAGGATTCACGATCAAGTTGCGAAAGACCACGGAAAGGTCACCGACCTCGATGCTCCTCGAGCCTCCATACCAAATCAACAGCTCATTCCCTGTGGCTCCTGGTCATCCTCGATGGCGTCAGATGAAGTACGTTGTGCGAGTCATGGGCATACGCTGTATGAGCTGACATAGTCGGTGCTTCACAGACATGCTTGTGGTAACTAGCCAATATTGATTTGAAATGAAGAATTGCTCATCGTGATGCATCTTTTCAGGGGAGAATCCAAGTATGTATACGCGCAATTATTCACCAGGACGACACTGAACTTCACAAAGGTAGAGTCTATGATTACACCAGGATGAATACTGTGTGGGCCTTCCGAGAAGCGTGAGTCCGCATCGCACTGACATGGATCTCGCATCTAAGTCTCCTCCTCTACTACAGCTATAATAAAGCGAAGGAAATCAAAATTTCACAGGACGAATATTGCTACAACGTATTCGCCGGAAATTACAACGCTCTAGAAAACAAGCCGTTCCCGGAGGACCTGCAGTGGGAGGCGCTCGTGGATGTGCTCAGAGGACGTGTCAAGGTCGGTCACATGTCACGTAGTATGAGGGTGAGCATTGATGGCAATGTCAGGTGCAAGTTCACTGCTACGAAACTGTTGACTTGGATGATATCGTGAGGGTGCGTCTCCTATGCGGGAGCCGTTTCTGCGGTGAGAATTACTTATATGGGTGCTGTAGCTGTCGAACGAGTTCCAATTCCCTATCGCTGCCTTCCATCATGCGCATGAGGCATATTTGGTACCTGATGTCTTGAAGAAAGCTTACGGTGCGTGTTGTGGCTTCAGTATTCTGATGACTGGAGCTTCGCATCTGATGACGAGTATAAAGATCACCCTCCTGCCGTCGCCATGTTCGCCACGAACGCAAGGTGAGGCGAGGACGTCCTCCGTGCCCGTTCGCTAGTTGACGGCTATGATCATAGGTACAAGCGCGAGGCCTACAGAGGCTCCGAGTTCGCACCTCGGATTCTGGCTCAGAATGGCTTGAGGGTCGTCATGAAGGTCGGCTCCCATCGCACTTAACAAACACGTTGGCTGAACCATCTTCTAGAGCGACCACCCTGTGCTCGATTCGCGATACCTCCTGTACGAGGCGCAGCAAGCATACGTTTATGGCCTCCCGGAGAACTTAGCCATTGCCGCGGTGACGAGCACTCCCGCTGAGGTCATGGGGATGGGCCACAGAATCGGTTACATTAGGGAAGGTAATGCAGTGTGTATTTATGTCCCAATCGTCATTGATTTATTCTTTGGCTTTCAGGATGGGATGCCGGTACGTCGATATTCACATTGTCACACGACCACAAAGTTAATTTCTTTTAGATCTCGTCATCTGGGACAGCCATCCACTCGCTCTTGGCGCCACCCCGAAGCAAGTCTTCATCGACGGAATCCCGCAACTTGAGCATCCCTACGTGTACAGCAAGCCTTCCAACTTCCAACTCAGACCCAAAGTGCCCAACTTCGACAAGGAAGCTGCCGACGCGATCAAGTACGAGGGCCTTCCGCCGCTGGAGCCGAAGGAGGCAGAGCCTGACACCGTAGTGTTCACGAACGTCAAGAGCATCTTCGTGCGCGCGAATGGAAGCGTGCAGATGCTTTTCACTGCACAGGATGATGAGCCCGCTGTCGCCTTGGTGGTTAATGGAACGATAAAGTGCACGGGTACCACAGCGTCTTGCCTAACCTCATCTTTGCTCGCAGACGCTCAGGTAATCGATGTCAAGGGGGGCTCTATCGCGCCTGGGCTTGCAACATTCGGGGCTCCTCTTGGTCTCGTGGAAATCGCTGGAGAACGATCCACTCAGGACGGATTTATCTATGACCCTCTTCTGCAGAAGGTTCCTGCCATCCTGGGCGGAGACGTTGCACTCATCAGTGCAAAAGATGGGCTGCAATTTGGCGGAAGGGATGCTCTGTGAGTCCAGCCTGACAATACATCGTGCATGGTGAGCGCAATACTGACGAGCGCGATGTTCCGCATAGCCTTGCATACAAGTACGGAGTGACGACTGCGATCACAGCTCCCAACCAACGCGGCTTCTACGGAGGCCTCAGCGTTGCGTTCTCTACTGGAGCGCTCAACAAGCTCGAAGAAGGGGCGGTACTCCAAGAGATCAATGCGTTGCATGTCTCTGTGAGACACTTTGGTGGCGCGCCAAGTATCAGTACTCAAATCGCTGTGCTCCGGAAACTGCTGATGGAAGACAGCAAGGGGGATGCCGGCAAATGGTTCGATGCAGTTCGCCGCGTATGTTCACTGTAAAATCTATTTTGATCATGCAAGCTTACGAAAGTCATATACAACTATTCAATAGGGCCGGGCTACGCTCGTGATCGATGCTGACAGCGCGGACGTTATCGCCACTTTAATCCTTCTGAAGAGGGAGGTGGAAGAGAAGTTCGACAGCACGATCAAGATGACCATCGCCGGCGCGCTCGAAGCTCACATTCTCGCCCAAGAAATTGCCCATGCAGAAATTGGCATCATTCAAATGCCCGTTCGGCCGTTCCCTAGTGTTTGGGAGCGTCTGAGGATGTGAGTCTAAGTTCTGCGTGAACATGCCTTTGCCTGATCGCCCGTGAAAATCAGATTGCCGGGGCATCCGTTGACCGAGAAGAGCTCAATCTCTGTCCTATTGGAGCACAACGTCACAGTAGGCATCGGTATTGAAGAGGCGTGGAGTGCCCGTAACACTCGCTTTGACATCGCCTGGGTAAGCCTGGCATGTGTAACTCTCACAACAAGGTTCTAATGACCATTGCAGGCTGCCTTAGAGGCTGGAGGGACGATGTCAGAAGAGGAGGCCATTGCCCTTGGATCAACCAACGTCGAAAAGCTGTTGGGCGGCGATGTCGAAATGGAAGAGCTGCGTGACATGGTGGTTACGGAAGGCGGTGGATTGTTGGATTTCGAGAGCAAAGTCGTCGCTGTCATCTCCCCTAGGCGGAAAGCTGTGGACCTGCTGTGAGATGCTAGCATAGTTGTGCATTGTCCGCTGTAACAGTAATTTATCATGAGTTTTGATGTCATGCATCTAACCAAGTTGTCCGACTACTGCCAGGTTTCTATCCGTAGGCAGAATGTGGTATTGATAAACAGCAACAGTCTACAACGCGCTCTCCTGCCCTCTACGCTAGTACATTATACGGATTCTGAGACATCGCAAGTCAGTAGCGGAAATTGGAGTGTCAAACGTGGACCGCTGCTTACGCTGAAGGAGGCTGTTCAGCCGTGTTACACGCGATATGACACTCAGGTCAATCGTCTTGTCCCCAAAGTCTACAACGACGCCACCGAGAATAGCAGGATTGATCTGCACACACATGAAATGACCGCATCACAATGAAAGCACACCAATGAACGTACCTTGTTCGCCACCTTCACCGTCTTCGCCTGCTTAGCCGCCTGCGACTGCCTGAGAACAGACTCAAGACGCGTCTGTACATCCTTCGCCAACGGCGCGGCCGACGTGATCGTGACGGTCAGCTCGCCATTGTGCTTCGAGAGGAGCTCATTAAAGCCCTCGATGACCCCCTGCGCCTCCGCGAGGCGGCCGTTCTCCGAGAGGACAATAAACAGGTTTTTCGTGATCTCCGACACGGGCTCCTTCTTCGCGCCGGTGCCCTCCGCCGCGGTAAAGAGGCCAGCAAGCCCCGCGAGACGGTCCCTCGCGGACAGCGTCGGGTTTGTGATGAACGTCGCGAGCTTGGGGTCCGTATTGATCAAGGACGAGATGGTCCTCAGCTCGTTCTCCACCTTGTTGAGCGTTGGCGCGGGCTTGACGAGTGCCGCCTTGAAGATGGCGCTGGAGTACTTGGACGCGATCGCGCTGACCGAGCGGCGCCCAAGGCCGACAGAGAGAGCCGCAGTGCGGGCGGAGGAGAGCAACATCGTGTGCATTGACGAGAGCGTTTGGCCAGGCAGCTCAGCTCAAAGCGTCACTTGCTGCTCGGGAATTCCCGGCTGTCCCTTTCCTCGGCCGCGTTCACTCCTGTTCACGATCGTCTTTTTGAAACGAAGTTATTTTATCGATTACCCTCCGAACATACAAACTATTGTACATAAGTTATAGCGCGTATCTACGCGTCATTTTGACGCGAACAATGCATGCATTATGAGCGGCTGGTAGCGTAATGTATGTGCAACAAGGAGCGTGGTATGGTGCAACGAATAGCAATGTGAGCAGATGCAGCGTGAAGGTAGCCAGTATGAGTAATGCAAGGATCCTATGACACAAATTGTCGATGCGCGATGAATGATGGGATGCAGTGTCTGGAAACACGCCATGCCAGAGGGATACATGCTTACATAATGTCCATGTCGTCTTTCTCACTCCTCGTGAGAGTACCGCTCTGGTATGGTAGCGGGCGCCGCCATCGGAAGGTTGCGGCTCTGTCTTCGGGCATGGTATGCGGACGATGGCGTCGTCGGTGACGCCGTCGCGAACGAGCCTGTCGACTGGGACCCCTCCGACTCTGATGGTGGTCGTGAGTGTTGGAACGACCATCGTCGCGGGAGGGGCTCGCCCAGCGTTGTCTCCGTACTTGACGAGAACACGCTCGGATGCTCGCTACTGGCGGTAACTGGTGTATGCATGGCAGTTGCTGGCGGTGACGGGTTGCCAGGCCGGAGAAAGTCCACCTGTGAGGATCCCGGCGAATGCGATTCCCCACCTGTCGGCATCTTTTCGCCGAACTTCTCGACATCGAGGTCCTTGTCCTTGTCCCCGTCTCCATCGCGGAGCATCGCCGAGTCTGAATCGCTCGGGTTGCTGGCCAGCGCACGGTCGCCCCTGCGGCCGCGCCGCCCACAGCACACCACGAGCATGAACAGGCGCCAGAGGCCGAGGTTGACGAGGATGTTGAGGAACATGATGATCACCGCGATGGCGAAGATGACCGCGATGACCACCCCGATCGCAACGCGCGGAATGGCGCTCACGGAAAGAGTTTGCGCGAACGCGATGAGAAGGCCGGAGCAGACCATGCGCACGGTCGCGAGGAAGCCTTGGAGAACGTCCGCGCCTCGTGTTCGATACGGCTTGAAGACTATCAGGGATACGAAAAAGAGTACGTCGAGGATAAGTAGCACGATCGCTTGTGCGAGCCCATGTGCATGGCCGAAGGCGGTCACCATAGCCTTGACGATTATCGCAATCAGTAAGGCGCCGACATACCACACGCGCTCCGAGCGGAACGGCGCCGTCAGAGGAGCTAACGAGTGCGACGTCGGAACTGTAGCGGTGGTGGTACGAGCGAGGACCCGCGGCAGGTATGGTCGGATCACGAAGTAGATGGGGGGCAGGACCAGCGCCATCATGATGACGAGGGTGATGACAGAAAGCAATACCGACAGCCACGAGTCATGCAGCGTCCACTGGTAGAAGATGAAGGTGAGAATTGGGAGCACCGTGATCAACACTGCTCTGAGGGCCCAGGCACGCGCGAACGGCAGGTAGCCGGACTCGAACGCGGGGAGGTCTCTCAGATGCTGCTTGCCCCATGATGTGCGACGGAGGCCGAAGTAGATGCCAAAGCCAAGGGCGAGTGCACCCAAGACAATTGCTGCATATATAAGCGCAGTAAGGAAGATGGTCATAAACGCGTCTGCTGTCGCGATGCCGATATCGTTCACGTAAATGGGAATGCCCGCTTGGAGGACATCTGCACCGTCTTCAGACGTGACAACGGCAATGTCGTCCTGCACGGAGCGCTTCGCACTGTTCAGCGTCGCCCTTGTTAGCAAACTCCGTGCAGTTGAATTGAACAAATCGATCGTTGGGAGGGATCTCGCCTTCGCAACCAGTGACTTTGATGCCTGGAACACGATATCCGTGTTATAGGGGCTCAGTCGGCGATTTACATACGCAGTACTGCCACCGCTGCTCGCGTCGGAGTCGTCGCCGCCCGTCAGGCTCCGCATGCGGTTGATGGAGTTCTGCATGGACGAGGTGGACGATTGAGCAAACAGGCCGAGCACCCAGGAGAAGTTGAGTGCGAAGGAAGTATAGATGGTCGGGTAGTTGAGGCCCAGCAAAGCAGAGGAGGCGATGGTCTGGTAGAGATAGAGGAGGTCGAGGAAGCGGATGGGCGCGAGCGCGAGTATGTTGCTGAATACTGATTTCAACAATGCAGACGCGAGCGCGAGCAGAGCAATTGCCGCAGTCGTCCACTCGACCGCATACTGATGAGTCGACCAGCCATTAGCCAGGGTTGCCTGCAGGCACGCCTTCACGTCTCCGGTGCCAACCTCGAGCAGAGTGACCTGCGCGAACGATTCAAGGTCTGGTATGATATACGCGATACCAGGAACCACTTTTGTAATATCGACTGAAGACGGGATGGTGAGCCAATCTGAGCCGGTAAAGTTGTACTGCGGGAGAGGGCACAGGAAGCCGCCGAAGAGCGAGCAGATGTCAAGGGTATAGTTGATGGGCTGGGCGCCGTAATCATTAAGGTATAGATTGGCGGTCACATTTAAATTGTCGAGCTGCGGCCATAAGCGGTAAGACGGCGTGTGAGGAAAATATGGTGAGACACACGTACTACGCTGGCGGCGGAGACGTTGAAGAAGATCGAATTGTTGGCGGGATAGTACTCAATGTAGAGCTGCTCTACGAGAATCTCCTGGGGTTGAGAGCAGTAGGAGACAGAAGACGTGTCTGAAATGGGAAGTCAATTGTAGGCCAGTTCAAGAAGGTGTGGAACTCACATATGACCCTCTCGTGAGCATAAGTGAAAGCGGAGAAAAGAAGAGAGGAGAGGAGAGTGTGTCGCAACCGGGCGACGGAGAAGAACATGAAGGGCGATTGCAAGCAATGGAGACACGCCCAGGACGGTCTCAGTACTTATGGGCCCTGGAGCGGGATGGGCGCGCGTGAGGCGAAAGCGGGAGACAAAGACGCCTTGTTATTCACTGGAATGTTATTGTTGTCGTACGTTGTCAGGGTAGTATGCGGATGATGGTGAGGAGGAGAGAAAGAGGTAGTACTCATAAAGCAGACATAGGGTCAGGCAAAGAGCACCACTGACGACTTGAGGACGAAGACACAGTCGCGGACGGATGTCTGGTAGGGGGACACTTTTATTCATCCACCACCTGCCGATCCGCTATTCGTCCCATTCTCGGCCGACCCGGCTTCCCTTTTTGGGCATCCGGCGCCCTCGGCATCCCCCGGGAACCGCCCATTTATGCGTTCGTCTCCGCCACATTCCATCCATTCGCTTGCCCTCTCCACAGTGCCCCTAAGCGCCAACACAGCTGACAGTGCTGCGGGTGCGTAAATGCGGAGAATGCGTGGAGGCCTCGGCGCTGTGCAGGACGAAAAGGAGCTGATGCTCATCGCTGCAGCGTCTTCTATTTCTGTCGGGGCTGTGTGCCCGTTCCGCAGCGTACACATTTTTCGATACATCAGGAACATGCACAGTTAGTGCCAAATCAGTGTCTAGAAGTGTACGCCCATGGTGAAGGGCTGCAACGCGCCCTCGCGCTGACGAAACGGTGTCATCTCCGAGCGCGGAGAAGATTCCCACTAAGCAGATAGCGTGGCATGATGCCCGAGTATGATCCAGATGATGTTCATATCTGACTGCATTGCGTCGCGTAACGTCAACTTGCTCTATGGCTGTGCGCAACGTGCCCTCCAGTCGTGGTTCTCGGGTCGTATGCGCAATATTCGCACTCGGCCTCCTCGCCGTCAGCGCCATCGCCTCTATCGCCTTCTCTCACGCGTCCTTATCCTCCATCAGGCAAGGCCGCGGAACGAGGGTGCCCCTCCGTGCAGCTAACATTCTGCAGCATTGCCGTGCACTGGTGCGAAAGCCTGGTCCACCAGAGACGTTCCATGGGCGCGTCTATTCCGATAGGTTCCAACCTGGGACTAGGCCCGTCCATCTCCGCAATGCGTCCTTGTGGACCGGGCGTGCTCAGGGCCTGGAAGTCATCCGAGGTGATTTATTTCTCGCCAACGGAATAATCAAGGCCGTGGAGGAGGTCAGTCAGGAACTGCTAGATGCAAACAACGGTAACGTGCTCACATTCGATCTGAACGGGTGAGCCTAACGTCGCAATCTGCAACGCGTTCTGATTGACTCGGTGGCAGTGCTTGGATCACGCCAGGGCAAGTGAAGAGATGTGAAGTATGACCAAATAGAATAACGATTCGACTTTGTGCAGAATAATTGACGTTCATTCACATCTCGCCGTCGAATCGGCGCCGAGCCTGAGAGGAAGTAGTGATGGCAACTCCTGGCAAGGGCTTGTTTTACCGTGGCTAAGGTCCTTGGACGCCTTGAATACTCACGACGAGGGTTCGTACTGCACATTATGAGCTCTGAACCGCACACCGAGTTACTCGTTTTGTAGGCTTCATGCATTCCATCGCCGGCGGGGTTACGACCTCATTAATCCTTCCCGGTTCAGCGGATGCCATTGGTGAGAGCACCGCTCAGCTGTTTCAGACGTGCAGTTGACGCTTGCCAAGGCGGCCAAGGTTTTGTGATCAAGCTAAGACCCACCGATGAGCGTTCACCATCGTCAATGCTGCTCGAACCTCCGTTCAGTCTCAATGGCTCAGACATAGATCTAGATCTACCCCCGAGATGGAGGCATATGAAGTATGTATGTGTTGCTGCTGTAGGATTCTGTTGTCTCCTTTGACTGGATTTATTCAGGCATGCATGCGGTGTGTATCGTCGTCGTGTAGGAAAACCATTACACTGACTGACGTTTCCCATACCAGGTGAGAATCCAGGTGGGTTCATAGGATATCCAACTCTTCACGGACTGCCGTAATGACCAACATACAGCTAGGGTGTACTCTGGTACCCGCATGGACACAACCTGGGCATACCGCGAGGCGTGAGTCGTCGGGATCTCATATTCGTACGACGGGCATTAAATCGTAATATGTACGATTCAGGTATAACAAAGCACGCGATATCATGACCGCTCAAGACGAGTACTGCGCCAAAGCACTCGCCGGCGACTGGGACGCTCTCTCCGGACAGTCCTTCCCGAACAACTTACAGTGGGAAGCGCTCGTCGACGTCCTCCGCGGCAAAGTCAAGGTCCGTACCGCGCCTTCCCCAACACCATTCACCTCGCCTGTAACGGTAATCAGGTCCAGACACACTGTTACGAGGCAGTCGATTTTGATGACTTTGTCCGGGTGCGTGTGGCGTGTATGTGCTATATTAAACTCACCGGGTGACACCATGACAACGCAGCTGTCAAACGAGTTCCAGTTCCCCGTCGCCGCATTCCACCACGCGCACGAAGCCTACCTCGTACTAGATCTGCTCAAACAAGCCTACGGTAAGCGCTGCTGTGCCGCGCCGGCATCTGCTAAGTATAGCGCTCAATACTAATTAGAGCACACCCCTGCGATTGCTATGTTCGCGACCTTCGCCAGGTAAGCTGTACATTGCATCGAACCACACGTCGCACAATGGAAGCTCACGCGCTCATGGCAGGTACAAGCGCGAGGCGTTCCGCCACTCCGAGTTCGCGCCGCGCATACTCGCCGATGCCGGCGTGCCCGTTATCATGAAGGTGCGTCCGAGTCCGCGCAGCCGGTGCTGTACACATAACTGACGCCCACCGCGCAGTCCGATCACCCGGCGATCCTCTCGCGGTATCTCGTGAACGAAGCAGCCCAGGCGCACTATTATGGTCTGCCGGAGAATGTTGCGTTGGCGTCTGTCATTAGCACGCCCGCTACGGTTTTGGGGCTCGATCACCGTATTGGATATCTGAAAGAAGGCTAGTAGATTACATGTTTTCCGCTGATGGGGTGTTGACGATTGGTCCCATTAGGCTACGACGCAGGTCCTCACCGTTTTTTCACGCGATGTGCCCTGCTGATGGTGGTAAACGTTCAGACGTCGTGATATGGGACAGCCATCCGCTATCGTTGGGCGCCACTCCCAACCAGGTCATCATCGATGGCATACCGCAGTTCGAACACCCCTACACAGCGAAGAAGCCCGCGTCCCATCAGCACGCCCCCACGACACCCAGCTTCGACGATGAGGCCTCCCAGACACTCCGGTTCGACGGCCTCCCACCGCTCGCGCCGCCGGTCTCGACCAACGGCACCGTCGTGTTCACCAACGTGTCTAGTATGTGGATAAGAGGCTTCCTCGGACAGGGTGTGGTGCAGACACACGCATCAGACGGAGATGCAGAGCACGTCGTGGTCGCCCACGCGGGAAGGGTCGTCTGCTCCGGGACGGGCGACGCATGTTTGTCGTTCATGGTGCACTCGGATGCTGTGATGATCAACCTGCACAGAGGCGCGCTGCAGCCTGGCCTAACGACATACGGCTCTTCTCTGGGTCTCCAGGAGGTCGCAATGGAAGTATCCACCACGGACGGTGCGGGATACGACCCGCTCGAGGCGGACGTGCCCTCCATTGCGGGCGGGGAATATTACGTCCCCCGCGCGGTCGACGGTCTTCAGTACGGCTCTCGGGATGCATTGTGAGCCGATTGCTCGTCCGGGACTTCTGATCGCTCACTCAACATGTAGGCTCGCCTACCGTCACGGTGTCACACTGGGCATCACACCTCCGATGCATAGCTCGCTCTTCGGTGGTCTCAGCACGGCCTTCTCTCTGGGTTCTCCGCACAAGCTGGACAAGGGCGCGGTCGTGCAGGACGTGACGGCTCTGCACGTCTCGCTCGCTCGCGGAGGCACGTCCAGCGTCAGCACCCAGGTCGCCGCGTTGCGCCGGATGCTCCTGGAGCCCATCGGAGAACGCGGGGCTTGGCTTGGGAAAGTGCGGAATGTGAGGTGCCTGCGTTTTTGTCGTGCGTGTTGTGCGCTCATGTTAGGCAGGGCTGGATTCCACTCGTCATAGATGTAGACAGTGCGGATGTCATAGCGACGCTGATCGACCTCAAGCACGAAGTTGAGCTCGTTACCGGCGTGAGGATGAAGATGACTATCAGCGGAGGCACCGAGGCCCACCTACTCGCTGAGGAGCTGGCTGGAGCGGACATTGGTGTCATTCTTAAGCCTCCTAGGTCTTACGTGAGTACTGGTTGCCTCCTTACGGGTTTTCGAGAGCAGTCTAGATGCTGATCCTCGATGGTGTCTTTCTAAGCCATACGATTGGGACCGCAAACGCATGTACGCATTTATCTGCCAAACCCTCGATGGGGTTTAACTTCATTTCAGACTGGCGGGCCCTCCCCTCACGCAAGAAGGGCCGGTCGCCCATCTAATGAAGCATGGCGTCAAGGTAGGTCTGGGACCACACGGTATCAGCGGTGACTATGCGATGAGCGCCTGGGCGGTGCGGAACCTCCGTTTTGATGCAGCATGGGTCAGTTCGCGACGGCTGATCTGTCTGTCATCTGCATTTACTGATGAACCACCGCGTTGTTTGTAATAGGCATACCTTGAATCTCCTCACATCCTTACCAAAACCTCCGCCTTCGCCCTTGCGTCGTCGAATGTGGAGGAACTATTGGGACTCCAGGTCATCCCAGGACAGGAGGATCTGGTCGCCACGTCCTATAGCGACGTTCTCGGGTTTGAGGGTAAAGTTGTCGCTGTGATCTCCCCGCGACGGGGGGTTATCGACTTGTTCGAGTAGTACTTATGCTGGTTCGCTTTCATTTATTCTGTTAGCCGTTGTAGGAACTAAGCGATCTTGTGATGATTGATATATTATTTGCATCGCGGCCTCTGAGAATGCTGTTGGCAATTGACGCGGAGCGGGCCATCTACGCACCCCCTGCGTTCGGCCAAATGATAGTGAAACGAAGCTGAATGCAGGACGCATTTGGAAAGCCCATCCTGAACAAGGCTGCCAATATTCTTTGTGGGAAGCATATACTAGCAGAGGAGAAAGCGCGAAACAGAGTTACGAGGTGCTAACTGCTCACCGCCGCCGGATGGCAGTTAGTACTATGATGCACATTCAGCTCTCTGCTTCGACTCCTGGGCCCAGAGAAAAAATAACTCGTGCATGTTGGTAAGCGAGATGTTAAGGAGGAACTGTCAGATTCATGTAAATTGGCTCGAATGTACATAAATGATAAGAATACGTGGGTCACGGAAGCTCTATTCACGGCCCGTACGGATGAATACGCGCCTTTTACTTCCCACCCGTTACCCGCGCCGCTAAGTTTGATACCTGGCATGAATCCAGGCAGTGCGCAATAAACGAGTAGGAAGCAAGACCACTACGGGCGCTTGACTCGGAGAGAGTGGCATGCGATCGACATCAGCGATCTGCGCCGGGCGGCCACGAGCCTCTCGTTCGGTGACACTCACCAGAGTAATGCCATGTCTGCCATCGCGGCCCAAGCTGGCGCTAGTTCGAGTCATAATACTACCTCGGGTGCACCAAAGCCGCCAGTCGTCCAGCCAGGTACCGGCAACAACATCATAGTAAACCCATGCCAGGTATCTCCGCATGTAGCGTGAAGTTCGCACCCATTGGCACTGATCGTAACCCCACAGCGAGGGAATCCTATCCTGGAATGTGTCAAGAACGTGGGCAAAGAGTTCGGAGATATTCTCGCTGACTATCAGGTGGGACGGGCGACTGGCGTCCTGTTTCTCAGGTCAGCGGTTCAGGCGCACTGCATATTGCCCGAGCTGACCGGGGAACTCAGCTTGCGGTATCATCGACTACATCCTGAGTACATTCATCAAAGGATAGAGCGTCTCGGGCATTCGTACGACTTGAGAGTCTTGTTGCTCATGTGCGATGTTGTACGTAGACCTGATTCTCTGATTTAGGGATCAGTCATTGAATCGAGCTTCTGTAGAGCGAACATCAGGACCCCATTCGAGAGCTGACGAAGGTGATATCATTGCTCGCTATAAGTCTTCTACTCGGCTGACTGTGCTCGACGTCAGGTTTGCCTCATCAACAATATAACTATCATGGTAGCTTGGAGGTGGGCGCTGTCAAGCAAGTGTCTTCACAGACTATATTGCTAACTCGTATTTCACAGTGCCGAAGAAGCAGGGTATTACCTGTCAACGTATAAACAATTCGAGCACAAGCCTCCCGACCTAATCAAAGAGCGTGTAGATAAGGACTATCACTCCGTACTGCGAAACACCCTCACGACCATAAGTAGAGTCAACAAGACAGACGTGGAGACATTACGCGCCACGTTCGGCGTACGTAGTCATTGTCATGCTATGTATAACCTTTCTTATGGCGGGTAGCACAGAGTTTCGCAGGTATCGCGGGAGCTACCTCGGAACAGCTGCAGAACCTTCCCGGCTTTGGCCAAGTGAAAGTCAGCAGGATGCAGGATGCATTCGGGAAGCCCTTCCTGAACAAGGCAACCACTACTCTTCCTTCCTCCTTCACACAGCCAACACGAGCAGAACCGGCAGTGAAGGATAAGGGCAAGGGCAAGGAACGAGCAACCGACACAGAAGAAGCAGTAGTTAGCGGAAGCACCGTCACTCCTCGAGCTCCAAGAGCACCAAGTCCAGTCTGGGACATCGAGCTCGAACTCAATGAGTCGCCATCAACGTCACCGAGGGCAGACCTCCGCCCCGATTCTTCGCCCATATCTTCCGTTCCCGCACAACCTGGTACTTCCGCAACTGATAATGGGGCGCACAAGAAACGGCCATCAAGCCCCATCTGGGACATCGAGCTCGATTTGAACGAGTACGATCTGGAAGAGCCTGCTGAGATTGAGACAAGTAAGAAGAGGAGAGTGGATGGCAGCTTCGGCGAGCCTCTCTTCCTTCACGAGACCCCATGAGCTTATTCGGTTACAGAGGGCGGTAGGAAAGAGGAAAATGTCTGCTATCATACAGGATACAATACTCTTGGTACACTAGGCTCGTGCAATCGGCAGCAGCATGGTATAATCACGTAAAGTGCTGGAGAGGAAATCATAGAATAACGATAGACAAATCCGGCCATCATAAGTGGAGACAATAGTTGGCAGATACCAGATACTCTAGTTTCTAGGCTGTCCGAAATAGCCATGCAGGTTTCGTGGCTTGCCAGTACCAGGGCCAGAGCGGAGGGCCGCCATGCGCTGGTAATGCACACGGAAAGATAGACGCTGCAATGCGGCCTTCGCGCGTGAACGGTCCAGATGAGCGGCGCGAGTGTCCACTACAGGCAACAAGAGGCATGAAGAAGTCTTTCAATCTGAGCGGGGAAAAAACGTACCAATTTTGCCATGCAGGCTGTCTAGTGATATTCTGATCTGTTCTAATGGCGTCGCAGGCCTCTCTTTCGTTGGCGAGCCCCTATCCTTAACGGGGCTATCCTGCTCACTGCGTTGCTGCTTTTCAAGCAAAATGTATCCCTCTATGTCCGTCAATGCCTTGCCGAGAATATCGAGATAGCACACGAGATCCTCGTAGTAATCGTCATTATCCGCATTTCCTTGGATGTCGAAGATGGCCTCGGAGCCAGACGGAGGAGATAATAAAGAGACGATGGGCAGTAAAGAGGGGTACTTGCAGTACGTTTCCTGGCGAGTTCACGTAAGAGCTGAACGAATCGTCCGAAAAGCAGCACATGGCCTACATACCGTTGACGGCGGCTCTTCATCAAGGAGGAAACAACGGGCAATAATTCGCGCCATCCGATTTGTCTGCGGACAACCACCTATGAGATGGGAGAGCAGATGCGCTTGGTTCATCGGAGTGAAGGTCTTTGCGGATCGCACGATCTTGCAGCAAGCGACAGCCTCCTGTGACGTTGGTTCATTAAAGATTTCAAAATAGTAATTTGGTCGACATACGACAGAGAAGGGAACATGGTCTCCAGATGGAATACTTCGCCCGACAGACTCAACCACGACCATGATCTCTCTGCTCAACTCAGGACTGGTCACCGGGTCTAATCCCACAAGGAGGAGGGACCACATGATATCCGGGACATCGTTAACTAGCAGAGCGCTACGCCTAGACATACCGATGTCAGAAACTTTGTGAGGTAGGGAGACACGAAAACTGACTGAGCGAATGTAGCAACAAGGTCGAGCAGACGATGAACAAGGGCCACTCTGCATTGTCCATCGATTTGTGATAATGGGCGTGCCTCCGAACTCCAATCCATTGCCTTGATGACACTCTCACTGGCGCCCAGACGTATCAAAGTGTCGAGTATGATGGAGAATGACAGCGAAACAGAAGTGGCCAATGCTATAGGCACCGAAGCAGCGATCTGCAACAGACTATTGTATGCCGATTCGCTGTAGGGCGAATCACCAGACGATGTGACTGACGAAGCATGATGGTGTTAGATAAGAAGAAGACGATGGTCATAAGCTTACCCAGGAGGAATAGCCATGGGACAATGCGTTGCAAATGCGGCTGCTCTAGACACACTAAGAAATGTGGAACAAGCAGGCTAAGCAAGAGCTCGACGTCTAGCACATATCGCATTAGCAGCTGTCTTCATACCATCCACAAACCCTTACCGTTGCCATGTACAGCCTGAAAGAGCGAGCTAAGGAAAGGATGTTCACTGGCCTCTACCTGGTCAAACGGCAGCGGAGGAATGGAGTCGGCCTCCATCGCCTCATCGCCGTCATCGGGCAAATGCGTGTCCCAGAACGGCACTCCAAGAATGCGCCCTTTCTTCTGGTTCTTCTTCTGCTTGGCCGTCATCTTCAGCCTGCGATCCTTCGCCAGGATATCACCGACCGCCTTTCCACCTTCCTCTCCCAGAATCCTCTCATATTCACCCTCTTGTAGCTGCTCGTCCTCACTTGTGGATTCATAGCCGTCGCCTTCGTGAGACTTGTGTTCCAGCCCTGGCGACTCCTCGATGGGAACATGCGCCACTTTCTCATGCGCACGAGGCGAAATAAATGGATCTTCATCATCAGATTCGAACTTGACGGTCTCCTTCGTTCGAGACGAAGAAGCCAGAGCAGCCTCAGCAGCGCGCAACGCGTTTATCCCCCTGCCGTGCTTGTCAGCCTGATTCTTTTCCTTGAGCAGCGCATCGAGTGGATCGGACTTCCGTCGCGGCTTGCGCTTCTCTTCTGTGAAAGTCGCATATAATGACGGAAGCTTTGAATCTTCATTGCTGCTAGGGTCACGACGGCGCATATTATATCTGGGCTCGGACTCGGCCTCGGAATCGCAAGAGCCGTCCAGATCGGATAGGGTCGATTCAGACGGAACAGATGCGCTGCTAAATTGAGGAATCGTCGATAAGATCGATGCACAACGGACAAAGGAGTTTGAAAAGGGCGTACGTTTTGCTGTTGTCTTTGTCTTTGTTCAGCATAGCCATGATGTCGTCGTCGGACTCGTCGCTGCTATCACTCAGCTCGCTAAGTTCGCGCAGCGCCTCCTCCGGGCTGGAAGTAACAGCCTTATAGGCGTTGGCTCTGATCTCGGCAATGATTTTTGCAGCCTTGGAATCTGCATCCAGGGCAGCAGGGGTAGGAGGCAATGAAGGAGGCTGGCTGCTTCGTGGGGGGGTCAGGGGAGCAGTGAACAGCGGGCTGTCAGACCTGAGCTTCCGAGCTGGTGAGGCAGGCAAAGAAATAGCAGTTGAAAGTGCAGCGCGACCGTCTGGAGAATCGACCGGTGTGAAAAGTTGTGCGCTGACTTCCGCCTCTGACTGCAGTGAGAGATTTTCCCTGCCGGCAAGAGCAGAATCATCTACTTGTGAGACATCGACATCCATAGCCATGTCAATATCATGCTTAGAGTCTCCGCCATGTTCAAGTGACTCGCTTTTCAACGGGGCACACTCTGGATCTGACGCACCCACACACGTCTCTTTCCTCCACTTGTCAATGCTCTCCTTCACTTCGGCAGGATTCTTCTTCACAATCTTGGCAATGCTCAACTCTTGTTCGTCAGACTGACTGCTAGGAATCAGTTCTTCCATATCCGCCTCGTTGCCAGAACTCAACGTGTACACAACATGGTCGTCGAGACGAGCGCGCTTCGTCGGTGTCGGTTTTCTGCCAGATCGAGCAATGTCGCCTTTAGCCGTTGAGACCAGAACATTGTCTCTGGGAGCAAGTGCCCTCTTTCGCGCCGAAGCCTTCGAAGTCTTCTTTGGAGAGAAAAACTCCTTCGAGGAAGTCGGCACCTTTCTGGGAACACGGTAGTGCTCTAGGGGCTTCCCCTCATCAGAATCATCCTCCAGCTCGAAAACTCTTTTAGGAGATGGTCTCGACTTGACAACAGAGTGGCTACGGTTGCGCAGTTGAGACATTGGAGGCAACGGAGGCAGGGATGCGGGCAGATATGTAGTTTTAGCAGGTGTGCTCGTGACTAGATGTTCGTGCGGTTTCAGAGTGAGGCGAGGAGCAGGTGCAGCGCCTGGGCCGCTTCGCCTGCTGAGCTGCATAGGTGCGCGTGCACGAGGGACACTGCTGTCGCTAGAGATGGAGATGTGGGATGGGGAGTCTGAGGAGATGGTGATATGAGTCGCGTCCGACGAGGTCGAGATAACTATGACCTCCTGCGCGGGGCGTGCAGGAGTATTCGCCTTCTTCCTGGGCCTGCTTGACGCGCTTGGACCCGCAGCCTTCGTTGGGCTTCTGACCTGCGATGGTCCTGGTTGCGACGACGAAGGTAGCGATTGAGAAGCTCGTCGCGGGAAGAAGTCGAGGAGCGAGCCTTGACTGCCACCTAGGGACTTGCGCGGGGATGGTACTTTCCGTTCTCTGGGCATAATGCGGGGAGGGTCTGTGCAAACACGTTGGGATAATAGGCGCTGAAAGGAGGTGGTGCGCACGTGATGCTCACAAAGGCGCGTTCTGGGACCCCGGGGACCGCGCCACGCGACGACGGGAGACGCCCAGGTATACTCGTTTCGATCACGACTTGATGCTGAGGTGTGGGATAGCGACCTCAGCGACATCAGCGTGCGCGACGGCCCCTCTGCTTTGACTGGAGGAAAAGAATTGCATTGGACATAAATGTCATGCATAGCTATGATGGCCAGCGAAAGCACGTCATACACTCCGTACGTGCATCTCCGACATAGTTGCAGCCTGTTCTCACCGTCCGGCACCAGCTGGCCTCCTTGCTCTACCAGCTGCACACACTGTCCTTTTTACTCTCGCCTTCGATATGGCTCTATGTTGCCCGTGTTACCACTCAGTGGCAGTTCTCGAGACCGCGCTCTCTGGACCCCAGCCGATCGCTCCGCGTCTGGTTTCTCCTTTCAGTGCTGTTCAATCTCGGAGCCTTATGGGACCATGCAAAAGAGGGCGCGGCGCAAGGGAGGTCTATCATCCTTGACTTTGTTGGAATGTGTACGTAGCATGCGTTCATAAACGTCAATTGTTATTGACGATCCTTCGCCACACTTGCTGGATCAGCCCATTTGCCATCGAAACTCCATTTGCTCTCCTTGGACTTCCTCATCATATTCCTGCAGATGCTCCTTACAGTCATTGCATATGAGACGTCACTTGCAGCCGATATGCCATCTAATACCCCAGACCCCCTCCTACCGACGCCCATCACAGCCACACACCGGTCCTCGGAAGAGACGCTCAAGACCGACTCGCCGTACATCATCGACCTCCGTTTCCCCTTGGTCATAGACCGTCTCCGCAACCCTCCACCGCCTCCAGCACCTCGTGAAAGATCACTCGAAGAGGTCCTACCGCTACCGAATACTACTCCGTGGCGACTGTCGAGCAGGTTGCAAGAACTTGTCAGAATGGGCCAGGGTGTGATTGAGCACGGTCGCGAGGGAGAGGCCGCAGGACAGACACAGAGAGACGAGGGCGGAGAAGATGAGCAGGTTGCCGATACGAGACAGGCTGTTCCCGGAGCACTGAGTATTGAGGATGGTCCATGATGTTTGTGACCTGTCATGTTATTTAACTTTTGTACCTATGGATAATGATTGGGTTGGATTGGAATCTTCGGTCAATGTGCTCAATGTCCTGCATCCTGCAATCCTGAGTGCTTTCTGAGACGGACCTAGCTACATTCTCTATATCACCATTTGCGTTTCATCTACCGCTGTTCTTCAGGTATTCATTCACGCAACACGCAGTCTGATACATACCGCTTCTCGGAGACACGCGCCAAACTTTGAAAACTCCTCCTTACACGCATCCTTCTTCACGTCCGTGTATGTCGCAAGTATGCATTTGCCATACGCGGAGGCTTGGGATGCGCAGGTGCTCGTTGAGTGCATTGCCAGTCTCTGGAGAGGAGTCATGGCGGGAGATGATTTTGGTTTCATTTCGGATCACCAGAAGAGAACAAAGTAGCCTGTGCTTAGGAGTCGAGGATGTCTGCGACGTGCGTTCACACCACGAACTTGAACGAGCGCTCAACACGTCTAGCGTCGGTCATGTGATTTCGTGCGCGCTACTCGCCTGCTCGCTTCTAAGTTCTGCTTCAAGTAGCCTCCATTGTAGCTGCCAGCTCCTCGCCTCGCCTCGCTTTCTATCGCGCCAGGGCGCGCTCAACATACCACGGCCGTGGCTACTTGCAGCGTTTTCGGTTTTCAGTGACTCTGTTGTCATCGCCCTGGGTGCCTACGTTTCACTCATCTGGTTCGCGCACCTTGACCACTACGGCGTCCCTAACGCATTATTCATGTCAAGACTTGCGAAATCTGCCTGAGAATCTCCGTTTATAAGCTCTATTTTCATTGAACTGCAACATGCTCAACGTAGTCCTCCTGGTAGTGGCAATATGTGTTGTCGTTGCGCTCATACTATACCTGTTCTTCTGGAACCGCCTTGTCGCACTCATCCTGAGCCTCATCGTCCGTCTCGCCTTATGGAATCAGGACGAGTCCAGTGTATGGATTAGCATCGGTATGTACCTGAGATCTGCTTGTACTGATTTCCCTGAACAATTGTCAAGGCTCCATACACTTCTCCGTCCTCATGGGCAGGATAGCCTTCAAGGACCTCCGTTATCATTCTAGCAATCAGACTATCAGAGTCGTCAAAGGACAAATTAGCTGGCGATACTGGATCCGCCAACCTGTGGAGGAGGAGGACCTCAGCCATGCACGGGTTGTTGGGGAGGATGCGAACCGTGAGGCTCTGTCACTTGTTACAATCCTTTATTTATGCCGAGCACTTGTCTGCCGCAGACAAAGAGCATGTCCCGCTATCATGCCGCATACATGTGTCGCTGCAAGGCCTTGAATGGTATATCTACAACAGAACCGCTGCATATGACAACATCGTCGCTCGTAAAGAGGGAAGTATGCCATCTACGCCAGCCCCTACCCCGACTGCCGCTGGAAATGCTATAGACGCGCGGGAAGCCCTCAGAAAGTTACTCAGCAGGACGTCCGTTCGTCACAATTGTGAGTCGCGGTCGTCAACCGAATATGAGAGCCTCCTAATGCTCTAAATAGCCACTAGTCTTCGTCCATCTTTGTCTGTCGTGTCGCCAATGTATCGGAAGTCCCCGGGATTCGTGAAGTATGCCATAAATTGGATCAAGACACAACTGCCCAACTTTGATCCAAAAAACCTCCTTCCTATCGGCATTGAAGCTACGAAAGGTGCCATCATCTGTGGCAATGCATCAATACCCAGTCTTCTTGTCATAGAATTCGGAAAGGCTGATTGTACGTACGGGATTGTTCAGGTCAGTTTATAGCTGGCTACCCAGCCGTGCTGCGACGTTGACGATCTCTCTCAGCCAAGGTCTAAGTTCGATTTATATAAGCAGCTGCTAAATGTCAAATTACGCAATGCTTCTGCTTGTTACGTCGAGAACATGGACTATCAAGAGCACATGAACGATGTGGGAGAGAAAGTGCATGATCAAATCAAGAAATCTCATAATCCTTACCTGAGGCAATATTCATACCTCTCCTATCTGGCATTCGAGAAGTTGTGGGACCGCCTCAAGCTCTGGTCAGTGGCGTTGACTTCTCGCTCTCGCCTGCGAGCCTTCTTTGGGTACACGAACGTCCCTGTTCCGCATCCGCCCACTTGGGGCTGGCGCAAGAACCATAAAGATCTGGAAGACGAGACGCCTCTTGGCATTGATTTCTCCACCTTCGAATATGCTATTGAGCGCAAGATACTTGAGGCACCAGAGGTAGAGGTACTCTATTACGTTGACGTCGTGGGCATCGTGCCGTTCGAGCCGCCTCATCCACAAGCAGATTTCGGTGGCGCTGATCCGTTTGACATCGGCAATGGAGATCTCCCTCCAGAGTGGGGTATTGATATCATGGTGCGAGGTGGATTTCTGCGCTATGGGCCTTGGGCGGATCGTCAAAGGTGGGCAGCACTTTCATGGGCTCATAGACATTTATTGATGCACGTCACAGGGTCATTTTACAGCACTGTTTCTTTCCGCCTCCATTTCACGATGTCGAGCCAACGGCACATCTTAAACCGGGCGATGCTCGCATGTGGACTGGGTTGAAGATATTCGTGGAATTGCAAGATGGTACCACATTACATATCCCCTTCCGGGAGGCCTCCAAGGTCAGTTGCGTCATTTACCCAGATCTTGAGTTGGACTCCTCATATGAGTGGGCAGGACTGGCAATGGGGTGGCAAAGTGGACGTGCCTAATCGACCGCGGAAGCGAGAAGCTGCCTCAATTCATCTCAAAGCAGGGGATAGCTCCACAATCACTTACATCATGCCCATGGTGGCCGGTCTCCATGGATATCAGCCTATCCTAGAGGTACACCTGGACACCGTAGCAGTAACGTCGAGCCTCAATGACATGCGTTTGCTGACGGCTGAATCCTGCCGTGTAGGTTACGCTTCTGTTATTGCACATTAACTAATATTAACGGGGCGCCGATCGCTAGGTACGATGTCAAATGCCTTCACCTCTCAAATGGAATGGCGAACGAGAGTGGACATTTGCAATCTCTCTCCGCCAGACGCAACTGTTCCTGCTCAGAGATCACATCAACATGTTCACCGATTTAGGGAAAGATTGGAGCACGGGGCCGCCAACTCCATACTATCGTTTCACTCCAATGATTTACGCTGTAGAACTGGACCTGCATCACTACGAAATCAATACATACGTTAATGATCATAATATCATCGACAAACCGCTCATTAAGGAAGATAATGGTATTTCTTTTCTTGCATCCGCAGTTGCGGCATTATCCTAACAGCCATACCCGCAGCACTAGTCACCTTGCGAGGGACGCACCTCGTCAACGCCATCCGCATCCCATTATCACAGTATAGACCCGAGGCCACGACTGTGTCATTTTGGATTGAAGTACCCGACGTGGCTGTCGCTCTCACGCTACCGCGGTGGAATACGAACTCAATCTATCCTACTCCTGATCGGAGCGATGTAGGGCGTGTAGGCGTCCTCACCATCAACGGCTCATATCGATATCATGCGGAGGTCTCTGACGAGAATATAGATCAGTTGAAACTGGATATTCGGGTATGTTTCTTGACATGTTTTAATCTGTTGCTCGGCTGGACGAGGCTAATCGTCGCGCGATTTGAGGCCCGTGATGTCGTCTACAAGGCATTCGGTTGGACCATACGGCATTTCATGATCTTACGTGACAATTACTTCGGGATCTTCACACACTTCTCTACCCTGTCCGAGTATCTGGAGAAGCGCAGGAAAGGTCAGCCGGTTGGCGATCCGATTGATCTACAGTACAGGCCAGGAAAGGTACGTCAGCTTGGTCCTAGAATAATAATGGAACGGTCAATAATCTCTATCAGTCGAACTCCATGGAAGTTGAACTTGGTGTCATGGTGGATCGAGGTCTAATCGCTCTGCCTGCCGGGCTCCCGGGCTATGAGGTGCATAGTGCAGGTCAAGATAGAATCGCAGATTCTGGGCACTTGGGGACATGTTTGCTGGTAAAAGTACCGGAAGTCCAGCTGCAGCTTCGCACGAATGATTACTACATGGGTGCGAACAAACCAATTACCTCGTATTGTACCCAAGCTCATTCATCCGGCGTAAGATATGTCTCTGAACGCCAACAATCTGTTTGGTCGTTTCGAGGAGTGCTGCTCGTACGCATCCTTCTATCGTTGTCTGAATGCCTCACCCTCGGATGATATCATCATCCTTGACGGTGAGTGATTCTCATCTGGTCATTCCTCATACTCAGAGCATTGTCAGGCCTCGACATCACCGCAAATAGATTGTTTGGTCCCAAACCGCATACATCGACATACGTCTGCATGTGGGAGGTCCACATGGGCAATATCAAAGGGGTCCTCTCAACGTATCAAACTGCTTTGCTATCTGCAGTCGGTTCTTCCTTTGGCCTGAATTTTTCGGATCCTCTCAATGCCCCAGCGAAGGAATTCGAAGTGCCTGTGGATCCTGATGGTTTGTTTCTCTTCATTAACTTTGCGTCCCAGGCTAACTAGTCACTTAGTCACCTTTTTAAAGCTCAGACTGGATTCCATTAACGTCGTGTGGCTCGCTCCAGGTGCTGCCATCGAATTGTTCATCCCGGATGGTTTGAGACTCGACAGCAATGACCTGGCTGGGAAGTCATATCGCAAGGTGATAAGTGTGCGGCTACCTATTGCGACATGTAAGATCTTAGTCACGTCGCGGATGTCCCGCAAATGGTATGAAGCGTCTCGTCTTGACATCGATGCAAATGTGGATATCTATTCCGCTCCGACTGGCTGGCAAGATCGCGCGCGCGCGCAGACTGAATACGTTGCTGCACAAGACAAGCTGACTAGTCGAGCGAGCTGCTTCTATTCTGCACGACAAACTCCCGCACAGTACGACGAATTACTCCCAGGTAAGAAGCTATATGCGGTGTTGTTGTCTGATCTGTTGAGCGTTCTTCCATAGGACGTGGCCTGCTCGACAGCGATCTCTATTTGCCACAGCTACGTATTCCGAAGCGTTTCAGGAGGCAAAGAACTGCTGCAACGGCTTTCAATTTGACCTCGCCGATACGATCTAGTCTTCGACCAGCCGTTCCCATCGGGCTACAGTCAGAATCAGAAGGCGACGAATGGTCGACAGAAGCGGACCGTGACGCTCGTGTGGTGTAAGGCCGTTTTTGTCTGGTCAGAATGGCGGATCCTGATTCTTGATTTGCAGAAACGCACGCCCGTCAGGCACGTCTTGGGCCAAAGCGCCGAGTGATGAGGAAGATATGACGAGCAGTGACGAATCGGATGAAGGAGACTCGTCCGATCACAGAGGATGGGATAGCGAGGAGTCAGAAACGTCCGGCTGTGAGTTGACAGAACACGTCGTGAAGCGCTGAGCTGACTATGAGAATAGCTGCATCGCAGGACCGCGTGAGGTCTGCCGTGTCGCGATACAAGGATCTGACCACGCATTACGAAGCGTCTCACTTATCACGGCCGTACATATGGGACACTTCTCCATTTGTCGTCATAAGAGTAAGTCATGCGAACCTTTCTATATCACGGATTTGTCAATGATCTTTGGTCAGAATGTTCTTCCGCGTGATCAATGCAAATCGCGGCCCAATTTACATAATGACATGCACAACGTATCAAGGCCCATTCGTAGCGCCCAACTTCATGCACATAACGAATCTGCGGCAGCGTCTACTGTCATTCGGGTCCATAGCAAGAGAGAGATCGTGCTCTGGTTCAATCCTCTGCTTGTGCTGGCGGTAGAACAATTCCTCGCTGACATTCGACAGAAGGTGCGCATCATAGTTAATCAATATTGATGTTCTCTTACATGATTGACAGCGATTGACCCCGGAACTTAGGTTCGACGTAATTCTGGCAAAATACATACGGTCTGCTGCAGCTGAGTCGCCTGAGAAAGCGACTGAGATAACTGTGCTCGATTTACACTTAACTTCCATCCATATTAGCTCTGTTCAAGCCGTCGGGTTCAGTGCAAAGCGAAGAGGCAAGTTAGAGGATGAACAACAAATGAACATCAGCACTATTGCTGCATTGTCCTTGAGCGATCTACACTTCCTCTTGAAATGCTTCCAGCCCGGCGGGCAGGAATATTCCGCTTCGACATTTGACGTATCACTGCAGGAACTCTCCGTTAAGATGTGGACTGAACAACAACCATTCTCTACTCGGAGATCGTCGAGGATTCAGAATCCCTCGTGGGATATCATGCTTAATGCTAGCCGCGGGACAGTCGGGGAAACGGTCTCGATCTTCCTAGGCGACTTTATCATCAATGTAGACCATGCAACCCCAGAAGCCGTATTGGCTACCAGCTCCATCGTTCTTCAAACTGTCATGGAGCTGGATAACGCTTGGAAGTGTCATTATGCTCATTTCTCCGTGTTGGATCAGCAAACAATCCTTCAGGTCTTACGATTCGCTCGACAGAGGGTGGTTGTGGACCCTTTATCAACTTTTCAGCCTTCGTATCTCGTCCAGAAGGGCCGACCTGATCAATTGCGGAATAGCAGCTGTTTTAAGTTCCTCGTTTACATCCGTAACTGTCTTCGATATCTGGAGGCATCGGAGCGTGGAGTTGTTGACAACATTGAAACGAACCCGCATTCCAAAATTACGCTCTTCGAGATCATCTTATCATTGGAAAGCCAGGATCTCAGCCATAGCCTCGACGAGGACGTACTTGAGCTCAAGGAAGAACGGTTCATGCAAGAACTCTTCCACGGCTCCGGTACATCTCCGGAGATTCACATTGCCCAAGACAGTCGCCGAATCAAAGCGGTGGTCCTGCACTGGGAACGAATCCTTTTGACGATCCACCATACGAATCAAGATCTTCGGACCACCTTCAACATGGGCCCCATCGTTGTTGCAGTTCGATGGCATGTCACAGTTTTCCATCCAACATCTCCCAATACCGGAAAGACGTATGCGAATCTGCTTCCCCGAGAACGAACACGCTTCGACTGCCTCCAGCTTACGCTGTCTGTGGACCTAGGGCACATCTCCTTCACTATAATGCCTCAATTAGTACAATTCCTCCAACTGACCATTCGGATAGCCAAGTCATACAGCCCCGCTCTTTGCATGCCGCGTGCGAACGGACAGGTTGCCTCCAAGGCTCCGCGTATAGGGACAAACGGTTCAAACGTGAACGCCGATGTAGCTCTCTCCATAGAGTCCTTGACCTTCAAGGCCGCGGCAGACAAGTTGGTTGTAATATTCAGCATCTCCAACTTACAATGGGCTTCCATGATACTCGCCAAACTTCCTGTCAAGCTTCTAGAGTCACAGTGTTCGATGAGTCACTTCCTCACTGTTGACGAGAGTATCCTTCGGTTGTGCTCAACAGATTTGAGTCAACCTGTCCAGCAGAGTACTCTTGCTTTCTTCATGATCGAAAAAGGCAAGATGAATGTTTTATTCTCTCAGGAACACAGCACCGACCCGAAGATACGAGCTGTCTGCGGTTCAGAAACTGTGCATCTCGACGTCCCACGAAGCGCACTGCGTCTGTATTGTTTTCTTCAAGAGTGGAGGGCCGACTATCTGCCCGGTATGTACAGCGCATTCCAGGACCTGCTCTCGGAGCTTCATGAGGAGAGACAAGACGCGTCTCCTCATGTCGCAAATGTCAACCAACAGTCTCTTCCAGATATCCATTTGCATCTATCGACTACTACTGTACGCGTGACTCTCCAGGTCATGCTGGGCGTATGGTTATCTTGGGACATCCAAAGAACACTACTCTACGTCACATCGTCCCTTGATGCACACCGAAAGAAGAACCGTACGTTCGGTATTCAGATGGGACCGCATACTGTTGCTGTCACCACTCAGGATAACCATGCTAAAGGACGTGCGCTGTATAAGGCACGTGTCGAACTTCAATTACCGAGGGTCTCTGTGACGGGCAACTACGGCGATGAAGCCATTCGGCTCGTATCATTAGTCGATTTTGTCCAAATCATGGTCGAGCCGTCGGATTTGGATACTCTCATTTCTCTCGGGCAGAAATCTGGTCAGGATTATAACGACTTCATGCATCTGGTGGGAGAGACACATCAAGGGAACCCCGCTGATACCTCTCAACTTATCGAGGAACGGAGGCATATGAAACTTCACGCATCCTTCAGGATGAAAGGTTTTCGGGTTGGTGTCCAGGGACACTCGTCAGTTGTGTTATTGGAATGTGATAATATTGGAGGTGGCATAGACGACGTGGCGAGCCTGGCTTGGCAAGTGAAACTGTCGGATCTGGCACTGTCGTTAGCTTCTCTTTCGAGTTATCGCGTATCTTCGGACAAGGGACATCGATCAGCATTCGTCACAATCGACTTCGAGGCCGATATGAAGCGTGGTAGTAGTCAATCCTCGAATGAACGCCTTGAAGTTGCCATTATCAAAGCCCATGCTGTCATGCAACCCACATCCATCGGTGAACTGAGCGATTTTATCGATGAGTTGCAGGTATGTATCGTGCCGTCTGCTCATTTGAATGCCTACTAAGGGTCATCAAAGGCGGAAGTCCTTGCATATCAAGAAGATCGTGCCAACGAGTTAGCTCAGTTTAAGGAGAAAACCAAAGGTATTATGCGTTCACTCGATGTCAAGATCGGGGAGCAGCACCGTACGGAATTCTCCTGGCTTGATCGATCCACAATACTCTTAACCATCCGGAATATCGGCGTAGCCTTCCCCTTGGCTGCTATCACGGACCTTCAAATGCCTCGATCGGGAACCTCAGGCGACTTCTCCACCGTTCGCGCGTTTTTATTATCGATCAAGTCTTTATCGTTTGGTACAGAACATGGAGACACTGGCCAGGCCATCATGAAGGGATTCTGCTTCCAGTTTGTACCTCGGTGAGTGCTCCCGTTCACATCTTTCAGGACTTATTTTGACGGTTGCACAGATTCAGGCAATCCGCTGATGCTGATTTCTCTGGGGATAATCATCAGACACGAAACAGACTGCTATATCCCGAAATGACCGCTAACATTCATTCCGAACGCTCGAATGGTTCACGTAGAGTTTACGTCGCAGCGGATGTCAGCGGCTTCATCCTGGATCTTGACTCCATGATTCCGGACTACATTTTCTCTCTGATAGACGTCTATCGCGAAGGAAAGGACCGGATGGATCGTCTGAAGAGTAACATATCTCGATCTGCGGCCAACATGGATCTTGGAATCCGCGGTCCGAGACCATCTTCCGAGCACGCGCGTACTTCTCTTCCCACTGCCAATGTCCTTCTTTCCTTGACATTCGCCAGCGGAAGGATTCGCATGCATAGCACGCATTCTCGTCATCAGAGTTCAATGAAGCGTAAGACCTCATCTGCGCTAGAAGACTCCCTCGTTGAATTGCCGATCGAACTTGGAGTGGAAATCTTCGACCTGCCCGTTGTGACTGTATGGGGAGAATATAATGCGACAACGCCTTTGAAGAGGCTGATCGCCACGAAGCAGACCGTGGAGCCTTCCATCTTGATGTTCAAGGCCACTATCCACTCCAGCCACAACACGCTAAAGCCTACATTACTCCCATTCATAACGGAGCTCGTTGCTCATGTGGAGACCCGTCTGCGGCAAAGTAGCCGGGGTGAGTTTCAGCCAGCGCCTGTGCGCGTGCAGGATGCTCTACACTCTTTGCCAGCGGACAACATAGCGAAGGAAGCTTCCGATGTCGTCACAGGCCTGAAGATCAGTCTCAGCTTGCGCATAGACCAGTCAAAACTGGAACTCACTTGCCAGCCGGACGTGAATGTCGTGGCCGGTTTGCATTGGGACAGCGGTGGCTTTGTTATAAACATTTCGCCAAACTTTCGTCGGGTCACCTTCAGTGGGACTGTCGGTGGCTTGACGATCGGCCTTAAACATGGATTTCTCAGTGAGGATTGCGTACGTCTAGATGCGCGCAACCTCGCCTTCAACGTGACTTTCGCAAAGACGGAGTCTGCCGCCAAGCGCACCATGAGTTCAATCTCTGTTGTTGTCGATACTCAATTCTCAGGTGGAATCCGGTTCTCTCGACTTCAAGATGTTCTATGCTTCAAGGCTGTCTGGCTCGACCGCATTCCGGTCATTAATGGGCAGAACGCGGCATTCGCTAAGAATAATTCGAAGAGCGTAGAAACTGCCCGCACGTCATCGTCGTCTCAAGAGCTGACGGTGGCAGTGCTTCTCCATTTCCGTTCCATTGAGCTGGATGCTGACCTGGGGCAGTCCATTAGTTCCCTGAAGCTCACTATCCATGACATGCTCGTCCGCACGTGTCTCAGCGATGCCTTATCTGAGCTGACCTTGTCTATTGCCCAACTCGACATCTTGGCAACCGGCAATGTTTCTGGACAGGCTGCAGTGCCCGATTTCCGGTTCCAAACGATCCGTGAAAGCGAGAATAGCACGGGGGTCCTTGCAGGAGGCCGGATGCTGGATTTGACGCTGACCACCGGGGTGTTCTACGTAGAACTTGAGAGCGAGTATCAGAAACTCATACAGTACCGGTAAGTGCCTACACTTTATCCAACCGTCCGATTCTAAAATATGTCAAAGGGCGGAACCCATTGAAGTAAAGATATTCGACGATTGGTCCAAGACACATTCCGATGTGCCAACGGAGGATCGCCATGTCGACTTGGCCTTCACCGTCTCAGGATCAGAGGTCACAGTTGTCATGAACGTTGGTACAATACCGAAGTTGTTTTCGTATGCTGACAAGTTCAAGGCGACTCTCGAGAACCAGAGGGAGGGAGCTAGTCGAGAATCCAGGGCTTTCAGGTTGATCAATGCTCCTAAGCCTGACAATCCGCTATCCACAGTTGCAAATGCGATGATCAAAACTACCCGGAATCGCTTCAAGGAAGAGCCTGAGATGACCTACGCAATAGGGCAACGGATGAGTCTCAGGCTCGCCTTCTTACAATTGGTAGTGTTCCCTCGTTCTATGCGTGACCCAGAGCTAGCGCGGTTCATCGGGCGCGACGTTCATGCTCGCCTTGACCGCCTTGTCGAGTCTCATGCCTTGCCTGCTCGCCGCGACCTTCATCTGTCCTTCTCTTCCATCACTACGTCGAGGATCAGTCAGTTGAATCATGCGTTGCTGGCAAAGGAACGCATGGAGGGGAGCCGACAGTGGCTGAAGATTTTGGTGAAAGACGCTCCGGAGGCAACTATCTTCGGCCTGCCGTCCATGGACATTCGCATGCAGAGCGACGAATTCATGCAGGAGCAAAGGCGAACGCTTCGCTATGACTTCACCAGTAGGTTTACGACCAGGGAAGGAGGCAAGAAAGACGCAGAGGACATATACATCACCCTGAACATGGCGCTATACGCTTGGTTGACATCTCTGCGCAAGGCGTTCGCCAGGGAAATGGAGCAGGTGCAAGCTTCCGAGACTGTGCGGGCTGTTGGTAACGCGCTGGTACCTCAGACCTCGACCCCTCGTAAGCGGGGAAATGAGTCGGTTTCCTTGCGCACTGACAAGGAACCCGAGGAAACGATTGCAAGCTTGCGCGAGGTGGGACGGCCTAGATTGCATCGACATGCCATGTCCAGTCTTATCACGCATGGGCTTGACCTTGAGGAGCCTCCGGCTTTGCCATCAAGGACGCCCACGAGCCCCGCGACGTCATCCAGGTTGAGTTCTCCGGGGTCGACAAACGGCGCATCTGATGTCGCCGCGGCCGCGGCAGCCCCTGCTTCCAGCAAAACTCTTGGACTGGTGTACGAGCCTCGCTCACGACACATAGAGCGACTCACGATGAGACAGTTGGGAGAGGCTACTCCAGATGTCATGCATCCGTTCTTCATGAAGAAGGCAGGGTTCAGCCTCGAAGACTCCCTCCCGCAATACGTGCATGAGTACGCGACGATGCCGACGGAGGAGATCATGAAGGCGCTATTGAATCTGTACAGCAAACAGCTCAGTTCCCATCAACTCACCGATTCCCCTTCCTAGTGTATATACGATTATTGACGAATAAAGCATCTGGCAGCCTCATATTCCCCAGTAAATTAGTCAATACCACTAGTCTAGTGATAGTGTAGTTTTTTGTAATACATACTCTTGCACATGATGCGGCGAAAGCTTGTGAATTACTTCGATGAACCTGTCCCGCCGACATTGAATACACTGAGCAATGCGAAGCAGCCATACAGGAGTCCGACGGGATATGCTACCAAGAATCGCTGGTCCGACATGCGCAGCACTGCAACAAATATTCCTGATGCTGCATATGTGCACCAGAGGATAGAGAGAGTTGACAAGATGTAGCCCAGAGAACCGCTGTTAATCATCGTCGTCAGTCTTCTGGTGATTGAAGGGAACATTCAGACGTACTCGAGGGTAACCATGACACTCAACGCGCCAACCCCAACCATCGGCAGTAGACAATATCCTAGCACAGAGACTACTCGATACGCATCGATGCCTTTCTCAGACATCAGATTCAGCAGGGTATAAATGGACGCCGAGCCTAACAAGCCGACGCCATAGATGTAGCCGAACTGAGGTTTTCCGGACTAGGATTAAGTTAGATCGAGTCTTCCATCACATCCCTTTATATAGGTCATCAAACAATGTCCACTCACAAAGAGCAAGAATGTGCCAAAACAGAGGAAGAATAGTAGCGGACCTGCCAGGTCCGCATCATCCATGATTCGCTCATCCACACTGCCAAGCGGATTGAGCACAGCGAGCGACTTCGCGCGAATGTGAAAGAAGTTTATGCCAAGCTCTGTGTACTCCCACATGTTACGCGTCTTAGCATCGAGAATGCGGCAGATGCGTACCTTCCAGCAATGGTGGCTCTCCCTCGAATCCGCCTGTTCCAAACGCAGTCCACCAAGGTCCGACTGGTTGCATGTTTCCGCCATACCCTGGAGGGATCCCCTGCTGTAGCATGGAGCCCTGTGCGCCGACATTCCCCTCGAGACTGGAGCGCGAGCCGTCGTAGAAAGTACTGCTAACGGGGCTGGGTGTATAGAACTGAAGGGGCACGCCTTGCGCTGGTGGTGCGCCCGCATAGTAGTTGTTCTGAGACGTGGATGCGCCGTAGGAGTTGCTGTGGTTGTCCTGCCACATTCGATTATTTACTGCAGTTCTGAGAGCAATCGCGATGGTTGAGGAGGAGGATGTGGAGAGCGTAGTACGTGGAACTCGACGCGGGGATGCGCGATCAATCCTATAAGCGCGCGCTTCCAGTACGTCTCTCATTATTTCCCAATCAGGTAATCCCCCTTCACTTCGTCTATCGCTATGGTGAGTTTGCTCATGGACGCTCTTTTGAGTTGCGGTTGACCTGAAACTCTCTCTCAGCCCCAGGTAGGATGGTTACTAGGATAAGAACATGGCGGAAGATTGACCGCGCCAATTTTACAGAACGAGTACATCGAGGAACACATCAAGAGGCATGGACGGCGGTTAGACTACTTCGAGCGCAAGTGCGTTGTCTACATGCGGTTTCTTGTTCGTTGCACTCATTATAGCGCTTTCTTAACGAAGGCGAAAGCGTGAAGCTCGAGCCGCCCACCGCGCATCTGCTACCGCTCAAAAGGCATTCGGTCTGAAGGCGAAACTTCTCCATGCTAAGCGGCATGCCGAGAAGGTCCAACTCAAGAAGACACTCAAAGCGCACGACGAGCGCAATGTCAAGCAGAAAGACTCATCTACTGTGCCTGATGGTGCCTTGCCCACCTACCTGCTGGACCGAGAAGGACAGAAGGACGCCAAAGCCCTGTCGACCGCCATCAAGGAGAAGCGGAAGGACAAGGCTGCGAAGTATGCTGTGCCGCTGCCGAAGGTCAGGGGTATCGCGGAAGACGAGGTTTTCAAGGTCATGAGGACGGGCAAGAGTAAGAAAAAGGCATGGAAGCGGATGGTGACCAAGGCGACGTTTGTCGGGGAGGGTTTCACGCGAAAGCCGGTGAAGATGGAGAGGTTTGTGCGGCCGATGGCACTGAGATACAAGAAGGCCAACGTCACACACCGTATGTTCCTGCATCAGTCTTTTCGTAGTTGTTTTGGGTACTGACGAATCTGACAGCCGACCTAAAAGCAACGTTCCAGTTGCAGATCCTCGGCGTCAAGAAGAACCCTCAGTCACCGATGTACACACAGCTTGGTGTTCTCACCAAGGGTACAGTCATCGAGGTGAACGTTTCCGAGCTTGGTATGGTCACCGCTGGCGGAAAGGTCGTGTTCGGCAAGTACGCACAGATCACGAACAATCCCGAAAACGACGGGTGCATCAATGCCGTCCTGCGTACGTCCCGTAGTTCCCATCATTCTCAGTCGTTGCTAATCTTTGTCAATAGTTGTATAATGTTTTTTGCTTCTGCTGTTCATTTGCATGCCACTTGTACTTTCGTACTTTCGTCGCACCGCATATGACCGATTACTGTGCGCCATTCTCTTATGTAGTTAATAGCAGACCCAGTGGTCAGTTACATGACGGTGTAGGAGTAGGAGACCTATCGAAACGTCAACATGCGTAACTGTACAACCGACTATGTTACAGAGCGTTTAAAAGCGATGGTGGTGGTGCCCAGAAGCCAATCCGGCTTCACATGTAAAGGTCGAACCGGAATATTGAGCTCCACCTTCGTATCCGTATCCACACTCAGCATGAATGAGTCCCCTTCGAACACCTGATACATCTCCAACCCTTCTGCCATCTCAACCTTCCCACAGCGAAAACGCGGCAGCCACCATCTGTCCAGTGATTGAATGCTGTAGAGCTGGCATGAGGGGGGACGGCGGATGTGCTGCAACGTATCTCTGTCGACGAAGTCGAGGCTGTACATGTGAGAGGTTTCCATGCCTGCACCCCAGACACGAATGACGACCTTCGCATTCGGGATGGACGCGTAATGAATGTCGTCACCTTCTGGCATGGGTTGACGCTGATTTTTCGAGCATCAGTGGGATGGGCAACAAAAGAAACAAGTGATATTGCTTACTCCAAACATGGGTACCGATTAGTCGAGGATCGTCTTCGCATGCTTCCGGAGCTCCTCCGTCGCTTCGTTATCTGTGATGTTAGTGCCATCGTAGGCACCGTAGTATCGGCCCCAGAACAGCAGTTCGACGTCGTCCATCTTGGTGTGGTCGAAATTGGGTTGGCGTCGCACCATGGCCACAGCATTCGAACGGAACGTTCCTCCAAAGAGTTCCGCAAACTCAGAGGGCGAGATAGGTGGTGGCCGCTGCTGAGCAGGACCGATCTTCGCCATTTACCTGACCGCAGCTTGTACAACAGTCTACACGCACCTTTTCAGAAGTGCTCCTGGTTGGTCCAATGTTTGCCTGCTGTAAATTGTCCATTGCGAGTCAGTTCCAAATAACAACGCAGAAACATGGCATAGCAGAGAAACAGCAGCGAGCGAGTTTAATTACAATGGCTAAGTACGGTGCAGACACAGAGCCAAACGTAGCGGGTTTGATGGGCGCTGCATCGAACTGTGGTGCTGAGTCCGCAGGCGTGCGTAGCGACGAGACCGGTTCCTGCGAACGGGCGGAATGACGGGCTCGATGTGCACGTGGACGTGTTGCCGTGGCCGCAAGATGGCTATGACGGCAGACTGATGTGCGAGGACATCAGCGTCGGTGATACCATCTAGTATTCGATGCGGCCGGTGGAAAGACCGCCTTTCTATTAGCTAAGTACCCTGGTGGTGACAACGGCAAGTGGTCGGGCAACAATGTTGAGCTGGTTCTTGCGTGAGTGTAACGATGAGCATCTCACGCCACCGATGATGCGGTTCAATCGGAATAGCAATGACGGTGCTCAACCGTAAACCCAATCCTGGTTATGAAAAGTAGAACAACACGTGTAAAGACAAATTGTAGCCTCTCGACCATCAGCCCAAACTGAGCGTCAGTGGTAATGTCAGGTTCACGAACACAATCTCTACCACTGTCGGCTCCATCATGATATCACGCTATGCCGGCAGAGTCAAAAATCGGCAGGCGAAATGGCACCCTGATAAATGATTCCAACAAGAGAAATGTGAAATATGCGTTGTTCAACAGACAATGAGAGGTGGCGTTCGACGGCGTTGTAAACCAGCTGTCACTGCGACAAAGTTCGAACGACAACTCGCACCACACAGTGGATTCGTACAATGCGCGTGTGACAGGACCAGTATAGACCCAAGTGGTGCCGCCATAAGAGAGTTCTGGCTTGGAGCAGAGTCATCGATAGCAGAAGCACTTGATGCAAGAGGAGGCCAGAAGCACCCCTGACGACGAGAGCCATCAACATCCAAAGTCGATGTGCAACGTGAACAGGCAGAAAGGTGGAGACCGCTCCAGCCGGAAAAGCCCACGTGAAGGTATTACTCGCCCCATCGAGCGACGAAGGCACGCAATTCGCCAAAGACCGCGCCTGCGAGGACAGTAAGGTGGAGACCGCTCCAGTCGTGAAAATAGTACTCGCCCCATCGAGGGACGAAGGTATGCAATCCGCCAGCGACCGCGCCTGCGAGAGTAGTAAGGTGGAGACCGCTCCAACCGTGAAAATCGTACCCGCCCCTCCGAGGGACGAAGCATGCAATTTGCCAGCGACCGTGCCAGCGAGAACATTAATCCACCGATGAGAACAGACCCATCGGGCAAAGGCATCCACGCAGAAGTAGACAAGGGGGAGGAAGCGAGAAACAACGTCGTGGAAAAAATGCAGGCATCTAATAACGGTGAGAGACGCGACCGTAAGAGCCAGCGAAGCAGTAAACGACGGCCTGATGCGAAAACCGAAACGTATACGGGATTGCTACGCGGCCAAAAGGAAACACACAGCTGGCGGCGGAGGGCTGTGGCGGCGCAAAAGGCAATCGAGGACGCACCGTGCAAAAAAAGGTGACCGGACAAATCCTGCCTCAGTACCTCTCAGTACCTATGGACCGCTGCACTCACCAGATATTTCCCACAGGAGCCCACAGGTCTGAGAGACCCCGTAAGGGTTCGAGAAAGGAGATCGACGAAGGTGTCGTAAATGCAGTGAGGAGCGAATAGTATTGGCAGGTGTGAATGAGGAAGTCGAGGAATTACTGGTGTTGACTCTACGACGAGAACAGAATCCTCGTCGTCGCTTATATACATGAATGGAAAGCAATAGGGGAAGATGGAAGAAGGTAATGAGACGAAATACAGTGGAGTTGTACCGTGGATCAACAACTTAATTAGCCTATCCGTCGACACATCCGCATCCGTTGACACACTCGTCGTGGACAGTATCCGAGGGAGATAACATTCCGCGCGTTGGTATGTGATGTTCTGCATGTCGGTATGACGTTCCGTTAAGTGGGTAATAGGGTGGACTGGCATAGCGAAGAGGACGAGTCGTCGTAGTCATGACAGACCCCCCATCCATACGATCCATACGATATGCAGAGGGGTGGATCATCCACTCCTCAGCATATCGTAAGAAAATTGCGAGTAGATAGCTTTTAGGGACCCGGTTCAGTGTGATGGTACAACACTCTATGCCCATCTTGTTACACCACCTGAGCACTGCAACACGCTCATATACATGTTCTTGCTGGATGTGTGGCGTGAGTAGTAGGTATGAAGGGGCAAAGATCAAATGATCGATGATCGAGCAACCTCGCTTCTCACGGCTGTGGCTCATCATTCTCAACGACGATGTCGGCCTCTCCTGCACCCACACCTCAGCCCTCCATTCCCCCTGCAAACCGTCATGCACTCACACCAGCCGAGCGACAGCGGGCGCAGCTCGAGAAGCTGCTCAAAGACCCTAGTAAGCCCGCGTACGTGCCTCCTCCGCCGAAGGAGAAGACGATCAGGCCTCCCAGGGAGATGATGAAGAACGTGCAGGGCTCGAGTGCCGGTGCGGGCAGCGGCGAATTTCACGTCTACAAGGCGAGCAGGCGGAGAGAGTACGAGCGGCTGAAGTTGTTGGATGAGAAGTCACAGAAGGTGCGTTGCTTACAATGCTATTCTTGTGCCCTCGTTTTACGCTGACTCTGATATGTATTCAATAGGAGACAGAGGAGGCGGAGTTTGAGCGGAAGAGGAGAGAACGGGAGGAGCAAGCAGAGGCGAAGACTGCGAAGAACCGGGCGAAGAGGCAGAAAAAGAAAGAACGGTCGAAGGGTAAGGGTCCGGAGAAAGAGGCGGGCGCGGGTGCGGGTGCCGAGACGGAACAGTTCGAGGCACCGCTCAAGAAGAGGCGGCTCGTCAGCGGGAAGGAGCTTGTGTTTCGGAAGCCTGGGGAGGAAAGCGACGAAGAGCAGGAGGAGGAGGTCGGCCCTGCGCCAGTCGAGAGCAGTGAATCTGCTGGTGCTGTCGCGACCGAGCCGCCTGCAGCGCCAATTCTTGACATACCGCGGATTATTATCCACGAAGAAGACCCCCTATGAGTCTGTGCAGTATTGTGAGTGCACCCAGCCATTCTATTCGCGTAGTGGGTGGCTTACATACGTTTCATAGACGTTCTTGGGATTCCCTCTCGCTGTAACTTAGCTATCGTGCAAGTCACTTACGGAGTCATTTCCTGCGTATCTCCAGGCATGAACCCGGTCATTGTATTATGCCGCTCTGCTCAGTTGGACATCAGACATGTGGAGGATGGTTTCTTTTTTCGAGAAGCAATTGCACGGCCTTTTGGGCTATGAGCTCATCTCCTTCTGTCCTTGATTCCATATGCATCTACGGATGCTTCGCATGTCTGTTCATCTCTCGCCCTGACTGGCCATCGTCAGTTCAATCCAACCTTACTGCTTAAAGAATGCGGATCTATTCAGGCTTACTACTCAACCGTATAGTAGCCTGGAGCTAGTACAGGTAGATGTCTGTATAATTGCTTCGCTGTCTACTAGTATATACGATGATCGTCCTTAGCTCGAATTGTAGCTTGATCGAGTAGTGAACTAGCAATATGGCCGGCAGTGGCCACGCAATGCCACGCGATCAGTCGCGACCCATGTGACGGTGTCATTGGGCGCCTATTCTATTGAGCATTTTGACCTCGGTCCTCGATCACTTCGAACCTCCTCTCAGTCGATTGAGGATTCACCGAAATGTGTTCGGAGGCAGACACCGCATCTGTCCTCATGGAAGACTCGGAGGAGGTGAATACGCTTGTAAGCCTCGGAGAAGCACTCATCAGCGCGATCCTCGAACGCGCTCCTCTCGACGCGGTCAAAAAAATGATCGAGGATGGCGCGCCGCTCTGGTATCAAGATGAGGATGGCACGTCCGCATTGCACGCCGCTGCTTACGTGGAAAATGAGGAGCTTGTGCGTTTGCTGATACAGGAGGGCGCGGTGTGGAATGCAGGTGAGCCCGAGGCGTGTGCATGAGGGCCATTTGGAAGTCTGATTGTGCCAGCACAGTGGCCAGGTGTGCTAGATGATGTACCAGATGCTGCACAATCAGGCTTTCTGATGTTCTTGTTTTTACTGAGTGCTGACTGATGGTTGACGACTGGCTTCAAAGTCGACAATACGCATAATACCGCAAGTGACATCGCGCTCTCCATGAACAACGAAGAATGCTACAACATCATCCGAGACGCAGGAATCCGCTCAGGTACGTGCTCGAGCTCCCCCGCACGTTACCTGCTGACCTTGCCAGCTTGGTTTCAGAACTGCTGCTCACGCTTCTGTCCTCGAAATTACCTGCTGAGAAGTCTCCATTGTCGCTCATCTTGAAGGCTACCGATAGCACCGCGGCTGGTTCGACGGAGGAGTTTCTCTCGTCGAAACTGAGATATACGACCGACGAGCACGGGCAAGAGATTTGTCTCGTGAAGGTCAGCGATGACGAAGATGTCGGGGTAATGATGGGCTGGGAGCGTCCGATCAGTGAGTGCGGCTGGGCTCTGTGTTAGGCGTCCCAAGGCTAAGTGCGCCAGTGCGAAGTGCAGGAAACCGTGCACAAGCTGTGCGACGACCATGAAAAGCTCGCTGATGGTCTGAAGATACTCAACGTCGGCTTTGGACTTGGCATAGTATGAGTTTGCCTCGTCCGCGGGTGGAACATCTGTTCAGCTGACGGGATGTAGATTGACAGCCTTTTCCAAGAGTTGCCTACACCTCCCGCGCTGCATGTCATCATCGAGCCGCATCCGGACGTCCTGCAGCACATGCAGAAGCTGGGCTGGTTTGACAAGAAGGGCGTCGTTGTTATTGAAGGAAAATGGCAAGACTTCATGGAGAGTGAAGAGTTGCTTGGTGTGGGTGGCTTTGATGTCGTCTATACGGACACGTTCTCCGAAGATTACAAAGGTGTGTAAAGTCTGGGTGCACGGAGATGGTCATAGAGTGAACCTTCCATGCCCTAACAGATCTGCAAAAGTTCTTCGAGCACGTCCCTGACCTATTAGCAGGCCCAGAGTCTCGCTTTGGCTTCTTTAATGGCCTAGGAGCGACGAGTACGTCAATTATCGTGATTGCGTGCAGCTGATGTGCTCATCTATCTTGTAGATGCCTTATTCTACGACGTGTACAGACACGTCTCCGAATTGCACCTCGCCGACGTTGGCGTCGACGTAGAGTGGAGCGACGTGGACGTATTCGCGGGAGACGATGATCGATGGGGTAAGACGCGAGAGTATTTCGCTCAGCGGCTATACCGCCTACCAGTCGGGAAGATGAGAGCCATTGGATAGTTAGCCCGCGATGTCTTGATTCGCTGGTGATTTAGCGGGAGAAATTAACATCTAGACGTGGCGCTGGAGCTGATGCTTGATACGAAGCGCATGTCTGATTTATCACCGCGTTCCTGCTCTTCGCCTCGCCTCCTGCACGCGGACGGCTCATGTTCGTTATCTGAATCCATGGAGGACCTGGCCTACCTAGAAGGGAGGCACGCTATAGTCCAGTACAATGCAAGATCCTAGACGCTTTCCTATTGAGGCTTCAGTGGCGTTTGCCGATCAGAGATCTCGTCGCAACGATGTCAAGACGACAGCGTGGGCAGTGCACCGTGCGGCCATTCCGACTCCCTCATAACAAGAGCTCTCTCGCCCTCTCCACTCTTTTCCTGCAGGCAGGACCGTTGTCTATACTTTCAACGTCGACCGGTTCGACCTTTCTCTCTTTGCATTCCCTGTTCACCTTTCCGCACTGTCCAACTCAGTCTACATTCCTGCTCGCGAGGCGAGACCTTTTACGCGCTAGACATTGATTGGAAAAATGGTTTCTAACAATATTTCCTTGGTGAGCGGGCCAGAACATGCTCTCTCGGCGAAATGGAACTGTCCTGACTCTGTACCCCCTTGGGCGCGAAGCGTCTTCCCGTCGATCAGCCACCCCCGGAGCAGGTCCCCACCCCATTGCGTTCTTTTGTGAGTTGCGATATTTGCAGAATGTCCGTAGCGTGACCTTACGCGCTTGCGTTTGCAGATCTCTGAGGCAGCATGGCAAGCCCGGCTGCGCGCCGTCACTCGCAAGGGCTCCCGCTACATCAAACCCAAGTTTGACCTCGTATGGGTCATCCTGACACTCATGTGCGAGTCTCTCTTCGACCTATAATCGATGGCCGTCTTACCGCCATATTATAGCACTTCTTTTGCGCTCCCGATTGCCATGTACTACGTTGCTCTCCACGTGCTGCCAACCGAGAACGATAACGTCGAGTTCGACTACTTCCCCTACGGGTGGGACGAAGCAGGGCGCGTATGGAAAGCGCGCGGAATCAGCATGGCCGTCTTCATCGGCGTCGTGCTCGTCATGTGGCTGCCGATGCTCCTCTGGAAGCTCAGCGTGCGTTCGATTCACTGTTCATGCGCTGTCCAGGTTTGTTGAGACGGTGGAATGCAGGGCAAGCGCAAAGTGAACAAGATGCTGCAGCGATTTGAGAACGAGGACCGCGCGGTCAGGCCCAACATCGAGCTTCCCACGTACAGGATCTCAATGCCCCAGATCTCCGGAACTGCTCTGGTGAGCTAAGGCTGGTCCATCTCCGAGGAACAGCGGGCTAATTTGGTCATTCTAGAACCTGACGATCACCGTACCCGGAGGGGCAGTTCCTACCTCCTTCCAGACCGGCGCGCAACTGCCTCCAGTAAGTGACAGCGCTATAGTCAACTTATGCACTACATGCTCATACCTCGGTCTCCCTGCAGTATATGATCAACCCTCCCACCGATCCTGCCGCGGCAGCGTACGGCTACGGGCAAGCCCCTCCCACCTTCAACGGCCCGGGATACGGTGTGCCGCTGTACAACCAGTTCGACGAGAAGGTCCCAGAGTACGTGGGCCCGGCGCCGGGCCTCTACACGCTTTCGGACGAAAAGCACGACTTCGAATATGTGCATGTATGAGCGCGCACGGTGTGGGCATGAATGTCGCGATGCTTTCGAGATTGTTTCTGACCGTGAACGTGGATGGAGTGGCGCTGCTGGCGGCCTGTAGTACTTTGTCTGGACAGTCTGTTCGTTTGTTTGGTTTGTTTTACGAGCATAGCTTATAGCACTGTGCATTGTCTGTATCATACATCATAGACCAGCTCAGAGGTCATGCAGGAATATGTTGGCAATGATCATGAGTGCTTGAGATACGGCCACCGCGCCACGACGAGGGAGGGAGGGAGCGCGTAGATCGCGTTCGACTCGGATGACGCGCGTCCGTCAAGACACCTATACTTGTCCATCACCTCGAATACATCGTCCTGCTTATTGAGCTTGAAGCTTACGCTGAAGTCTTTGTGAGGCCAAACCGCCCTGCTTGTACTGAAGGAATAACATACCCATCGAGCGTCCCGGTCGACGTGCAACTTGCTGAGCGAGTAACCCGCCGGTTGGTATTCGTTCCATGCAGACATTTCCAGGATGAACCCAAGAGCTGCCCTTGCAGATACATTCTGAGCTTCCATTTACACAAGGGAAGACATGACAATATACAGTCTGTACATCTACGATAGGTGCGTGGTGCGTGCACCCAGACGCGCTCTAGACTGAATGAATGACTGGACATTCTTCCCCGCTAGGCACTGCAACTGCGTGTACTACCAGGACTGGCACCGCACAAGGCGTCCACGGGTCGCAGTCGAGGGCGGGATGCTGCCAGCCGTCTCCGCGGCGGTTTATCCGCAGAAAGAGGAGCCAGTCGTGGACAACACCTCCCGCTTCAGCACGCCCAGGAACACACTCGCCTCCTCGTCCGGCATCCTCGTCGCCCTCAACGAAGATGCCCCGCGTACGCCCCTCCCTCCTCCTCGGCCCTCCTCACCCTTCACTCCCGCGCCGCCCTCAAATGCCATGCTGACGTTCGACGAGGAGTCCAAGCTCGTATACGGCGTGGTGCTCTCGCTGCGCAACATGATCAAGAAGCTCTCTGGCAGGTCAGTCTTAGTCTTCAGATCCTTCCCTCGGCGACGCCAGCTGACGCATGACGTGCACTGGTAGGGACGAGCAGTTCGTCAACTACCGCACGTCGAGTTACAAGCTCCACCTGCATGAGACGCTATCCGGATACAAGTTCGTCATGCTCAGCGACCCCAGCGTCGACTCGCTCCGCTTCGTCCTCCGCCAGATCTACTCCGGACCGTTTCTCGAGTACGTCGTGCGCAATCCGCTCGCGCCCATGGACTCGCGCGAACAGGGAATAGATAACGAGTACTTCCGTACGAGTACGGATAGAATGATCAGGGGGCTGACTGTCTTTGAATGATGATAATGATGATGAGCTCTCCGTTCGCGCTTATGTATCGGCGATGATGCGTCGATGGACCAAGAGACGTGATTGCCATGAGTAAAGTGATCTCCTCGAGGGATCGTTACTATGTTGGACCACACCGCGACTTCTGGAGCACATCCAATGCTCTAGACGGAATGATGCATTTGCGGATATAAATACATCGGGCAATAGCAATAGATCTCCAAGTCCTCCAATCCTCTCCATGATAAGTGTCTAATAACTATGTGTCGTCCAGCACGCTCAACGGACTGCCGATGTCATCATCTATAGGCTCAGCATCAGGCATCGGCACATCTTCGTCCTGTGTCTCCTGCAGCTTCTTCCGCACGACGTTCATCAGAGACGTCTTCATATCCCTCTCCACCTTCTCCTCTTCTCCTTCTTCGCCCGCAACGGCTTCATCAAGAGCCAGCTTTGTTTGACCAAGTGCCAGCATGTCCTCTTCAATTGAGCCCTTCGTGATGAGCTTGACGACATCGACGTCCTGCTTCTGGCCTATTCGATAAGCACGATCCTGCGCTTGTTTGTCATTGTGCGGATTGAAGTCTTGATCGAACCTGCGCAGTAAGAGATGATGACAGTTGAAACGGCGAAGACGCAGCAGATAGAACGGCGACGCACATGATCACAACGCTAGCTGCAGTGAGGTTGATGCCCATGCCGCCTGCCTTCGTGGAAAGTAGGAACACGGTGATGGACTCGTCGGTATGGAAGTCGTCGACAAGGGATTGCCGGTTATCGACTGGAGTCGAACCGGTCAACAGCAGATACTTGATCGACTTCTGCTGTAGCACCTTCTGAAGGATATCCAGAATCTGCGTGAACTACAACATTTCCAGCATACATGTCAGCATAGCACCACAGTAACACAAGAGAGGTTCCATACCTGCGAGAATATCAAGACACGACGTCCTGCGGCCTGGTACTTGTCGAGCAGCTGCATGAGAACCTTAACCTTCCCGGCTTCCAGGTAGCAGCTCTCCGCCTGGAGGAACTTGCGAGTTGACTAGCAGAATGTATCATTCAGCATCGTTATGCCATAATCATGTCGAGAGAACGAACGTTATACGATGCGCAGTACTCCTGCAGCTCTGCATCAGTCATAACCTCCAAATCCTCCTTTATGTACTGGAAGACAGCCTTCCGCCTCTTGAAATCAGGCTCCTTCAACAGCAACTTGGCAACACGCGTAAGCGTGTCGTCCGTGAAACGTCTTCTGAAAAGCATGGGATGCGACGCAGCCTTCCGCAGATCCATGAGGACGTTCGAGCTGTTCTCAACGTACAGCTTATCCTTCGGGCGTGTGTTCGCGCGGGTCCTCTTCGCTGGCTTGGGTTCGTCCACGATCTCAGCGGCCTGAGCGTCGACATCGAAGATTGTCTTCCTCGACCGCTGCAGCGCTTCGTTGTAAATAGATCTCTGGAGAGGAGTCATGTCACACCACTCGATCCGCTCGTTCTTCTTCGGAAGATCCTTGAGAACCTGATACCACATGAATGATCAGACCATCTACGCAATACTCGTGACAAATCGGTCCTTACCTGGTCTTTGCGTCTTCGCAGAACAAACGGCGTGAGCATCTTCTTGGCTCGCGAAACACGTTCTTGAGCTAGCAATGTCACTTTGGAGTCACCCTTCGTCTTGAAGACCGCACGTAGAGAGTCAAGGTCAGCTGCAAACTGCTGAGGCAGGATGAAGTTCATGAGAGACTACGAGACCTCAATCAACATCTGAGAGTCTACAGGCTCATGTGGACTCACGACTAGTTCCTGGAGATTGTTTTGAAGAGGTGTTCCTGTGAGAAGCAATCTCCATCTTGACTCGTATCGAAGCAATGTTTGGTACCGTTGGGATTGGAAGTTTTTGAGGACGTGTCCCTCATCAAATACGCAAGCCTGAGGGGTCCTCATGAGCGATGACATCTCACATCAAGGAAGGGGAGCAACACGTACATCCCACTCAATCTTCCTGAAGAACTTGCGATCCTTCTCATCGCCTTGCGCGAGATTGTACGTCGTGATCAAGACCTCCCAACCTTCACCCGTCTTATTGTTATACCGCGTCTCCAAGAGACTTTGACGCAACGCAGGACGCTCCTCTTTGCCACCGTAGTAGGTGTTTACGGACATGTTAGACGCAAAACGATCAAACTCCCGGCACCAATTCTCTAGAGTTGAGGATCTGTAGTCCAGAGTCGATGAGAAGGGCATAGCCAGCAGTTGTGAGCAGAACCTACGGTACGACAACGAGATGAGGCCCGTGGCGTCCCTTCTCTTTCAGATGTGCAAAGAAGCTGATGACCTGGATGGTCTTGCCCAAGCCTGTGCGAGACAGTGGTCAATAAACAATCATCGAAGTAGAGCCACGATACTTGCCCATCTCATCGGCCAAGATGCAACTCAGCTTCCTGCGATACAGCAGGTTGAGCCAATTGATACCAATCATTTGGTATTCCTTCAACTGTACACCCTCCTCTAGCAATGATGGCTGGGATGTCAGATAATAGCTTGGCTTGCTATCCGTCAGGTCAGCCTGGTCATGCAGACTGAGAGTCCCGTCAGTCGGATTCGTGTTCTCGACTCCAAGAGAAGGATCGCGGGATCGCGAATGCTTTGTCCACGAAGCGATCTCAGCCTTGAGTTCGGCTCCAATCTCTTCACAGTCTTGGAGGATGCTATCAACCCTGCCGTAGCCTTCGAAAATAGCCACGCAGTCCTCGAACATCCGTGGACTGATTCCAGCCGGTCCCGCTTTCTTCTTGCCTTGCGATAGTCTCGCTCGCAAATCAGCCACAGAAGAGAATGGTCGCAACTCGATGATTTTATTGGCTTGCTCAACGGTGCAGCCTATCGAGAAACAATTAGCAAATGCAGAGTTAGCAAATGCAGAGTGATTGAGGAACAGGAACTCACCCGTAATCTCCTGCAAGCCCTCGGCAGCAGCTGTGTTAAAGTAATTGAGCACGCGAAGCTCATGGCGACTATCCTCTTTCGGTCTTGCAACGCGGGCTGACGCATCGCTGTCAACGGATTCCGCCTCGGATTCGGAGTCTATGACCTTGCGCTTCAACCGCTTAACTCGAGCCTGCGAAACAACTGGGCTGCCAGGAGTTTGGGGAGGTTCCAGGTCCGCTGCAGCGAGGGAAGGGGTCGACGGGCCGGGCTTGGAAGGGGGCTTGCCATCCAGGGCTGGTCGGCTCTTGTATATCATAGATTGCTTCCCCCTCTCTCTTATAGCAGCACGCTGAGCCTTATTAGCTTCATCAATCTCCTTCACTCGTCCTGTCTCAGCCGTCGGTCGCGCTACTGGTTTTCCATTCGATGCTGACGGTGGCCGCCAACTGGGGTCGGTGAGAAGGGCCGATGCCTTCTGGACGTCGCCTCCGGCCTGGTCCCATGCAGCACGAACAACACTGAGCGGATGCAGAGGTTGTACCATTTTGAAACGAGTGAACCTAGGGTCTTCGCTTTCGGATTGAGAGGGCTGAGAAGACGACGGTGGCTCCTGAGGTGATTGCGCGTGCCGTACGATGCGTGATCTGGAGGGGCCAGCAACGTCCATGGCATCCGAGATGGACTCGTCAGAAGATATTGATGACAATGAGAACGTGCCATTGACTCTGCGTTTACGGCCTGGTGCCTGAACCTCAGGAGACTCGGGCGAGGTCAAGAGGTCTAATGGATCCTTCGGTGAGCGACCACGGTTGATTCTCTTGCGGGGACGCTCCCCATCCCCCGAATCCTCCGTTTCCGACATCTGTCTCCCATTGCCATTCCAAGGACGCGTAAACGACGCGTGTGGGACGCTGTTGCCTCGCACAAATCCACTGGGTGCTGTCAGCGGATCAACGCGTACCGGCGTGAAGGGCTGCGATGGCGGCTCTGAATGAATGAGGCCAGGAATGCCATCTCCAAGGCTGTCGGATTGCCAGAAGGACCGATTGGAATGATGACTGGGATCGTGAGGAGGAGGGCTTGAGTTAGGCGCAAGGACATTGCCAGGTGAGATGGGAGTCGCGGAGAAATAGCGCGATGGAATCGTCGCATCGCGCGACTGCGCGGGCGGTCTGTCCAGCGTCGTGCCGGCCGCCGTCCACGAAGCAGACGCAGGCAGGACACTCTCATCCACAGAGGTGTTCTGTTGTTTCTGCTTCTTCTTGAACTTGAGCTGTTCCAAGGCCGCCTTCTGATATGACGGGGCGGGACGTGGTGCAATCGCGGTCAGGAAGGCACAGATACGGTAATTTAAACCACGACACTGACTTTATTAGCAGCAGCACCAGGTCCTAAGGACATCATGAAGTTGTCGAAGAGAGTGAGAGTCTATGAGGATGTAGTTACGACGACTACGACGAGGCCTAGGTGTGTATGATATGGACGACAAAGCAGACGAACTCTAATAATGTGTCCCTCTGTCGGAGAGCCAATCAACTGTGGCTGCAGCTGCCAGGGCTAGTAAATAATTACGACTTAAGACTGGGACAACAACACCGACCGAGGTCAATTAGTCCACAAGCAATTCAAGCTATGAGTAGGAATGAGGGAGAGATCGCACAGCAGCACCTCCTTGTCTGACTGGCATGAATCTTCGCCGCACGCTTGAGCAGGTAGGAGGATCACGTCTGCATTGCATTGAACAACGAGAGACTAACGTACAAATAGTACTAGCGCATTCTGACTCCCGGTGGCAGTAGCGGCCAAGCAAAGAACGAATCCAACAGCCGACTGAAGGTGAGCCATGAAGCCCCTCGGATGTCGGCGGCGATACTCATCACAAGGGCAATCCGGCACGGTGACAACGGGTGCATGTCGCGAGCAATACTAGACTGAGTGATGGTAATAAAACAATCTACAGTGAAGTAGTTCAGCGTCGTGCGAGACAATGACTAGTGGAGAGCCAGTACCTTACTCTGCAATGTTAATCGCGTGACGATGGTACACGGTACCATATGGTGCTCGACACAATTGAGACCGTAAACGAGACATTAGCGCAGAATGCAGGCTACATTCTTACGATGTAGACATGACAGCGAAGCTGGACGGCCTCAAATGCACATCTTCATTGCTGCACGAATCCTGAGCATCGCGGGAAAAGGCTGCAATTTTGCTGGATCGCAATCAACCTTGGATGCGTCCCAGAGGGTGTACTAGCGCATAGGGGCTGTCAAACTTCTCAAGCCTTTCGCATAATAGTAATTGAGGCCGATTGGATCAACTGCATAGGCAATTGCCTCAGTGGCGTCGATATAAGAAGAAATAAGAAACACACGTTGCAGCAGAGATGAACACGGTCATCCAACAGCAGCCCCAGCGCAATCCTCTCGGATAATGTAGCGTTGGCGCCCCGAGAATCGCACGGATGCTTCCGACCAAACATCGCTGCGCGGTCTATTGAGACTACGATACTCGGAACTTGGCCCACCAATGGCTTTCGTTGTGAACACGGCCATACACATCTGCCATGTTCACGCGACAGAACACTGTGATTCTCTAAATCGCAGCTCTGGAAGTAAATTTGATGTTGCAGCACGCCTATCGGCAAAATCCGGATCCAAGTCTAGCGGAACAGCAGGTTGAATAGCGCGAAGACGTGAGATGTTCTCCACGCACCAGAGGAGAGAATGCGACCCGCGAGCGAGAACTCCTGTGAAAGCTAGGCCCGGCCCCTGCTTTCAATGCACGAAGAGGGCGCGTCTTCTCGAGCGCTTAAGCACTAAGTGCAACCTGTCGGCCCTGCGATGCGTGTATGCCATTCACAGGTGTAGCTCACGGATCGCAGAAAAAATAGCCCATCGAGGCTTCTAGCGTGAGTGAAACACTAGCAGCTAGTTCAGACAACGGAATCACAGGCAAAGGCAGGAGGCTCTAAGACGATCTATCCGCGAACGGGTGTGAATTCTGGCGGACGAATGCGAACGCCATGGAAGGCACTAACCTGAGCCTTCCTTTCTTTGTATTGCTGAGTAGTTATTGACAGTGCATTAGTTGCAATCTATGACCATCGACGTCTCAGCGAGTGGAGAACGCTGCGACGCAGGATTGCGTGGCACGATAAGAGAGCGGAATGATGGTGGTTGGAGAAAGAGAGCAGAAGCGCTCATAGCAGTCACGCCGTAACTGATCACGCACCGCCGCAGTTGGCAGTTGCCGCACTTGTGAGCGAACAGCCTCGGGCTGCGCCTTTGCACTTGCACTTCCACGACTCCTCCTTCGTAACAATTTCGTCGCCATAAACATGGGATTTATGGATGCCATAACCCTTATTGGCCTCCTAGGGCTATCATTGGCAGCATCTCTGCTCATTACGGTCCCTTTGACTGGGGCATTGGTACGGTTGCGAGGTGCGTGATTTAAGAGGATAGTACTTCTCCATTCGATTGACGAGCGGGGCATTTGAATGCGCTTTCCAGCGAACTATAATCCTCGTGGATTGCGTTTGGATGCTGAAGGGAACATTGAACCGCATACTGGGCCTGTGGTGACGTCGTTCTTTGGCATGCTTAGGCGCGTGAAGCGCATTGAGGTGAGTGTGAACCGCTGATGATATTTATAAATAACGCTTTCTCAACATCGTTGCAAAGGGGTGGGCCGGACTATACAAAGGCCTCAGTACGTGTCTCCACCGCCATGGACAGATCTGGTATTCACAGGACCTACTCTAGTGCCAACGCTGTCATTCAGTCTGGTGCTCACTATTTTCGCCGTGGCGGTTCTTAATGCAAATACGCCAAGTACCCCCGGTCGAGCGGATCCTCCTGCTGCCGGATTATTCGGAACCCTAGCGTTTGGGATGCTTTCGATGCTTATGTCACTTCCTGCTGCCATCATCACATACCGGTGCGTCTAACTGCGATCAATCAGCCATTCGGGAACTGACCGTTCCCAAAGGTCTATCACCACGCCATACAAGCTTCCTTACTTCCGCCCTTTCTACTCACTCCGCATCTTATTAACTCCTACCGAGCGCAAGCGACCGTGGATCCTGTATATGACTCCTGGGCTTCTTGCTGCGGAATCTCTTCATGTCGCCTATACAGCGCTATTGCTTTCCGGCGTTCGAGCACTCCTCTTACCACGATCAGGATCGACAGACTATTCCCTCAGCCCCGTCAGGTTCGGACTTTACATGACCATCGAGATTCTGAGCACAGCAATCCTGTGCCCATTGGAGGTCATTACAACGAAGTTGGCTATCCAACGTAACCATGCGGCGCCGGAATACAACTCCGTGGAACAGGAAGTCGAGGACGATGCCTTAGATGGTGCGGAGTATACCGAGTATTCAGGCGCAGAGGAAGACGTGATTGGGTGAGTCATTCCCAATTATGATCAGCTGCAAGTTAATAATATCTCGTTTGCCATTCGTAGGCTACGTCATGAGAAGGATCCCTACCTGGGCCTCGTTGACTGCGCGAAGCGAATCATTGATGAGGAGGGATGGAGGACTCTATACAGAGCGTGGTGGCTCACCATGCTCAGCGGCATTGCAAGTGGGCTGGCGTCCGTGGCGCCGAACATGTCTTAAGGTGGCATTCTAGGTGATCGAAATCCGGCTTCGCTTCTATCTCGCGTAACTCGTGGATGTCTCCGCAGGTGATAGCATTTTGAAGTACGTACCTATGTAGCTACCACTCACCATTGTAATGTGCCTCGATATCGAGTATATATTGTGTTCCGCTTGCGTGCAACTGGTCTCGATGGCAAAGACAGCCTGTTGTTTCGAAATGCTCTCAACACTAACGTGGAGTGCCACTGGGTGCCAGGCTGCTGGCTATGTTTGGCCATGTGCGGCGACACGATCGGTATCGATCGTCCGTCAAACTTCCGAGTCGTTGTCACTTTGTGGTGAAGTCCGACACCAGTGGTCGCGGAGGATTGAAGTCGCCGCCATACACTCTTGCAGAATGCGGCGTCGGTCTGGCGCATGGCCACGGAACTATGCCGCCAGGGCTGCGGTCCTTTCACCACGTTCGACGCAGCTGACCCCCGGTTCCTAAAAGGTCCTGGCTCAAACGACTTGCAGACTGCCTTTATGGTCCGTCACCACGCCTTCAAACAGCCGGCTAAACTTGTTTCCATAGGTCGGCGATACCCGTGGTGCTGTTGCGCTAAAACTAGCACGGACAACCCCGCAAGCACAACATCACTGGCCACCCATCACTTCGCGATGGTATTCCCTCGGTTATGCAGATGTCGCGATCAGCATTAAGTCCTCCTTGTGGACATGGTCTATTCATAGTTCACTGTACTCATGACTTGGCCACCCTTGCCAAGCCGTTTCTCCATTTTGTGCATCAGCGCCTGGTATTTTTACGCTGCTGCTTTCCCATCCCATACAGTCTCTTGATCAATACAGTCCGACGTCTAATCATATCCTGAACCCGACAGGTGGCCATCAGTGTGTCACGGAACACGGGCGAGTCCGACGGCTGTACACATAAACCGCATTCCAGCAATACAACAGAGCGCAGTGCTCACGACATACATGCCCCATCCTCAGAGGTTGTGCTATCAATAGCGTTGTCTCTGGCGGCCGCATGAGAGCTCCAAGAGTCGAGACTAGGAGTACGACGTTGCAAATTACGATACGTGCGTTTTAACTCCTTCAGAAGCTACGTGACGGTCAATCTGATTACGCGGACGAGCCGCCGGCTCCCAGCAGACCTGATGGGATAAAGCTCGTCCAGCAGAATGGGCACCGCAGCTTTAAAAAGCGCCCAACCCGTCTGCACGATGATGTCGAAATTCTTCTCCCGCTCTGCTGATCACAATCAAATTCCAATTCCGTCGCAGGTTGCGCGGTCGGCTCCAGGGGAATGCCGACTCATCTTGAATCTCAATTCAGTTACATCCAGGCAGCACCGACCGTCGCCACAAAACTCAGCTGAGCATCTGGAACGCCTCCGCATTCACGTACTGACTGAGAGCTATTATTATCCAGCATCTTATCCACAAGTGAATTTTAGCTGGTATGGTGCCACGACGGCGCTGGTCTCGCCGCTCGTCACATCATTGGTTCGCGCAAAGTTGTTCGCCATGAACCGAACATCATCCGTCATGCCCGCAGCTTCCGTTTCCAATCTCAGTACGCTTCCCTCACGTCAGTTCGACATGGTACGGTCTAGTACGACAGGTAGGACCGTGCGGCGCCCCCCAGGGCCCTCCGAGACGGCGTCCCTTTACTCACACATATTCCCTGCATCTCCCGAACGTACCTCGCTGACTGTAGTCCTCGAGGCAGGTTTACGGCCCCGATTGCAGGCGCTCGCTCCAATCCAAATTGGCATTCTCGGAGTGCGACCCGCGGACCACGCTCCAATCAACGACCTAGAAGGCTCATTGGAGATTCAACATTCCAGGGTGCCCTACGGATCTGATTCCGCACGTACCTATATGCGCTATCATGGAGCATAACAATGCAAAGCGATTTTCTACACTGATCGTCAAGCACACTTCGGAGCCGCGCGGTCCGGTTGCTGTTGATGGTTATCCTCATCACATGATGCGTCGCACGGGTCCCCCTCTGCGCAAATATTGTTTGGGATGACAAAAAAAACGTTGCCAGAACGCTCCTTAACGGAAAATCCGTTTCCTCCGGTTCGGGTTCCATCCAGTCTTGGCATGTATGCCAATCAGAAAGAAAGGCTATTTGCAGAAAAGACGTACCTGGGCTCCATATCTAGAATGCTCGCCCTTGGCGTCCTATTCCAGGGACTCTTCTCATCAGGCCCACCTTCTCTACAAACGCAGACGCTGTCGGAGAGGAACAAGGCGACGATAGCAGGGCGACACCTGTTGCTGAGCTGCAAATTGTTTGCAGATTCTCGGCAGGCGGCTTGCTCGTATTATCCCCAGGTCGACGCGGCGGAGATGCGATCGTTGCACCGGGGGCACCTGACTCACTGATTGGCGGATGCAGCCAGAGTCGCCGCTTCGTATGCCAATACGTTTCACGGTCGCTCTGATGTTCTTAGAAGACGCACGCATCGCTCGCATATGGCCGAGAATTCACGCACTGCGTAAGACGACGCGTGCCATCGTATCTTGCCAAGACCCCGGACGCCCGACAGGGAACTCCTCCCCCGTGGGCCAGGTACATTAATTTACGAGCGGGTGCTGTGACTTGATAACGCGCAGGCTCTCGAATCACACTGAATATATGAATCACAACAATCCATCAAGGCATGCTGTGTGCGTGGCTGGGCCTGCGACGCTCTGAAGATCACGATCAAGTCTCATGTCAGTGGTGACAGCGCTTATTACGACATCGCCCATTTACTACATAATAATCGCGCTACCGACTGTCCGTCAACGATTTGATCATTCTTGCGCGGTGTTATCACGACATATCGATGCCGTCGGATTGCAGGAAGATATGAGGATCAATCAGCATACCAAGCTCCGCATGGTCGGTGCAATCCACTCTCCATGCTTCTATGCCGACCCCTTCCGGCAGACTGTGCATGTCTGCCAGGGTTCCGCAGAAGGTGGCACGCACGAGCGCGCTGCATTGTATCTAGGCGCCTTTTGCCCGGAGGCACGGAGTCCTTGACTCCCACACGGAAACGCGCCTTGGCCGAGGGAACGGGCACCGGAGGCGCTCGCCTCGCACACGTCTGATGGACATGACGATCTGCCGACGTGACGACCTCGACTAGTCCTCGTGACTCATGTCGCGCAATTGCAATTGATTGACATCCAAATGATCCTTCGGTACGGTAATTTCAACAAATTACTCGCCGGCGCAGGCTAATTGCATAGATCAGGGATCTTGCATGGTTGTCCATGGCAGCGGCCTCCGACAAGTCGGACTTGGCACGCAGCTGTTCATTAACAGCTTGCTTTCGCTATTGGCGAACACGTAGCACTAGGCGAGCACACGCGATATGGACCTCGTGCTGCATTTGTATTGTCCTCCCGCTCTCGAGAATATCACAGTCTATTCTTGGTGTTGGCTTCACCAGATGCTGCCTACACTTAGGTTCCAGCCCGCGGAACCTTGGAATCACGATAGATTCTGCATACAACAGCGGGAGCGTCGAAGGCGTCCAGCAACACAACGCTGGTCTGGCGTCCTTGTTCCGCCGCTGATATTACGTCATTGTCTGTGCGAAGTCGACCACGGACGCTCACGTTCTGTCGGCACATGAGAGCGTCCGCTGCTCGGGCGCTAGCGGTGCTTCAAAGCAGAGCAAGCGAGGTGTTCCGAACATAGCGTATGCGCTCGTGTTGCCGCCAATCGTCGCTGCCTGATCGGACCATCGGCGACTCGCTCAGAAGGCTAGTCAGCAAACGCGTGTGAGCGATGTGGTAGGGATGCGCTTCGACACTGCATGCGAGGCAGCGGGGTCATTCAGTGGGGCAGATTCTATGACAGGCAGCATGAAAGCTTCCGGGTTGCAGCAAATGAAACATATAGCGTGCCCGTGGCGGCGAAGAGCCAAACCACTCTTGGCATTGCTTCTCAGTAGCCTGCGGTGCCGGCTCACGTCAATGCGTGCAGGGGCGTCGAAGCCTGAAGGCGAGAATGATGGCAAGAGCGATCACACGGCCCGATGATGGCGGCGCATTGAAGCAAGTGTCGGCAGACGATCCACCCATTTTGGTGCGGAGAGCGCGCGCGGGGATGATAGCCGCGGATGGATTAAGAATGAGGATTGCTGGGCCAGACGGGGCGCAATGCCGCGTGCATGGATGCAGGGCCGGCAAAGGGCGAAAGAGGGGTTGGCCTCACCAATTGGGGAGAGGGCTTGGTCTCCTTCTGCCTTAGACGCCGCCGTCCGCGGAACGCCCGCTGCGCCAAGCGGCCAAGCGTACAAAGGAAACTATTTCTGATTAGATTCAGGATCGCACCTGCTCGATTGGTCGGCTCGGGCCGCCCGCCGTGCGGGAGCTCCGGCGTGCCGGATCAACGGCGGTGATGCTCCTGCGCGGGGCTTACCGGGGATGTGTGGGTGGGTGGCCGGGGTGCTGCAGTCTCGACCAGGAGGGTGTCGGGCATACGTGGGTTCGCCGAGGCGCAAATGCTATTCACGGATTGGCTTGGCGCCATGGCTTGGGGACACTGTTTCGCAGAAAAGCATCCGCAGGAAGGGTGCATCAGTGGAAGCCGCTGATTGTCGAATTTCAGCGCCCACCCCTGCGTGATGGCTCCTTTCCAATTTCCCACCGCCCTTTGATTCAATCGTTGGGCGCGCGGCTCCATCGACTGCCATAGGTCGCCCGTCCCTGGTTATCGCCAATTTCACCATTTCCCGCTTCTAGCACATCGCCCATTTTCTGGACAATGCGGCGCTATGCCAAGATAAATAGAACTCCCTTTCCCCATGACCTCAGCTGCCATCCCGCCCATTGCTCTTGGCTGATCCTCTAGTACTTCACTGCCGCCATACCATACCATGTCTGTCGATCCAGCACAGCAGCAGCCCAGGAAGAGGAGGAACACCACCGACACCGTCAAACGCACCACGCCCGAGGATGACCATCGCCGTACGTTTTTCCGACGTTTGCCCGTCGCTGCACGCTAAAATCTCTGCAGGCAAGCGACGCAACCGTACCACCCAGTCATGCCTCAACTGCCACACGTCGAAGCGGATGGTACGCACTCGTATATATTCTCGTTGGTCGTCATGCTGATAAAGTCTGCACCCAGTGTGATCGCAAACGTCCATGCGGCAGGTGCACGCAACTAGGCCTCGTACGTATCCCTCCGCTGCCACGACACATCATTTTCTCACTCGTGTAATGCAGACGGGTCTCTGCGTCTACGAGGTAGACGACCCCAGCCGAAAGTGGGTCTTTTTTTTCTGTTGTCTGGTGGAATAACTCATGTATCGAAGGTGCTCTAGTGGCGACTCACAGGACGAGCAGTCTCGCTTGCAGAAACGTGTTGCCGAGCTCGAGAGCGTCATCCGCGAGGTAGACAACCTATTACCGACCGAATAGTTCAAATCTAACCGCTACGTGTTGCAGCTCAAGAACAAACCACATCCCCGATGGGTCTCGGGGGCCGACGCTGTGGAGAAGATCGAGAAGGTCCTCGGCGAGTCATCCAATTCACCGTCCTCAGCGCCCAAGGACACACAGTCAAGCCCTTCGTCACCACGAGCGTCCATCCAGCCCACGCTACGTACCGGCGAGTGCAGCACACCACACGCAGATATGACCAGTCCCTCCCTCCGCCACCCCAACTTCTCTTCACAAAGCTCCCCTTTCATGAGCGGCTGCTCCACACGGGTGCCCTCGAGCCCCTCCATCTGCGGCAGCTCACCCATCGACACGCCATCCCCAATGACGCTCTCTCCGATCGAGCCGCAAATCATGTCAGGCGTCATGCCAGCGGAGTATGACTTCTCCGCACTATTCTCCGGCGAGTCCGCAGAGAAGACGGGCCTCGAGGACAGCTTCTTCGGTGACCTCTGGGACCGCCTCATCCGGCATGATGGACCATGCGACGCGAGCCGCGGCGAGCACTGTGGATGTCTCAACGACCCCGCATTGTACAACGTGATCCTCGAGCTCTCGCTCCGACTGCGCAAGGCTGCAGACCTGCTCAGCCGTTCCCCGAAGCATGCTATCGGCTCAGGGACTTGCTGCCTCATCACCCAGAACATCGCGGAGCTAGACCGCTTCACATCGTGAGTTCTCGGATTCTCGTCTTCCCTTTAGCTAGCTCGGTGCTCAATGGAGTTGATAATCAGGAATGCGCTGGGGAACATCAGCACCCCTCCGGACCCTTTTGTGCCATACGCTGCTGCTTCTCGGGAGCGGCCCACTTTCGCAGCGGGTGCGACAAATGCGACTTTGCAATGCAATGCATTCGGCTCGGCCCGCCCAAACGCATCTGTGGCGCCAGCAGCCACAGTCGCACCTCCGCTACAATCGATGCGGCCGTGGGATTACAAGACCGCGTCATATCCAAGTCCTCCTTGGGACGATTCGTTCATGTCTTGGGTGCCGCAGCCACAGCGGCGTTGACTGCCCGTCGTGCAGCCGCACCTTCCATTTCTATGCAGTATGTTCTGGTATGCTCGGATTGGAATCCATCTCGTTCTAGATTATGAATAGGCGCATACATAGAGGGCTCTTGGTCGTGGCATGAACACATTTGCATCGCATAACATCGCATCGCATATACCTATGTCGTCTCTGTAGAAGCTAGCAGCTGTAGATATATCCAGCACAAGTACTCAGTCGCTCAATATGAAACAGATCACTATCTATCGCCCGTGCGACGAACCCCCCGTCGGATCGCGGAAGGATGATGGCTTGCGTCAGCGGCGCGAGATAAGGTGAAATGGAGTGGACACATCGAGATCCGCCGGATGCTTCCGCGTAGCTTCGCGAATCTCGATCCGCTCGCAGCCACCTCCTCAGTGCCGCCGCCTTTGTTCCAGTCTAACAGTGCGAGCCCTGTCGTTCTTGCAGCGAACGCTGGTAGTGCGCGCAGATCTTCGCTGTTTCCAGGCACGAGGCATCGAGGGAATATCACTACTTATCTTTTTCTGATAGAGATAGCGCAAGCGCATCGTGCAAACTTCCACCTCGCTGGGGCATCGCTGGGTGATCTGATTGTTCCAGGGAATCGATCCCGCATGTAGTATACACTCGTCAGATAGGTGCAACATTTACACACCCATCGGCGGTCGATCGCGCTGAACCGAGGGTAGAACGCGGCGTCATGCCGTCGGAATGCGCGAGAGGATTGCAATGACATGCACATGTCACTGTGTGGTGAGCATCTCCTTTTGCACCGCTGCCTAATGAAGACCTGCCAGTAGTAATGCCATCAATGTTCCCGGACCGGCGTGCAATATGAGCGATTCTGGGCCCTCAGCCCCGCCTTTCACACACCGGCTGGCCAAGAGGAACATCAAGAGGCACATTAACTGGGCAGGACGACACAGCGTGCGCGGTTACTCAATCAAGGCGGACTCCGGTAAACTTGTCCTCGGACTTGGCTGACCTTGGCACGAGCAGCGGGCCGCGCATCGACGGAGATGAGTGGTGCAGCCTCCGGGCACCAAGAATTCGCCGCCCGCCGGCTCTGCCGGACAAGGTTAGCAGCCCGCCGACAATGTGGGTGGATTAACCTGCACGCACTCGAGGCTGCCGGCCCGCCATTCACTCCATTGCACTGCAACGTGACTGAAATCAGGCGCTGTTCGAGACGCTGCTTATCAAGCGCAGTGATACATGAGTATTTGATCCCTTGGCCTTGGACGTGGAGGCTGCAAAGTGGAATTGATGGCAGGCAATTTACAGAGACGCAGATACTCGCGTCAGTGCGGCCAGACGCGGGCAGCGCAAGACTTATCGCCTGGAGAAGTTCGAATAAGGCAGGTGCAGGACCCTTACGAAGCTGCATCGGCACGCAACGTGACTTACCACGGCAACTCTCCTGCAGCGCGAGGGAGAAGCAGCAATTGAGAACATGCTTACATAATGATTGCCAAGCGTCGCCAAGTCTTCCCGGGCCTTGGCGGCTCGAGCGGTCCCTCAACCGGCCGCCACGCTCATCGGCTCCGGTGAGCGCGCAGTTGACTACGGCCCGCCAAGCTACTCGCCGCCCTCGCGCTCAACTCAGTCTGCACAGGTCTGCACTGGCGTGCTGGCATGGGGAACACACTCTTTGTGATCTCATGCATTCAGACAGACTCTTGCAACATGCCACAAGATGGATATCCGTCTAAATTCTCAATTATCAATGCTTAAGGTGAAAGAAGTCGAACAATGATGTAGAAGCGACGGGAAGACCGTGTTGGCAGTGCTGATTCCTACCTAGATGAGTCGGCGCTGTCGTGTTCAACACGCCCAAGAGAACCGAGAGCGCTCGGCATACTTCGTACTGCGCTTAGATACGTATTGCCTTGACAAGGACGGGGTATCCGCCGAGCGCAAGGGGCACTGTAACCTGAGCAACGTTGAAATTCCTCTGCCATAGAGACTTTCTGAAGGAGGCAGTCCACTGACGCGCCGAGCGCATCGGCGGACCGCACCCTGCCATCGCTCAAAATCTATCAGATTAATGACGCACTGGCCCAATAATCCAGGATGCACTCGGCACGACGGTCACGAGAGTACCAGCGGGCATTCCTCAGCAAGGAACGATATATTCGAAGCATTTATATTGCAAATCATCACGCAAGGTGCATCAGATGCGGGGAACAGGCTCACAGGAGAACCGTCCAGATGCACACGGCAAGGATCATATCACGGAGACGTCGCTTCAGTTTACTCATATGTGCATCACAGGGTCTTTCGCATCGAACTTCGTACCCTCGCATCGGCGGAGAGGTGGAGCACGACGGCGCGTACCGTGTGCGCCCAGCATTTGGAAGACGCCACGAAGACTAAGAAGACCGACTGCTCAGCAATATCCAAGCCTTTCCTGTGAGAAGGACCAGCCAGCCGCTAATGCTGCCTTCCCGGACTCCAGGAGCGTTGCTCATCTCTTTCTGGTGACTGGACGATACGGGCGAAGCGAGAGAAGCTTGGTGATGATATGCCGCTGGATCTTACTCAGCTGCACCTAAAGCCTCGGCCAAGGAAATCGACCCTGCCCAAGACGCCGCTGCGCCCTGTCAGCCATTCAAACATTCAGACCGGGTGCAGTGGCTGAATCATACCTTCACGACGGCAATGCAGCGTGACTAGGTCAGTGTATTCCGTGCTCGACAAATGCAGCAATACACCGCCTTAAGAATGTGCAAGGAAGGCGGGGTAATTCTTTTTCTAAGCCAATCCCATTCCTCGTGTTGAATTTCAACCATGCATAGAAGCATTGAAACCTGACGGACAAGTGGACTTTAGTGCTCGGCCGCCGTGCGCACAGGCCCCCCAGGGACCGAGAGGTTTTCGGCAAAGTAAATGATGCCTCCTGGCGCCTCGACAGCTTTGTAGAATCCTGAAACGACGCCGTCAATTGCCAAATTGTTGTCAATCATTCAAACGAAGTTTGACGGGCGTTACGCCAAGTCTTCTTCATACCACGCATAGGCATCGGCGGTAGGGAGCATCGAGTTCATCGACTGTTGTACAAGCTACGAGAGCCAAGCGCAGACACACCTCGAAACGTAGTAACGTGGACCAGAAATCTTGGCCGCAGCTGTCTGTCACCGGCATTTCATGGAAGCTTGATACTTTAATTTGTCCAGTCTTGGAAGCATCGTGTATCAGTGCCCAGCGGCTGCGTATGTAGACACGAAGGTCATGAACTATCATCGGAATGGACCGTACCTTCCTGCTCATGCGTATGTACGAAATTTTCTACTACAATCCACGACGGTGTTGGACCGACTCGAATGTCCGAGAAAGATCTGAAGTGACTTACCAAATACGGTCCATCAATGACCAATTTCTTAGTCAGCACCTTCAGCCACCTATATAAAAGCCCGCGCGCCTAAGTCGAAGTTCTACATTTCGTCTGTGATCACTCTCAAGCAAACATGGCGTCTCATTTGGTGAGTCTACATCATTTCTATCAGATTATTTCTGGGTACTGACCACCACACGATAGGCCAACATCTTTGGAACCGAGCAGGATCGTGTCAACTGCTCTTTCTATTATAAGGTACGTTTGCCTTTATGCGCGTCCGCATCGACGAGCTGACTATTTGTTGCAGATTGGAGCGTGCAGGCATGGTGACCGCTGCTCCCGAAAACACATCAAACCAGCGTTCTCGCAAACCATCCTCTTGCCGAACGTGTACCACAACCCCGCGCACGACCCCGTCTGCAAGCTGACCGAGAAGGAACTGCAGGAGGGATTCGACGCGGTGTATGAGGATCTCTACTGCGAGTTGGCGAAGTTTGGTCATCTCTTGGAGCTACACGTGAGTCATTCAGCTATTGTGGAGACATGTGGGCGATAGTTACTAACAGGTTTGGATACAGGTATGCGACAATGTTGGAGATCACCTCATCGGCAACGTGTATGCTCGATATGAGTGGGAGACAGAGGCGCAGGCTGCAGTTGATAACCTGAATGATCGCTGGTATGCAGGTGAGCACAGACGTCTCATGATTCCTACTTCCGTTTGCTAATCAAATCACTTAGGTCGTCCACTCTATGCCGAGCTCTCTCCCGTCACCGACTTCCGCGAGGCATGCTGCCGACAAAATGAAAACGGCGAGTGCAACCGTGGCGGCTTCTGCAACTTTATGCACCTGCGGCTCGCGTCGAAGGAGCTCGTGTCCTCGCTACGCGCCGGCCAGCGTCTCGAGCGGAGACTCCACCCGCCAAAGACCGAGGGCGGCGGAGGATGGGAGCCGACGAAGCGCGAGGGCGCGCGCGCGCGTAGTGCGAGCCCGGCCAGACGGGGTCGGAACGAAGGTGAAGATAGGTGGACTCGGAAATGAGGTGGGACGCCCGAAGGAGACCCTGCTTGCTTGTTGATCCAGACTGTTCTTCCCCGTGTTGATTGCTCGCTGTCCTGAGAAATGTTGTCCGACTGGAGATGTCTCTCAGGGGGAAATGCCTGTACCTTACGTGTTTGTGCTTGTATTCATTTCACTCGTTGAGTGTATTGTGTGTGACTCGATGTGAGATGAAGTCGCCGTTATAGGACGAGGCCTTACAGGTACCGTATCAGAGTACCGATTCGGAAGGGGCGCCTGATGATATTGCCGATCTAACGAGCATTCATTGTGCCACCATCGCGCCCGTCTACTCAATGCCGATACTTATCGGAGGTTTTCAAGAAGGTGGAACCGTGCAGTTAATATCGATTGCCGTCTTAAGTGTAAAAATCATGGGCAAAGATATCTACTCTATTATTACGTACCACCATCTGTGATTAGACAAGCCAGCCACGGCATTCGACTGCCTTGCCGTCCTGCAATAGTTCTGGCCACTGCACAACAAATCTGCAACACCGGCATTATTGTCAGGAACAGATGCGATGTACTTTGCGAGCGAGACACAAACCTATCAACGAATGGCCGTAGGAGTTTTCCTGAGAGGGAAAGCGTACGGACACGTGCGAAAGATTCGATGTAGATCAACGTGGGTGACGGCGATCCGAGGAACTGTCATAATAGCGGGAACCATTCAGCAGCTGACAGCGATAACAAACAATGCAGCGAAGGGTGAGGACGCTTGAAGGCGTTTCACGTACTCTGTTTAGATATGCAGCTATACATAGCACGAAGCACGTCCCGGGGCCGTTGAGGATGAGGACCTCGGAGAACTGTTTGCCAGACGCTAGGGGAGTCAGAGTGATGTGTCGCAAACATGCAACAAGCGAGCGGATGGCCGAAAAAGGCGCGGTGTAGAGCGATTGGTGAACACGCCGCGCGCGTGGTATGGTCAGAATGGTGTAAGGGGGCGATCCTCCTGCCATTAATGAGCAGCATGCATGAGTCAGAATTTGAGTGAGAAATAAAGATAATAATCATACCAACAGTGCTGACAGAGCGACTGCAGGACTTCAGAGACTCCAGAGCAACAGCTTTCTGAGCGCTCAGTGCATCACCTTCGCTGATTATATATGTTCGTGGGAAGTATCGGTCAAAATCCAATGCAGAGAGAAGCATCAGAGCCTCGCTAGTATGCCCTCCTATATCGCTCCGACGTTCAGCGAAAGCCCAGATGTGCGACGTGCAGTGCTCACCTGAGCCCAGGAATACGGCCAGACTGCAATGCTCTGATGGAAGACGTTTTCGCTTGACACGTGTGGAACGTCCAGGCAGCAGGTAATACAGGCGCAGAAATGCACATAGAAGAAGTACAAGCAGGCCGCATATCCAAACAAACATGCTTGTCAACTTTGCTGATGTTCTCTTGAAACTTGCTGGTAGTAAATGTGTAGCCAGCCACCACGAGGTCACTGCTGCAGAAAAATTCAGTCGCTATGTATAAGCCAATAATAAGAACACTAATGACACCTTCAGTGAGCCTTGAGAGTTACATGAGCATCATGCGTTAAGTTGGCCATAGCATGCAAGCTCTTAGCCGAAATGAAACGTTGGTGGCAGGCCGGGCCGCCGTGCAACATGGATTTCCTTTTCTGGGCCGTGGGTCGCGTCGCGTCTCAGCCACTTTGACCTGCCTGCTGCACGCGTCCTCCCCTTGCCTCCGTCACCACTCACGTATTCGCTGCGCACAACTTGACTCTCAGGCAATAAATAAACGAGATACCGAGCTGCCAAGCACGGCACAATGGCTACCGTAGATGCTAATATGGTGGAAGCACTCAGGAACGCAGTACGCGATTGCGGTGAGAGAGGTCTGAGAGCTGCTTCGAAATGGTGGGTTCCGCGTAATATATCATTGAGATGGCTACACATTATCTACAGGGCGGCAGAACAACTTCTGTCTATCCCAAAGCCAAAACGCCAGCCGTCGGCTATAACGCTGCCAAGCGCTGTGCAGACGTCAACTTCCGCTCGTACGCACACGCCGTAACCGCCTTTGTCCGCACATCTGACGCCGCCATTATTTCTTTAGCCGCACCCTCTAGCACCACGCAGCCTCGCCATCCTCACGCACCTCACCTGTACTCCTTGCCTGAGGATGTCCGGCGGAAAGAGTTACAGTGGGAGGCGGAAGACGCCGATTACATCGCTGCGGCGCGCACCTTTTTTGATTGCAATGATTATGCGCGGGCTGTGCACTTCCTCAAGGAATGTCAAAGCTCCAAAGCCAAATTTCTGAGCCTCTACAGCCAGTTCTTGGTAAGGCTGGCCTTTGTTCTTTTCGTGCATGTGATAATTACTAGCTTGTAAGGCCAGCGAGAAGCAAGCGTTGCGAGAGTGGTATAAACTCGACAGTGAGTTCGTCCAAAACACTCCAGCGCTGCCTGTCATAGTGTAACTGGATGTCGCTTGCAGAGACACGAAAGCAGCCAGCAGTCCCCGTTAATACCTCGCTGCGAGACCTAATGCTCCAGGTGGAGAATGCGACGGACCCGTTTCTTCTATTCCTGTACGCATCTTGTACTGGCGCGACAGAAGGACGATGACTGTTCATGCCGAATATTGTAGGAAAGCGTTGTTCCTGCAGCGATTACACCAACGCGACCGGGCGATCGAGAGCGCGCTTCTGTCGATAGCAGGGTACCCGTGGAACTGGTCTGCATGGATGGTCCTGGGTGAATGTCTGAACGATGGAGAAGAGGTAGGTCACAGGCCGCGCACATTCGACGGAGGCTTACGGTCTGTGCAGCTATCCTCACATTTGCCACTGCTGCCTCTTCCTCCCACACATCCGCTGGTACAAATCTTCCAAATCAAGACACTCAATACCTTGCATAGTCCCACGGAGAATGAACTAGGCCTTTGCGATCGACTGCTCAGCGAAGAACTATTCCCTCAAAGTTCTTGGATCATGGCTCTTCGCGCTAGTGTGTTGTACCATATGCACGGTCGGTCCCCGGTCCCGTCCTGTCTAGCGCACCTATGCCCCATGTGAACACTGACCTCTTATCTCTCGTAGATTTTAAAGAGGCCGCTATGCAATTCACGAAGATCCTCACGATTGATCCGTATAGAATCGATGATATTGATATTTATTCCAACATATTATACGTGACTGAGGACCATTTGACACTAACGAAGATTGCGCATGAGTTCACAATGATCGATAAGGACCGACCAGAGGTTTGCTGTCTCATTGGTTAGTCTCTCAATTTTGATTGCGCGTAGTCATTCTCACTTTGGATGGTACCAATCATCGTCATATAGGGAATTATTATTCATTACGGAGCGAACATGCGAAAGCAATCAAGTACTTCAGACGTGCAACCCAATTGGACCGGACTTATTTGTCAGCTTGGACGCTGATGGGTCATGAGTACGTAGAGATGAAGAACTCTCATGCAGCAATCGAAGCGTATCGAAAAGCTGTCGGTGAGTACGGTGCCATTCTATCAACTGCCATTAACCTATCAGATGTTAATCTATCTAATTCATTCAAGACGTAAACCGTAAGGATTACAGAGCATGGTACGGTCTCGGTCAGGCCTATGAGCTCTTGAGTATGCATCAATATGCCCTGCACTACTATCAACACGCGACGGCATTACGGTAGGATCCCCCTTAAAATACGTCCCTTTTTCAACCCTGACTTCTCCGTCTTCTGCGTTGTCACCGCTTCTGCACGCCGATCGGGTACAACCGAAAAACTTTAGCCCCTATGATGTCCGCATATGGCAGGCACAGGGCATTTGCTACGAAGAAATGGCTCGGTGAGCTAGACTGCCTGTGGTTGTCTACATCACATAATTCTGACGGGGCATATTATACACTCTTGTGCAATTAAACAAAAGGCCACGGGAAGCTATCCAATGCCTCAAGCGCGCCCTGATTGGTGCGGACCCTTTGGAAACGATTATCCATCTAAAGCTAGCCAAACTATACAATGACCTGGACGAGTTTGCCGAGGCTGCTGCCTATCATAGGCATGTTGTAGAAGTTTGCCGCGCTGCGAGTACGTTTAACATCTTCATCTGTTTCATGTTCTTGCTTCTCCTTGTTATCCGCTTCTTCACCGCCCATTGCTCCTCTCCGTCCTCATTTCTATTGTGATAAGCGCTGACCGAGCTTCATGAATGCTTCGCCCCGCTGCACAACCGTTCCAGACAAACCAGTGGCTGAATTCGCCAAGTCCGGCGTCTATGTCGCGCGCTACCACGTCCTGCACGGCGGCAATGACATTGGCTTGGCAAAAGAGTACCTCGAGATCGTCGCTTCCAGTAACGCGGAGGAGGTGGGGCAGGCGACAGACCTGCTCAAGAAGGTGCGGGCTGCTCAGGCAAGGTTGGGGCAGGCAGATTCCGCGGCCCAGGCGCATACCCCAGCTCAAGCTCAAGCTTCAAACAACTTCGCGGGGATATCTGGCCCACTTGGGGAGACATGATGCTGCTCAGACGTATTGCCAATGTGATAAAATGTAGCGTGTATTTTTATTGCATTTCTGGCCGGCCCTGCTGGATATCCTGGATTGAATGGTACTATGTCTCTGCCTGGTACCAAACACCACGCGCCTGCCCTGAAGCGGCCGAATGCGCGTCTGTTTCCCACAGTCACGCGGTCACGAGCCCAGAGGCAGCGGTAAACGTAACAAAACAAACAAAATCGCTCAAGGCTCAGATGTCGAAAATCCTCGCTAATTCACCGTCTCCTTCTTCCTCTACGCCGCATGTTCAGCCCTTTTCGCAGTCGGACAGTAAACCTCGCATCTCCGTCCCTCTCGATGCCAGCGGTTCCACGTATGGCTCGCCTGCACCCGAGCCTCTGACGCCGGCTGTGGCCTCGACGTCGACTTTCGATGTGGACCTGATAACTGTCGATGGCGAGCCTGATGATGGCCGACCTGCGACAGGGTCAAGCGCGAGAGTGAAGCTTGAGCCTGATGTGGAGGCTATCAGCAGACAGGTGAAGAGCAAAGCCTCCGCAAAGGGAAGGACACCAGAGGAGGAAGAAACCATGCTGCAGACAGCTACCAGGTGTGTGTTTAGTCTTACGATACATACGCACGTAATGACAAGGGGACGTTGGTTTGCTCGTGCAGAGTTGCATCCAGCCTGGCTGCAGACCAAATGGCTGTGCTATATCCCGACGTTGATGCCCCATTCAGCGATGCTGCTGATGCTGTGAGACGACTGCTACCCTACCACGTCTTTCATCATCCAAAGGAGGATTTAGAAGCTTTCATGAAACGGCCTATATTCACCCCTCAGAAGGGGAAACGTAAGGCAACGGAAGAGGACTTGTTGAGGGAAGAGATAGCAGGTATTCGTAATCCTCAGGTGTCCCATGATTAGCGCAACTCATATTATAACCCGACGCTAGAAACCAAGTTCGCGCTGGACTGTTGGCGACGACGAAAGGCACTAGAAAGACGATTTAAACGCGCATGTATCAGATCTGGAACGGTCAGTGGTATATTTCTCCGTAGACGACGAGATGAACATATCTTCCTACCCCTTGATAGCGGGCTTCCCCCGATGATCAAGCACACTTCCTAGCGCAAGCTATATTAGAAACCGAGCGCGAGGAGACGATAAACGTCAATGCCGAGTTGCGTCAGGCTCGGGCCCAGCTGGAAAAGCTGCAGCGCGAGAAACGGGCGGCGGAGGCACCTGTGCCTCAACCACGGCCACCGGCTTCTTATTATGCTGCGCCGTCAACACCGACCTCGGCGTATGCCTCGCAGTATCGCGGGTATGCATATCCATATGCACATGCGTATGGAGCTGGGCAATACACTTTAAGTCCGGCCTTCCCGACTACGCACGCAGCATATACAAGTACTCCTTCCAGCACTGGCGCATATACTGGCATGTCGCCCTACCCTTCTACTCCGACACCGACTGCCTCATATGCTGCGTCTTCCACGACGTATCAAACGGCCACGCCTGTTGCCACATCGAACGCACCGGCGGCCACCGCCGTTACTCCTGCCCAGCACACGCCAAGTAGACCCCCCACCTCAGCCATCCCAGTGCAGTTGCCAGTGACTTCGCTCCCCGCACTGACTGCGATAGGTTTGCAGCCGGTACCTGTGTCGTCCTTACCTGCTGAAGGGCAGCAACGGCCAGCTGCGGTACTGAAGTCGCAAACGGGTGCCACAATGAACTTGGAGATCAACGTCGGGTCGCTGCAACCCGCACAAATGAGCGGACTCGCGCTCATACTGAACGCGCTGACGTCAAGAGGTGTGAATGTAGATGGGACTACCACAGCCGCACCAATTGGTGGCACCGGTGGGAGTGGGACGCCCTCGACAAGCGCACCAGCCTCGACAGTCTCGTCAGGGACGAGATGAGGAGGAGGACATTGAGCTGTGGGAGTGTTGGCAGAGTATCATTATTCGCGTATCAGTCAGCTGTCGAATACGAGCCCACGATGTAAGTTCAGCCTTGCAGTGTCGTATCGGAATCGTGCCACGTTTGCCCACGCAAGCGTCTATTCGAAACAGGGCCTGATGTGTCAGACTCGACAAATTCCTTTTCAGGCGAGAAGTGGCGAAGATAGGCGTGAGTGGCCAGGAAAGGAAAGGCGCTCTTTTCCGGGGCGTTTGCCCTCGCCACCGCCCATGGCGAGCAGACCAGGCACCCACGTCCTCGGTCGCTTTGGTTTACTCTCAACCGCCCTCGTACTTATGAGAGTCTTCTTTTACTGTCCTCGTCGCCCCTCTATGGTGCTCTGTGTCTCTTTTCTCTCATGTGGCCGCGCGCCACCAGGTCAGGGGGTGAAGATTGTGTTATGATAATGGCGGTTTTCTCTCGTGCCGAAGCACCCCCAAAACTGTCGGGTTGCCACTCATGCTATCCGAAGACGACGGTGGATCCGATTCACTGCATTGTATGGTCGCTATAAGTAGTGGAACTGGTGCGAGGTGAGCCATTTCAGTCCGGACGAGCGCATCTCTGCAGACCGCATCCTCGACACAACAAACGTGCCACAACCCTATACCACTGCACAACACCCTTAAATAACGCTGCGGAGACACTGTATACCCAGCTTCGCCATGTCTTCTGCCGTCTCAGCACCCTTCGCGTTCTCCAACCTTCCTGTGGAGTTGGTCCGTGACATTTTCGAACATGTTGCCATCTCCGACCCAACGACCGCCCGCACCTTGACCCTCGTATCTCATGCTGTACGCCACTGGACGGATCCCTTCCTATATCACACAGTCGTGCTCTCCTCCTCGCGCAGCCTGCGCTCCTTCCTTACCGCCATTTCCAACAAGCCGACAGAATTCATACATACACGCGTTCAACACCTCGGCATATTTGCCTTGGGACCTGTCCAAAGCATCGATCGCGTACTCACCGCTTGCCGCGGCGTACGTAGTCTGGCGTGCGGCTTCCACTTGCCCGGATACAAGCAAGTGCAGGGCTGCGATGCGTTACAGGCGCTTCTCGGGTCACGTGAGCAACACCTCCTCGGTGTGTCTTGCCGCGACGGGTGGGATACCGCCCTCATCAGCCCATCCGTGACACATCTACGAGTCCACCTCAGCGCTGTCAAGACTGGCAATCCAGACGCGCCTGTCAGATTTGCCGTTGGAACAGGTGTCCCATCTGAGCCCGGCTGGGAGCACCTCGCGAGCTTGTCTTCGCTCACCCACCTGGCCATTGTTTCCCGCTACACTTCCGGGATGCCATCCACAGCCATTATGCCCAATTTGCAGGACCTATTGTCGCTCCGCGATACTGCTCCCGCTGGCGCAAACCCGCCCCGGCTCGAACTCATTCTGATCCAGGTGCTGGGCAGCACAGTTGAGACCGCTAAGATGAAAGCAGCTGTCGATGCCATCAATGCGGCTGCGGTAGAGATTGGCGGTCTAGCTCTGCGCATCGTTGCCGAGAGCGCACCTAGCTCTGTGGTGCGTCAGTGGGAATCTGCGGTCAGAGGCGGCCCGGGCATCTGGGAGGGTGCCGAGAGCGTGGTGAGGGAGAGGCTGGCTGCGGCCTCGAAGTGATAGTTTTAGTGACTTAGTTGTTCTCCATACCCATCGTTGCGCTGGTCATTGCATACATATGTTGCCCGCTGCAGCTATGCTCACCCGTCACCCATGCATTCCCATTAATTGGTGTTTGCTATATATCGTACCATACAGTCTCGATCAGAATACAGTCATACAGCTGCTAATATCTCCGTTTGTTCATGCCGGGACTTTGGACGAGCGGTCAGTGTGAAGAATGATTTACATGTATCGGTCTCGACAAAGGTCCCCTCGGAAGAGTGAGAATGCGAATATCGAGTCAGTCTATCAGCGGTCCTGCTGTGCGGAGCCGAGTCTGTATCAAAGGACCTCCATTGAATTGTAAGCGACGGCTAAGGGCTGGTTAGTCGAACCTGAATATGCAAAGCATCTCCGCCACAGTTCGCTAGCGTGAAGGGTGTGATTTATGTTTCGATAATATTAGTCAACCTCGAAGCTCGGCAAAGTGGTGCAACATCGAATCAATAGCAATTCCTAAGCGGACGCTGACCCCACACACGCACAGATCACCGAAACAACTATGGCTGTTGGCAGGCATCAGTACGGCATATGTGCGCATCCCGACACGGCGGGCGAGTGCAATGGATCCTGGCGTCTTCCCTGCGACCCTGACAAAAAGGTATCCCCTTGCAGGCTGCTGAGGCTTCTGGGGCGGGCCACGGGCGGGATCATTCATGATGGACTTCCAGCGCCAAGGAAGCGAACAATGTGCCAAGCCGAGCTGCACTCATGTTCGACGGAGAACTCACAGAAACATCCTTGTGCGGCGAGGAACCGGCAGTAACGTGAGTTTATAGATTACGCTTGCACACGAGGCGAACGCGGCATGTGCTTTGTCACGGTCGCTCGCTTCAAGCAAATTGGATATCAATGCGAAGAAAAACGGCCAACATGGCAACAGGTGGGGCCCATTCTTCGCGGCGCATGGGCAGGGATAGCGTATGCATGAATCAAAGCCACGCCAACGCGGATCGTGACGATAAGTTTTGAAATCAGAATGACAAGTGGAAACAAACGAGCGAGCACACCATCTTTCCCCTTCACGACATTCAAGGGATTCTTCGAAAGTTGAAACTCCGTGACTTCTTGTAATCCGTGATCTGCCGTTTGCGGCGGCTGCAGTCCGCGACTGTTTGAGGTAAAATCATCCCGTACGGCCAGTATTCTCTCACACAGCAGAAAATCCTCCGACCACGGTATCATCAAACCGTGTTACGGCCGGACCTGGAAGTCGAGATATTTGCGAAGATATTTCTCGCCGCCCCCCGTTCCGCTGGAGTTTGAAGAACGGCAGAAGCACCATACCAGCATGTGTACGTCGCTTCTAGAGGATGTCATTCTGTACGTGTACTACCGGCACGCGCAGCTAAGGATCAGAGTGTCATGTTGCACGAGACTTACCTTTTTACAAATATCCAAGCAAGAGGGATCCAAGCTCAAGCGAGCCTGGTGGTCATCCGGTATGCTGCAGTTCAGCGTCCTGAAACCGTCTCTCCATGCCGACGTCTAGGCGGTGCCGATTAGACGTGTCTGCCAAGTATATTATCATAGTCTCGGCTTGGTCTTGAGTTCGGAGGCAAATATGGGTTCTTGATGGCCATCGTCCGGTCCAAGGCAATAAAGGGTTGGGACAAGACTGTTTCAAAGTTCAGTGAGCAGTGCACGCACGCTTTGCCGTTTCGCCCTAAGCGAGAGCTTCAATCGGCCCTCTTGCCGTTACAAGCAGTCATCGTGCTTGTCCGAGACGAATTCTCGCCGGGCATACTTGACGACAAGTTGTCTCGCTTGTCATGCTACCTGTGCTGCATACATATGTACGTACCGTTTCTCTGCAAAAAGCCAGCATGCTGCTCACGTCAACTACTGGCCGTCTACATAGATGCCCGTTATCGGAATGAGCATTCCAAATTCCAATAGAACCCGTTTCTGATCAAGTCGGTTTTCGCCGGCGGTGCACCCACAAGCGCCCATAGCTTCTCCCCTATAAGCGCTGAGGCGCTCATTGCTGGATAACGTCTTGCCACAATGTTTTCAGAGTATGCGTAAATTGCGACATAAAGCAGAATTCCCTGTAATCCCTGCCGTATGTCGTGATGAGGACTGCCTTTCTATCGTCATTAATATTGAAGATCTGGCCATACAGTTTCATTCAACGATGCATCAAATCCTACCCGCATCTCTGAAGTGATCATTACTATTAGAAGGCACATTCACTGCTATCTGATCAATTGAAGAATGCGTGTGTATACTCCACACAATGCGGCATGTTCTTGACCACACTGCAATCGGGTGTCATGTTATTGACCAACTTCGCACAAGCGGAATACAGTGATGTAAGTTCCTACCGTTCTCATGATAATGTTCTTGGGGTCTCAATCCACTTCTTAGTACCATGCCTTACTCATGCACCAATGCACGCAAGCTGCCGAGCAATGTTTTCCAACAGATGCGTCCGGAACTCATAGCGAAGAAGCAGTGATTTGCCTGGTTGCTCTTCCCTCTTCGCAGCAAAACGTCACAGTCACTACTCCCGGAGATCTTAGCACCGACGAGCGCCACCGCTGCGCTTCTAGTTCATCGGCAATGTGCAGCCGCCGTTCACGCTGCATGCAATCATTGCAACGTCTCCAGTCTGATTGGTATCAACCTGTGACGACTGCGGAATGCTTGCATCGGACACCCCCCGAGGTATGTCAGTTCAAACGATGATATCAATATTTGTTAGCCACGCTGCCCTTGGTTCCCACTGTATGACAGATGCGCTTGTTTCCGCCGATGAGATACGCAGGATCATTCCAGCTGCTTCTAACCAGCTAGAATCACTTTCTGTGGCGTTTGACAAACACGGAGACGACGAGCATAAGCACCATTGATGTACTACAGCTTGGTTCGGTGAGGTGCCGAACCTCTGAACAAAGTAGTCCATATCAGGAAATCCCTTATGTCGGCCAAACAAAGGATGGTCCCGCGAGTCAGCGGAGACGAACAGTGTGCAGTTTCGAGGTAATGCAACATGTGGCGTCGGTTTTATAACATGTCTCGGCCACAGCAATTCCGTTACGCCCCGACGTATGACAGGAAGATATAGGCGTTCGCGTATGTATGACAATGAGTACTAGTAGAACTTCACACAATGTACATACAGTTTCGCATGATATGTGGCTTGGCAATCATCGAATTTGTATTTTCTGCTCAAGTTCGTATTACGTTGACCGGAACTAATATACAAAAATGGACCAGATGATGGTTATACGACTTAATAGTACAAGGATAAGGCAATGGAAGGTTCACGAAGTATGCGCACCGTGCTCGGGCAACAAATATGCCGGTACGAGAATGAAAGACGATTGCCAACATGGTCCGGGATGCCGGGCGGAGAGGTACGGCCGGTTCCTCCCCGAGGTTGTACACAAAGCTGCCCGAGTACTGGACATCGTCCTATCAGTATATGTATGGTTAACCTCCATGCCAGCGGGGTTCTTTCCTACTGATAGAAAGCGATCAATGGCGTCAGTCAGCAGGTGCGGAAGGCAGTCAATAGAGAAGAGTCATGGGGAATTGATCGACCGAACAACGCCGACAGCATTTACTCACCGATGATCGCTCGCATCCGTGATTCCATCAACATCAACCACCGTTGGTGGCCGATAAATTCCTCCTAGAGAAGGGAGGTATCCATCATCGTGCGATGGTGCACATGGAGCCTCCACAAAATGGACGGGCTGACCATCGTCCGGGTATTCATGTTTAACGACTGGAGAATGCACGAAATATCTGACATGCGGGCTTTCTGTCCCTTCAAAACGAGGCAGATGCAAATCGGGAAGTCTTGGTGAAGGTTCAGACATACCCTGATCCCACTGTGGGATGCATGAATATTCTACAGAGGACGCAGATTCACAATACGTGTAATTGGGATGGGTCCTCGGATAGCGATGAGTCGTCCGATCTGTCGACGTGGGCCAATAATTCCGGTTTGCGAAGTCGCCCGGGTCGGCATTAGCATAACTAGGACGCTGAGCGGTGACCGAGGGTACAGGCAGTGGCCATGACGACAGCGGTCCACTGTGATGCGTCTGAGTCTGCAGATGACGCAGCTCATGGCCGTAGGATGCCGGCGTCTCATCGCGAGGGTGATTCGAGTGAACATCGTACGAGGGAACAGGGTGTACAGGGTGCTGCGGACGTGAAGATGGATAATAGTGATGAGGCCGCGCCTCCGCCGCAGCCTCAGGATGTTGTTGGCTGTAGGCAGCTCCCGATGACGGCCGCTCATCCTCACTTGGAGGATCATCTGCTTCTGATGGAGGGAGGAGAAAGGATGGTAACGCGGACTTGATGTCATCACTGTTATGTTCGTTCCGAATGAGTATGTTTCCTTTGTTCATACAAGAAGCGCTCACCAAACTTCCCGCGCCAGCTCCCACCTCGGTCTCATGCTATTCATGATATCTAGAAGTTGCAAGAGGTCCCCCGTCTGTGCTTGCACGGCAGGCGAGAGGGCGCGGTCACGAGTCCGACGTCGGCGATCCTCCCTCCCGGACTCCTTCGCTATCTGCATCCACATATTGACTAGCAGCACTCCTGCATACACAAATGCGTAATGAACGACGACTGTATGCCGTGGAAGACCTCTTCCGAGCAGCACCACAAGGATATGGCTCCCCGCTTTGGCAGCATTCGTGCAGATGGACAGCGCGGCGAGTGACTCGTCGTGCTTTTCAGACGATGCAGCGGAATGCTCTTGCGAATCACCACCAATTGCCATAGAGTGCGGGACAGGCATAAACGGCCTGTAGACGGCAATCTGCAAGAGATAGTAGGACATATGGAGGATGGCAGATTGCGAGGCGAAGACGTCAATCTCCATCCGCGGCGTCCATTTCACTGACAAACCATGATGAGCGGCAATGCTTGACCATAAGTGAACGAACGCATACAGTGTTCTGGGATGCTGTCGATCCATTCGAGCATTGCCTCATTCAACCTGCCAACAGTATCTTCTTTCCAGCGTGGTCCAACCAGACCAAGCGGCTGCTTGGATCTGCCTATCGCGTACTGTGATTGGTTGATCAGCGCATGATGGACACAATGCGCGCGCAGCAGACTACTGACGAGAGTTCTGAGAGCAAAGGCAGTGATGCGGCTCAGCTTGACCCAGAACACGAATGCGGTAACCAGAGCGGGCTTTCCTTCAGGCTGCTGAAATGCTAGGTTGGGGTCGTCATTCTCCCAATATTCATCATCGACTTCCAGAGGAAGGTCGAGGTCAAAGCTGGGTGTTCGTCAGCCAAGTCAACAGCGAGAATGAGTTGCCCCAACATACTCTTCCTCTCTGCAGCAGCATGACCGTCCTACAAGCATGCTGCCTAGTCGATCCATTGCGATGAGGTGCCACACAGCCCGTTTCCAGAGCTCTTCTTCTACGGTAGGCTTCCGCCCGTATACCTTCTTGCGGTGTGCCCCAACATCCTGAGCCTTACGAATGCCGATGCTTATGAGGGTCCATGATTCTGAATGTGCGACCGTCCCTCGGAAGTACATAGCCATCAGCTGCAAGTGGTAGCGATACAGACAAATGGAGATTGTCAGAACTGCTAGAATTGTCCAGGTTCTGACGCACGTACCACTAACGTCTGCACCTCAAAGAGGTTTGTTGGGAGGAATAGACTGCGGCGATGCCTGTGTACGTCTATTGGACACCACGTGAGTATGCACTCTGTCCCTCGTGTTGCTTTACTCACCCAAGGCTGCATTTACATACTTCCAGCCAGCCAACGCCCACGGACCGTCACCTGAACTATCGCTGATATTGTTTACCATCTGCTCGTCGGGGAGCACCCGAGCATCGTCACTCCAACGACTGGCCACAGCGAACATCGCCATGCACACGCACGCGAACCATACATCGTTTTGGTACAACCCTTGATTCCAGTGCTTATCGAAGTTGGGGCGATGGAGCAGGGGGAAGAGGCTATTGTTGCGAGCAAAGTAGAGCTCGACCAAGCTGTTCGCAAGATCCATCGGCGGCCAGTGCGACATTAAAAAAGCAGGCGTCGTCGATCGATCAACGCCCTCGAATGAGATCTCCCACTGAAACCCGTTGTTAATACTGCAGCACGTGTCTAGCACTGTTGGTTGGTGGAGAGAACACGTACGGGTAATGATTGCCAAAAGTGCGGCCTTCTTGGTGCGAACGTTTGGCAACACTCTCCACCAGAATTCACCACTGGTGCGCTTGGCTGGGCGGTCGCTCCAACCTCGTCCATGTGTCGCTGTTTGAGCTCTCTGGTAGCATGTATCAGCTTGAAGGTGCTGCTTTTTCCGTGATACCGCCATTGTCCATCCTGCGGTTCTTTGGAAGTAACATGGGCAGGCCGCAAACCGCGCAAAGTCAGTTGAGTTAATCCTTGCACTAAGCTCAACTCTACTGATGAATCATCATGATCAGAGGCAGAGAGAGGAGCCTCTGATGACGATTTGTCGCTGTGATGCATGCCTGGCGATGGTCTCGCCTGCTTGCTACGTCGATTTCTTTTAGGCTTTGCTAAGGAGGCGCTTGACTCCTCAAGCTTAGCAGATGCAAAGCCACAACATCCATACGTATATCCTGGAAGAGGGATTGCCGTCGCGAGCGGCAGTAAGGACTGGAAGCGAGACGTGGACGCCGAGAATGCGGGACGCTCGGAGGATGTTGGGAGGTGATGTCCGGCATACTGAGTGTCTGGAGCATCGCTCTTCCAAGAATCGCGAACGACGGGAGGCCCAAGCTCAGCGGAGAAGTCCGCTTCAGGCCGTAGCTGTGGGAACATCGTCAATATAGGCACACTTCATATAGCAGATGATATGCTGAGCTTCCATATATGTGAGAGGTTTATGTCTCCGCAGCATACGATGCATTAGAGAAGATTCCTGGATAACTATGTATCACGGCGACCACGGCAATACCATTTCATGGGTTATATCCGCCGCGAAGCTGACAACGATGGGGAAGTCCATACCAAACCAGCACCAAAATGATACTCACTCTTCTCAGCAGCACCTCCATCTTTTCTACGCGATCCTCCAACGCCGTGATGTATCTGAAGCGGTGTCATGCATCGACGAACAAAGAGATTCAGATAAGGAACACACGCTTTGGGGGGGCCTCGAGGCTTGGAACTCTCACTGACCCATCGTCAGGGGGGTTCGAACAAGCTTACTTCATGGTAAAGATGACGTACATATACGTGCAGCTGCGTCCGGTCTGCACGCAATTAGTACAGACATTGTCCTTCATCTTGGGCCCATCACATTTAGTCTTTCTTCTCCTGCAAAAATCGCAAGCGCGTTCAATCTTGCGCTTCTTCAGCTTTCTCTCGTCTGAAGACGTGTCCCCAGAATACTGCACCAGCGACGAATTCGAGGCCATCATGGCAGGCTGGTGCGAATCGAGCGAGGCATGCTCCTCGAGGTCGATGATGGTTGATGCCTTGTCGTAGGTGTCCGTTCGCTGCATGAGATGGAGCAAAACGGCTAGTCAGACCGTTCTCAGAGTCTATGACAACGCTGAAGAAACCAGTCGAGACCCAGCTGGACGAGGGGGCCAACGACGAGCACGCCCTCTATGTTTCATGCTTATTTGCGACTTCGAGCGTGTTTACACACGCCGATCGGTCAGGCTACTGCTTCACTCACCGAATCCGTCAGTTGCCGGAACACCACTCTGTGCAGTCGGGTTAGGAAAATGAATAAACAATTCAAGCTCAGTCGAGTTTTTCGGTCATTCTATTGGACAAACATGTGCGCGGCATAACCGGCAGCTGCGGTACAGTTCAGCGGAGTTGTATCTTCATTAAATGATTGGCCAACGTTGTAAAAAGCGGAGTTGAATTTGGCTCCGCGGGCGGACCGCGAGGAAGACCGACGTTGTTCCGCTGGCATCTGGTGAGATCAACAAAGCCAAGCCCGATCCGCACGTGGACGATGACTATGAGGCGCACGCGGATTTAGCCGAGGCCCCGATCTCCTCTGACCAAGCTCAGTTGTATACTTGTTCTTGCCATCGTAAGTTTGCGTAGGAACGTGCCTGCACTTTCGCTGAGCTCAATAACCTCAATTCTCTCAGGTTCATACACCGAATCCCAAGAGCTTCATCAATTCATTATGCGGAATGCTCTGTCATTGTCACGAATGGTGCCGAGCAGGCAGAACCTACCGGCCATTGCATTCCAAGCTCGGTTCTATTCCTCTCGTGATCCTCTGAATCGACCGTCACCGCCACCGCTGCCTCGGGAAGCCCAACGCGAATTTGAGGAACTCGTCAGGGCGGCGGAGACGCCTCTGGCTCAACCGTCAAGAGCGAACCCCGCCGAGATGCGCGAGGCGCAGCTTGCGCTCCATCCTGATGCGCCCAAGCCAATTGAGCCGGAATTCGAAGGCGAAACAAATCCTGTTACTGGAGAGCATGGTGGTCCGAAGAGAGAGCCTGTGGGAAGGTGGGGAGAGGATGAGGGCGATTGGAGTTTCAAGGGCAGAGTCACCGACTTCTAGGTCGGTCCCACTGCCTTGATCATGATTCCTTTGTGAATTTCAATCATGTGTAGGATGAATTTGTATGCTATTCTGCCATATGCACTTTGCATTTGGACTATGTCATGACTCCGTACCATTGCGCGATAGATGTCGCATCTATCGAGCACACTGGTTGCCCAGGATTCGCTCTACACATTGCAAGCTGCCATCTGTGTCAGTATATAGCTAACCCATATGCAAAACATGGATCAGCAAAACCCACGCATTCATCAGCTACATTCCCGACTCGCATGACTCCTTCGTCCTCTCATGCCTACTTGCCAACGATTCACATATCATACTAGCTTTGTGCGCGCTACAGTCGGTTACCTTGGAAGCCGGACTACGTAAAGTGTGGAATACAAATCTCCCTCACACATCTGGCTGGGCTCCGTATTTCATCTGTCTCCGCGGCTGTTGCCTATCTCACACTGTCCATGCGGTGAAGACTCCTTTGCACAGTACATTGATCGCCTCGCAAGCTCATTGGATGCCTTTCGCTTCCCTGCATCGGTTGAGACTGTTTGTCCTACCAGCGCTCTGGCAGCAAAAGGCGCCGTCCATACATGTTCGTTCAGCGCGATCCTCACAGCTCATCTCGAAAATTCTGGAGCCTTGTCACGATCCACCGTCCATCAGAACTTCGTTGCCTTGTAGAGTTCTCCATCGCTTTGTCCCGCGGGCGCAAGGCCATTGCCGCAGTGTGGCGTCACTTGCTGAATTACAAAATCAGACGGGAAGGCAGAAGCTCACCGGTGGCAAAACGTACGTACACCTATAATTACTTGACTGGGGATCAGGGAGTGCTCCACTTAATTCAGTCTTTTATTAGAGGAGAGGCTCTGGACACGGACGAGGTCCGTCAAGGAAACGGTAACTTTCTTGTGGACGGTCCCTGACTTTCCGAATGGGATAGAGAAGCAATGTCTGGGCGGCAGAGCGTTATGCAGGACCTGGGTCACCATAATTGTTGTGTCCACATAAAATTATCGAGATGCACTTTCCACGACCTACGCGCCCCACGGCTGATGCACCGCACCAGACCCGCGGCCGCCGTACAACTGCCCGCCTCCTTAGGTTTGAACGCCACTGTCCCTCCTCCTGGGACCGCCAGACGGGCATCAAACTGTCATTTGTCATCATTGCCGACTTCTCCCGCTCTGCATTGCAATCTCGCTTAAGGCCCGTCCGCTATTTGCCGGGAGGGTCTCTGTCTGGTTCCATAGAGCCCTGAAATTCGAGCAGTCTGAGATCCGAGGTAGGGTGGTCGCCTCAAAGCGCCTGTGGTATTTGTCAAGGTGGCGACGGCCGTGTTGACGCCTACTCGTTCCATTACGTTTGACAGGGACATCCGAGGGTGGATTCGTGGTGAGCACGGCACCCGCCGTGTACTGGCGCGAGATGACCTCCTCGGCAGCATTTAACGGCTGAAAGCGATCTTCTACAAGGGCACACGCGATTTGCAAAACGGCAGCTGTTCCTCGGGCAAGTGCGATTCCATTTCATTCAGTGAGTGGATTGCCGTCATGCGCTCCAGCAGGAATAATGAAAGAGATGTCAGATTTAGATGGTCACGCTCCGATTGCTTGATTTCCGATAGTGCAATATCAGAGCTGATAACGACGCGTGTGAAGAACGAAATGCATTCGTCCATCGGCTCAGCCCCACTCATACATAATACAGCGACTTGCTACAACAGCATTGGACCGATGGATGTTAAGATTGGAGGATGTTCAATGCATATGGCCGATCGGGATGGCCGATCGATCATGGTCGATCTCCTGCTGCCAAGGGTGTTGACAGAAGATGGCACAGCTTTTGTCATTTGCTTGGTGTTGGTAACGTGTAAGCATCAATAATGCATCACCTTCGAAACAACGCTCTGCGGATCGATAGCGAAGGAGATGTTTTGAATACGTGATCCGCTGGTATGCTCTTGACAGGACACTGAAATAAGACCATGCCACTTAGACTGTCCCGCTTACCGACATAGATATGATATAGACGCTCCATTTCACCGAATATAGTCGCTTGCAGTAGTGCGCCGGATCATCGTCCGACAAAGGGGACGTGCTGGCACGCGAACGCCAGATTATTTCTTCCTACGATATTAGTAGTGCGTTGGCTAGTACTCTGTCCAAGGCTGAACGCCTGCAGCGTGATCATTTTCATCGCTAATCTGGGATCCTACAAGTGCCAGTAGTTAGCTCTACCAAGCCGCTCGCGTCCATTCGTTCACGCAGAGGCGCAGCGACCACAATCGCCTCCAAATCCAGTTCACTCGCACTGTTATGGCGAATCCTGGTGGTGCAGAGAAACAAAGCAAAACGATGTTGATCGCCTACGAGGAGATGAAGTGGAACCGTGTAAGTTTGAAACGATGTTATCTACGTAGCCATCGCTATTAGTTAAACATTTCGAGCCGGAATCTTCAGGTAGCGGATACTATGCAGCAGTTTCACGATCATTTCAAGCATGAATGTGCGTGCAGTTCATGGCGTTTCGCGTTTTCATTTGCCGAACGTCTAGGATGATGGTCTTCTTGGCTGAAAGTCCAAAATGTCTACAAGGTCGCTCGCATAGCTGCTAGCTGACCGAACCTCATAAAAATGACCATGCCATGATAGTTAGCAGATGGTTCCTTCATGAAGGCGGGCATGTCTCTGCAAATGTATCTTAGGATGGCTAGTCAACTGGCACAACGTTAGCAAGGCTCATCACATGTACTGAGATTGTTGTTACCTCTGACTCACAAGAAAATGCACTTACATTATAGATCTAACACTGCACCACACGATCGAAGAGAAGCAAATCTTCCCGTTCCTGTCAAAGCGCATGCATATGTTTCGCGAAGATGACGTCCATATCAAGTCACACGAGGCCATCTATGACGGTGCGCGGCTGATGCGAGCTATTGATCTAAAAGATGAGCTCATGTGATGCTCGGCAGGACTGGAAAATTTGAACGTGCTCATCAGGAAGTGGACTTTGTCTCCATCTACCTATAGCCCCGTGGAAATGAAGAAATGTCTCGCTAGCTGGAAAGAGGTGTTATTTACTCATCTAGACCACGAGGTGAGGTTCACCTCACTAAGCATCGTTTCGTTCTCCTGACTCTGATTCATTTCGTTTCATCGAGGTCGAGGATCTCTTTGGGGAGAACATGAAGAGATGCTGGAAGTTGGAAGAGCTGGACCTTATACCAATGTAAGAGTAAGAGACCCCTTCAAGTGGTCTCTAATCTGTCATGCATGTCACCATATTCTCACTCGGTAATGAGGTGATGATACATGATGATGGTCAGCGACTCAGTTCTCATAATCGATCGGCTTGTGATTATAGTTGTGGTCCCGCGGGGGTAATTCGATCTTTCCATAAACGTGATACATTTTTCTACGCGTTGAGAAGCGCCCGGTATTTGGGCTCTCAGGCAGTCTCCGTGTAAGCTCGTTGTCATCTTGCTCTTGCAGAGCTCACTGGCAGCAACAGGTCATGTCTCACAGCAAACGAAAACGCTCTCAGTTGTCCGACACTGATGAATCTTTGGATGGCTTCGCTTCTGATGACCAGCAGTCCGAGAACGAGATTGACATTTCTGCCGCATTGGCTGGGCGCGCTGCACCTAAGGTGCAGGCCGACGCAGACCACGACGACGATGAACAGCTACAGAAATTCATAAACGAGGCAACTACGAAGCGTGATGTCAAGTGGGGAACCGATCTGTTGAAGAAAACCAAAGGCAAGGCCAAGATGACAAAAGGCGAGGTGGGAGGGGGTAGTTTCCAGAGCATGGGTGCGTGCATATATGCGGCTGTACTGAGTCTGTACACTCAAAACGAACTAGGTCTGTATCCCTGGCTGCTGCGCTCGCTGACCTTGCAAGGATTCCGCATTCCGACACCGATACAGAGACTCTCAGTCCCCGCGCTCATCGCCAACCCTCCACGAGATCTCGTAGGCATGGCGCGTACTGGCTCAGGAAAGTCTCTGGCATACATGGTGCCCTTAATCCAGAGGTTAAGCGGCAGGCACTCGCCGACTTTCGGGGCCCGGGCGTTGATCTTGCTTCCCTCACGCGAGCTGGCCCTGCAAGTCCTGAAGGTGGGCAAGGAGCTTGCGCGAGGATGGCATGCAGGCGAAGGCGACCATGCAGGGGATGGAATGGACGCTGATGATGGGAAGAAGGGACAAGGCCTCCGGTGGAGTCTCATTGTTGGTGGTGAGGGCTTGGACGAGCAATTTGAGATGATCACGCAGAACCCGGACGTGTATGTACTTCACCATCCTCCCACTATCTTATTGACTGATGCCTCAAAGTATCATTGCCACCCCAGGCCGGCTGCTGCATCTCATTGTCGAGATGAACATGGACTTGAAGTCCATTCAGTATGTCGTGTTTGACGAAGCAGACCGACTCTTCGAAATGGGCTTCGAGACCGCTTTGACGGAAATTCTGCATCGCCTGCCTGCGACACGGCAGACGCTCCTCTTCTCTGCCACGCTTCCAAAAAGTCTCGTCGAATTCGCCAAGGCAGGCTTGCAGAATCCGAAGCTCGTTCGTTTGGACGCAGAGTCGAAGATCAGCCCGGACCTTAAAATGGCATTCTTCTCAGTGAAGCAGGCTGAGAAGGATGCATGTCTTCTAGTCCTTCTGCGGGATGTTATCGGCGTCCCGCTTGGTGCGTCCAAAGCGAGCGACGAAGATCACGACGAGGCACTAGACAAGAAAGGCAAAGGCAAGGCGAAGGCGAGGCACCGTGAGCATGTCACGGCACCCCACCAGACTTTGGTATTCGCCGCCACGAAGCATCACGTCGAGTATCTTACGAATATGCTTATCAGCGCTGGCTATGCTGTCTCCCACATATATGGATCATTGGACCAGGCAGCGCGTACGCAACATATGGAACGCTTCCGCCGTGGCCATACTAGTATTCTCGTTGTTACGGACGTCGCCGCCCGTGGTATCGACATACCCGTCCTCGAGAACGTCGTGAATTACGACTTCCCTCAGGGCGCGCGGGTCTTCATACATCGTGTGGGCCGTACTGCTCGCGCCGGTCGACCGGGCTGGGCATGGTCGTTCGTCACGAACCCTGAGCTGCCGTATCTGCTCGATCTGCAACTTTTTCTCGGACGCCCAATCAAGGGCGACGTCTCGGAAGGTAGTGACCGAGTCTACACAGAATCGCTCGTCCTAGGCCAGTTCGATCGCGACAATGTGGACGACGAGGTGGAGTACATTAAGAAGCTGGACGAGGAGAACCACAACTTGAGCGCCATGCGCGATGTCATGCGCAAGGGCCACGGCATGTACGAACGGAGTAAGGGCAAGGCCAGCCAAGCGAGCTACAAGCGCGCCAAGGAGATGATGAAGGAGGGCAAGTGGGGACTTGTCGGCTCCGACTCGGGTGTACACCCGGTCTTCTTCCGCAACCAGGACGGCAGTAACGCCGCTGGCAAGCTCGCTGAGGAAACAAAACGCAAGGCACTGTTGAAGGCGGTTAGCTCCTTCCGACCAGCCGAGACCGTCCTGGAGATTGGCGCAAGGGGCAACACAGAGACCGCGACTCTGATGAAGCAGAGGCGGAAAGCGTTGAATAAGGCCGCTCAGAGAGCTTCTCTGGCGTCTACATCTACCGCGGCGGTGGCTTCAGAAAATCATGCGGAGGATGATGCTGATTCTGACGTGGATGCTGAGGGTATCGAGATGGCTGATGAGGAGGAGATTGCGGTATGTTTCATGATTTATCGATTTATCTGATTATTCAAGGAGCGATACAGGCCGTCTTCGATTCTTATCACGGAGATAAAAGAGATTCAAATGATAGCAGGAAGAGCTATCGGGACAGCGAATTCTATATGTCTCACTACCAAAAGGACGCCAACACGGAGAAGGGGTAAGTCCATGGGCGCACCGTGTAGTCTGAAATCGCTGAATTGTCTCTAGCTATTCGCTTCGAGATGGAGCGACCTTCGCTGAACAAGCCCAGAACCTTGCATTCGACTTGGCGGGCGACGAGGGCGTGCGAGAACGCAAGCGTCGCGAACTCAATTGGGATAAGAAGAAAAAGAAGTTCGTCAAAGGTACAGGCGAAGGAGCCGACAATGTCAAGCTTGTACGGACTGAGTCCGGCGTGAAGCTGCCTGCCACATACCGCAGCGGCCGATTCGACGAGTGGAAGGCCAAGACGCGCACCAGCCTGCCAAAGGTCGGCGAAGCAGAAGCTGAGGGATCATTCAGACGTGGCGCATCCACTATCGGAGGAAGAAAGTTCAAGCACAACCAGGTCGCTACTCCGAAGCCTCTAGACAAGCTGAGCAAGGACTATGAGCGGAAGACCAGGCAGAAGAAAAAGAGGCTGGAGCACGAGGGCGGTGAAGACGTCTCGAGCCCATCGTCGAAACCATCTTCCGGGAAGAAGGGCAGGGCGGTTGGTCGCCGACCTGGAGGGAAATCAGTTCGTACAGTCAGGAACGAGCTGAAAACTGTCGATCAGATACGCAAGGATCGCAAACTCATGGAAAAAAGACGGACTAAGAACGCTCGTCCTAATCACAAGAAAGGCAGACGATGAGCGTAGATTGGGCCTAAATCTGGTATTGTATATACATACATATACTCGAGGAGAATTCATGCTGTCGGGAAGATCACGCTGCACTGGAGTACTCCCACTTCGCGCCGTCTCCCGGAACCACCTTCGTATCTCGCCTGCCCTCAAGCAAATCGACGCCGACGCTTCTAAGTGCGTTGATGCACCACTCCGGATATCCAGCGTCCCCGAAGTAGTTAGCGAAGAATGTCTTCAAATAGGCAGGGAAAGTCCCATTAATGATAGCGTCTCGGGCGCCACCCATTACCCGCGCTTGGAAGACGATGTTATGTTGCGTGAGCGCTGTTCAGAGTAGTGTCAGCCTTGTGAGTAGGGTAACGGCCAGCGCGATGCTCACCGTGAGCACCGGCAGTCTCGATCGTTGCTAAATGGTGTAGCATCGCCCGCGACATCCCATCTGCACAGGTGGGGCATGGACATGACTCATCGATCGGGCGTAGGTCAGCTGCATGCTTCTTAAGCCCTGCACAGCTGTGTTAACAGAGAATGACTACGGACTGAAACAGAACCTCACGGAGGTTCAGAGGCCCGTTCAAAGTCAGCGCCACGCCGAAGCGGGCTGTGCGAGTGGGAAAGACGCAGTCAGCCTGACCGGCAACGTTTGAGTCACAGACGTAGAAATGAAAAGGCTCACGTACCATATCGATCCCGAGCGCAACGCAGACGAGCAAGTCTGGGGAGCACTATGAGACCCCACTCTTATAAAGACGATGAGAAACTGACCTTCGGCAAAGCCAATGCCCATGGAATACCGAGGTCCTGCAGATTATCATCAATATATGGGACCACGAAGACCAAAAAGCATCACGAACGGTCTTCTGGAAGTTTGTCTGCACATTGCTTGATACTATGGGCGAGTCAGCAAAACTGCAAACGATATCTCGGCTACTAACATTCTCCAGAAAGTGTCTGATAACCGAATGAGTCAAGCTATTATCACAATTTGCGCCAGATTATGACAAACCTTTCGCTTCTCCTCCACTGAGGCCCCCAATCGCGTATCCTGCGACGCGATCCTTCCTCTTGATCATCTCATCCAGACAATGATCTCGGAGTACGGGATCAATCCCTCCTTGGACGATCGCGAACAGGTTCTGCATGTCCTTTCTGCCAGATTTTTCATGGAACTCTATGCATCGATCTAGCCACCGAATCGTCCTCCACATCGCTTCACTCACACGAGGGCCCTCTGTGAGCGTATGGACTGTTCGACTTATGGTGACATGAGCCTGCCTGAGCTTGAGAATCTGATGTCTTACCTACATCATCCAGCTGCATCATGATATCTGATCCAATAGCGTGCTGTATTGAGATACTCTCTTCAGGCTAGCGAATGGAAGTGGTGTTAGCGTGGCCTAAATCAGTGCGGGCATTGGTGGTCTGACCGTAAGCATCGTGGGTTCGCCAGTGAATGGACTTTCAAACAGTGCACCTTCCTCGGTGATCTTCGTAAATTTATTGAGCGATACTAGTTGAAATCCGCCACTGTCCTGAGGTGCAATGAGAATGAATGAATAACAATGGTAGTAGATACGACTAACGGTCAACAGGTTATGTCTCCATCCCTGAAACTTGTGAGCACCTCCCACTTCCTTCAGGACCTTTGTCCCTGGCCGCAGATTGAGATGATATGTGTTGTTGAGTATCAACGAAATGCCGAGTGCTTCAACTTGCTGAGCAGTGAGACCTTTAATAGCTGCCTGGGTGGCCACAGGCATGAAGGTAGGAAGTACTGTCACCCCATCTACTCCGGTCAATTAGCAAGCTGCATACGCACGATTAGAGTACACTCACGAGCCAATTTCATTCGGGATACACGTGCACGCGTTGTACTGCATTTCGCCAAAACCTCGAATTCCATCGGACTAGACCGAACGGGATGTGCCACAATTGCTTATTCACCTGGAAGAGATTTGCAGCGTTCTAAGAGGACAGTGCGAAGTATGGGGAAAGCGGGTAGATGAGCAGGAGAAAGGAATGGAATGGATGTGAGTGGTGAGAGGCTATTGCCCCCCGATCCCGATCTGAGCAACCAGATTTTAAATGATCGCACGTACTTTCTTACTCGGCGATCGTCAGGCGCATATAGTGGCCTCGCTGAACTTCGGTAGCATGCAACACTGTCGACATGTTCTTCGTCGCACGTCTCGACAATTGAATTTTCATGGTATACGCCAGCTTAGGACCGCCCACACTCAGAGCGACTTGCTGGACGAGCTGCGTTCCCGGGGACTTGTGTCGGACATCACGAGGTATGACGGGGTCGTCCATACGCCTTCTTGTGATGCTCGATGCTCAATCTTGTCTAGGCCAGAGCAGCTCGCCTCTGAGCTCAAACGAGAACGTCAGACGGTTTATGCAGGAGTCGACCCCACCGCCAAATCGCTGCATGTCGGACACCTCCTCCCGTTCCTTTGTTTGTTCCACTTCCAACTTCGCGGACATCAAATCATCCCATTGGTATGGTCTCTGCTCTCGTACATTCCTGCTCACGCAGACAATTGTCAGATAGGAGGGGCAACAGGGCTCATTGGAGACCCTTCGGGGCGGTCTACCGAGCGACCGCTCTCCAGACAGCCTGTGGTCGAGGAGAATGTTGTGTCGCTGACCGCGGCCATACAACGATTTTACTCAAAGGCCTTGGACTACGCAGAAGAAAGGCTGCAGTTCTCGTCAAGCACGGTCTTGCCACCAGACGTTCGGAACAACATAGAGTGGCTGCGGGAGCAGAACTTGCTCGAGTTCCTCCGAACAGTGGGCATTCATAGCAGGGTTAACTCGATGCTGGCGAGGGAGAGGTACGAGCTCATGAACAAAAATCGATGGGCTCTAACGTGTCGACGACAGCGTCAAGGCGCGTCTCGCGTCTCAACAGGGCATTTCCTTCGCGGAATTCACATACCAACTATTGCAATCGTATGACTTCCTAACGCTACATCAGAGAGCGGGATGCAATATCCAAATCGGCGGTTCGGACCAGTGGGGTAACATTATTGCCGGAATCGACTTGATCAATCGGGTGAATGCCATCGGCGGCACCGAAAGCACTGTTGAGAAAGGTTTCGGTCTTGTGACTCCCCTTTTGACCACAGCTACTGGAGAGAAGTTTGGCAAGAGCGCAGGAAACGCAGTGTCGCTTGATGAACGAGTGACAAACGTGTTCGAATTCTACCAGGTTTGTAGACTGCCGATGCACACGCACTCTGATGCTAATTAGAGAGTGCAGTTCTTCCTCAGGACTCTTGATGCAGATGTTAGTCAGTACTTGAAAATGTTCACTTTGTTGCCGATACCAAGAATCGATGAAGCGTTAGAGGCACACACGGTAGCTGCCAACGTTAGGATGTTTTTGATTCATACTGAACCAGAGTATTAAAGAGGAGCCCGGAGAAGCGGATCGCACAGCGTCTCTTAGCTCAAGAAGTCACACAACTTGTCCACGGAAGTAAGTATTTCAACATTATTCTGTACCACGATGTCTGTTTGCTCAATATTATGCAGAGGACGGGCTGCGTAGAGCTGAGATTGCGACCAGGGTGTTGTTCGACAACGATTATACCACCTTGAAGGCCGATGAACTCGTCGACTCATTACGAGGCTTGCCTCTGCTTCATTTCTTTGCGGAATCAGACATGTACGGCACGCCCATCACCAAGCTGGCTGTCCGAATTGAGCTCGCCTCCTCCAACAGTAAGTCTTTCATGCCAATGGATCACATGTAACTCGCATTCACCGTGCTCACCAGGCGCAGCTCGTCAACTAGTCGCTGCGAAGGGATTGCATGTCAACAACCAACTAGTCACTGACGCGCAGCAGAAACTCGGGTCTGCCGATCTGATTGACGGACGAATCGCAATCATCCGCGCGGGTAAACACAAGCAAGCAGTAGTAGTGCTGCAGTGATCTTTCGTCCAAAAATAGCTATAGTACCCTTATCAGCTCTGCTGTGGGTCCGTATTTTACTCTAGTGCCCTATTGAGAGCAACCTCAGTCGACGCGTATTGCGCTGTACAATTTTCTCACAGCCCAATATGTCGCAAGGAAACCAATGGTTCCTTTATGAATAGTTCATCAGGCTGTGTCTGCCACGAAACGATGCTGTACACACCTGTAACAAGGAAATCCAGCAGCGCAAGGAGAAGGAGGTATCCCATGTACAGCACAACGCTTGAGAACGAATCCAGCGACAAGCGTGAGACCCAATAGAAGATGCCATAGGCCAGTAGCCAGAAAGCGCTCCCGCCTCCGGTGAGGAAGGCCCTCCAGTGCCACCTGCAGCTCGTTGAGTTGATGCATTTGATGCGATATGAATCGGCTCTCTTACCTGTATTCCTCGGCGCAGAGGAGGAAGTATGTGAATAGAATCGTAACCGTGGCGGTTGTGAGCGATACGACACCAGCCGTTAAGGCCAGGAAGCCGAAGGCGTAGTAAGCCCTGGATGCGAACAGACTCGACAGCACGAAGTAGAGCTCGACGAACGCGGCTCCTGCAAAGCGAGCATCACTCGTCAGTATTGTACCATTCGTGAGTGTACAATAGACCCACCAAAGGGTAAGATGCCTGCCAGCAGTGTTGAAGCCTAGAAATGAAAGGTCAGACGAGTAGCAAAATTGCATATGATATGATTACCCAAGGCTGCAGATATCGTGGTACTGGAGGAATCTGCCTTGGGATCGGGTTAACCCTCACAGGGTTAGGCACGCCCTGAACGGCTCGTGAGATTGTGCAGAGGTTGGGCAATGTGCAATCACCTACTCCGCGTTTCGATCCGATGTAAGATCCGATCAGTGACAACGGTGCTGATATTCCGAACCAGAGAACAACGATTAGTAGCATCGTGCCGAATGGCACAGCGCCTGAGGAACCAGCTGCGACCAGAAATAGGTCGAGCAAGAACACAATTGCGAATACAAATCTGCGAAATATACGTCAACATAGTCACGGACGTACCAAACAATGTACTCACGCAGGTAATACCGTTGCAGTAACGAATGAGTTTTTTCGCTTGTCCATTCCTCCCAGCGTCGCATAGACCCTGCTTGATACATAGCCACCGATACTGGCACATGCAGTGTAAGGTACAGGTCGGACGTTGCTTGATCGTAGACTCACCCGCCGAACAAGCTCCAACAAACCATCATAACCGTCGCCAAGGAGCCCCGATTAGAAGGTGACAGAAAGCCCATCAACGCAAAGACTTATGACTGATGTCAGCAACAATAGAATTCTCTGATCCATCAATACCGATTCACCAAGTGTCACTCCAGCCATCGCACAGAGCTGAGCACCATTGCCGACTAATACCGATAGGATCAGGGGATTACGCGGCGTCCTGAACACTTCGCCGTGTACCAGCTTCCAGCCCCAGTCTTCTTGGACATCTTCCTAACAGCTAGTCATTATCTGACCCATCCGTTGCTGGCAGGAAGGCTCACGCTCAAATCAATGGCATTGTAGCGAGAAATCTGCGGAATTGGAAATTGAGAGAAAATATCATGACATGCACGTCTTACTTACGTCTCGCGACACTGTTCGATAGAGGATCATGGCCACCATGAGACATAGGAATACGACTATAACAAGCGAGTTGATGAGGCTGAACCAGTGTATGCGCTATTGAAAGAATCAGTAAGCGCAGCAGATCGGCGCTAAATGGCGTACAGGGTCAAAGATATGAAGGTAGTTGTCCCATCGAGTCGCCCACGGCGTGTCCGATTCCTGCAGTATGATGGTCAAAAAAGCAAGAAGTGACCGGAGACGACTATTACATACATTCCACATCACACGGTACGTATACCGTACAATATTTGTCCTGTCTTCCTGCAAGATGAGGGGACCATCCGACGGGGAGCAACCCGCTGTAACATCCTGGGAACCACCATGACTAGCATCTTCCTTTAGTAGCCAGTAAATGAAAAATGTATTATTTGTAATTTCACCTGGTAGGCCAGACGAGCACACCGACAATTCGGTGCACTCCTGGACTATATGTGTGGTATCTGTCATAATCATGGGGACCTTCAATTTATCTGACAATTGACTGTTCACTGCACATTACCTCAGCACAATCTCGTAGTGATTGTTCAAAGCCGGCGTCTCGGCCAATTCGTCTTCATCATTGCCAAGATTGAAACCCATATCGAAGAACAGGTCGCCAGTTTTTGTGTCCATTTTCATCTCCGCTGCAGGAAGACCGTCGACAAGCCAATTTAACGCATAGTCTTCTCGGATACGGTCATTGATGAACTTGGCGTCTTCCGCAGGGACTTCCGTTTGGCACAAGACTTTGCACGTGCCGTTGTCTTCAAGCATTCTGATCTACAGCACGTTAGGCAACGGTCGCACGCATCTGTTTGGACATTCACATCATAGGGTGAATTGAATATTCGATCACCGAACAAGATTGACCCCAATGACTCAGGTTCCTTGTGCGGGCCACCCTCCGGTTCGCAGAAATGAAACCTGGAATCATAATGGTCATCTTGCTCCAGGTAGGTCAGCCTTTCATGAAACGTGCCTAGGATAGAGACGACGCACAGTTAATCAGCGATTTCTGAATCCAGCCAACTGTTAGCGACGACGGCACTGGGCAGATAGCTCAATTACGCACGAGTTTCGCGTTGTCAGAGCCACCGAGCATCGGAGTCAAGGCGTTGACGTAGAGGTCAACGGCCTCGCCTTCGGTGTAGTCATGGGGCGCAGCTCCGGGTAGGTAAAATGCATGCGTGGCAGACAACAGGGAGATGACTGCACTGCCCAACAGCCATGTTCGAACTTGCGAACGCGCCATGACAGGAACGAGCAGGGGGCAATGCGCGGTGCTTGCGCGTCACCAGAACGCAAACTCGCACAAACGACGGGGAGGCGATGTGCGACCGCAGATGAATGGTTACGAGAGAGAACGGGATACAGGGCGGCGTACGTGTCAGTGCTCAGTGCTGTTCGCAGGGCGGGACGGCAGGCAAGCGCCCGCGCGGTACCGGCCACGTGGATGGTCTCAATACACATCCCAATTCGGCAACCTTACTCAGAACAGCTCAGCGGCGTAGTGACCGTCCGAACAGCTTTGTCGAGTCGACAGCAGTGGAATATCCGGTATTCCATGCCTGATACGGGCGGTTGGCATATGTTGCGTAGCAGCGACTTTTCCACCGAGGTCGGTACCATATAGATGCGACAGAACGACACACGTCCGCTCGAACGCCCATCACACACTAAAGTAAGCAGGTTGCTCGGTGCACCGCAATTCTTCATGCTTGTGTTGCATCTCTGCATCTGTAGCGGTCAGTCATTCTTCACAAATAGTTCCTTAAGGCAGCATGCCTTCTGATGCTTCCCAAGGCGCTACCGTTAGTTCGTGGCATATATAATGCGGAAATTCAGCTGGCCCGTTCCTACTCATCCTGGAAATCTCCCCAGATACGCGATGGCTGCACCACCACTTGATCTACCTGAGCTACCGGAGGACGTCCTAGTGGATGTATTCGGTCACTTGGGCACGCGGAACGATTTGCTCAATGTGATGCTTGTGCATCGAGCCTGGTATCCCATCGCTATGCAGCTCCAATATGCCGACATATCGCTGAGCTTCTATCAGAGTGATATGTTCTTCTCCATTTCGCGAGGCAGACCATTACGCTGCTTAGAGACTCTGAGCAACAACGATTTTGCTGCAAGAGCAGTACGCCACCTGACCGTGACGGGTATCAATAACGATGTTACTTGCGACCTCGTCATAGAAATCCTGGCCAAGACTCCGGGGCTGCTATCCTTGGATTTCCAGGTGGAGAAAGATGTCCTGGATAAAGGACCCGCGAAAACCTTGCAGTCTCTGGCGGCCTCATCCCAGTTTCTCCCAATGCTCTCCGCGGTCAACTACTATGACGCTCAGTCAGTGATGCTGCTGGCTCAAGGCAGACCGTTGCGTACAATCGGATTGCCCATGCCAATGGACCATACCGCTTTTACGGCTATAACGCAGACGCTGCAGCGCCCCGTGGTACCCATAACTCAATTGCGCCTCTCTATCAAACTCCGCGATTTAGACGACATTGTGGACGCTATCGAGACGATTTGTCGGGCCTTCCCGACCATCGTAGCGCTGACTCTCACATTCAAGTTATCCGAAGTCGGTTCCACATCGTGGGAGAGGGTCAAGGTGAGCTTCTCAAGCTCCTACTCACTGATTCATCTTAGATTGATATATCTGCTATAGGACGTTCTCCGCAGAACTGGCCCGTCGCTGACTACATTGCGTTCTCTCGAAGTGTTTAGCCTGGTGATTTTCCCGGAAACTGTCGACAGGAATCTCGAGTATGCCAAGCAAACGAAACGGATCTGCGAGATGATCGTCAAGTATGTTCCGCAATTACGCCGGGTAGAATTTCGATGGCTGGGGTGGACAATTGATCAGGGAGAGTGGAAACTAGTCCCTCCGGAAGAGATGCTTCGTCAGGTTGATTACTGGCTATACAAGAAGACCCGTCATAGGTGGAAGGCCTCTAGGTACCATTCCCTTCATTATCAACAGTAGCTTTGCCGACTTACTGACGTTGTTCATGTCCGCCCTCAAACAGGCTCGAAATCGTATGAAGCTTGCGGACCAGTGGGAGTCATCGCTCGCACGAAATTACGGCGGAACCTGGAGGTAGATCCACTGTGCTACACTTTGATGGCGTCGATTGAGTCCGGAAAGTAGCTTTCTTGATCGGTCACGGTCTGATGGTCACTTACATAGAACCTTGATCGTAATTCAATATATATAAATACAACTACTGTAGTATTCCTTCCTCTACACTGAATTTCTAGCGTACACGACTAGTATCGAAGACTGCGCCTTAGATTGTCTGTCACCGCCTGCCACACGCGGCGTTATGAAGCAGACGGTAAGCCTTAGGCCGAGGCACCCGTGGTCGGCAACGGCCGAGCGGACATAATAAAGCGCGACCGCTGATCCACTTTTTTTCCCTTGCATGTTCTTGCCCATTTGTCTTCCGCTGTGCGGCGGTGTCTGTTTCCTTAAGTCGCCGTGCTTTCGCCCGTAGCCAACCTTCCTCGATCTATTATCTCCCACAAGAGAATTGCCGGTGTGAGTTGTTGACATCGTGTCGGCCCCATCGCTTACCGATCACGGCATGTTAATCTCCTGGCCACCCAGGATCACCTCTGTGTTCATCCATTATTGATAAACTACGCATAAACTCGTTTCAGACATCCCGTCCTGTTCACTGCGTTGATGCTCCATAACCACCGGAAGCAGTCGGGGACAACCGTGCATCCACAGCAAGAGGCAGGACAACACGCTGCCAGTTCGAACCCCTTATTAAGTTTCAGATTCAATACAATAGGACAAGAGCCTTCTCTTTTGAAGCGCTTCAAAATGTCCGACGAAGACCTTCAGTATCCGGATTCTCCCTCTCCCCCTTCGTCGTTGAAGCCGACTTTGCCCGGAGACGCCCGTTCTTCCTTGACCGATCATCATCGTGTCGCCATGGATGAACGCACCGTCCAGCCGACTACCGTCCCCACCCATGAAGAGGATGACAGCCCAATGGAAGTCGATGTAGCCCCTGTTGCTGCTTCTCAATCGCAGAAGGCGGCTGGAAAGATGGTTGCGTCGTCAACGCACAATGTCTTCCCGGTCTCCCCTGTCTCTTCCACCTCACACAGCTTGCATGTCGCTCCCCAATTCGCATACCAGTTCCATCTAGCTTTACCTCGCCAATCCTCGCCCAATACCCCTCTTGCACCTATACGCCTTCCACCTGAAGGCGAGGCCTCCGGCTCGCAGGTTCCTCCAGAACCACATGTGGCTACTGTTGCTGCTTTGCCGTCATCGCCAACTGCTCTCATCGAATTGATGTCGCAAGCGACTTCTGAGCTCTCACAATGGAGCGAGATAGACGTTCTCGTGGCAAGATATCGTGATGAGCATCAAGAATTTTTACATAGAAATCAAGAATCTCAGCGAGCGCTGCAGCGGGAGAAGGAACAGGCCGTCAAAATGTGCACGACTGTCGACGCGGTCTTCGCGAGAGCGCAGGCTCTGTGCACGACTCGGCAGCAACGTTTACAGGCTAAGCAAGATGATGCAAAACGTTCGCTAGATGCTCAGCGAGCCGCGGAGCAAAGGAGACAGGAGGATGCCGCTGTCGAAGCGCAACGCGAACTCGAGATGCGCGGCAAAGTAGCAGAGCAGAATTGTCCGGCGCAGGCTCAGCGAAGAGCCCAAGAAGAGATGAGTCGCAGAGCGGAAGAGAATGCAGCCCAGGAGGCCGAAGCTAAGCATGGAGAAGCAAACGCAGCTGAGGCGAGACACAGAGTGGAGGCGATTGAGGCGCAGCAAGAAGAATTAGGGCGGCAAATCTCTAATCAGGAACAAGAGAACGCGGTAGCCGAACTCCAAAGGGCAGAGAAAACACGAGAGCTGGAGGAGAAGGGACGTCAGGAAACCTTGAGCAAGGCCGAAGAGGAGGCTCAGTTAATGGCAGAGGACGAGCAACGAAAGGCTGAATATGAGGCCAAGAGAGCTGAGATCGCAGAACTGAAGAGACAGGTCATCGAAAGAGAACGCGAGAACGCAATCGCCGCTCGTGCTCAACGACAGGAAGGCAAGAAGCCGCGACCGGATATCAAAGCAAGACTGGAGAAGGAAAAGAAAGCTGTTAAATCACGTCCACCTACTGCAGCGAAAACTGCCAGCTCAGACGTCGTGTCGAATGAGTCCGCGCAGAATGTGCCAGATTCCAAAGATGTTCCTCAAGGGCGAGCGCTCTCCGGTGATGTAATGCCCTCTGCAGCAGCTTCACCATCCGTCCATGCCAATTCGTCTCCGGCTCTTGTTGACGTGCTTATTGGGTCGGAAGCCAAGGCTTCTGGGAAGAAAGCCAAGGGCCGCAAAAGCAGCGCTCCCAGCACCGGGCCCCAATCTGAACCGTTGCTCAAAGTGGATGAATCTACTAGTATTGCTCAAGCTGCTTCCACCATCATCTCCGAAGAGGGTGATCCGCACTCTCGTGATGTTCTGCCGGTACAAGGCGCCCGTGAAGGTTCTATCAATGCTCATGCGGAACGGGTATCCCGGCCAGCGCATGGCACATGTGTTGACGAGAAGATGGGCAGGAAATTGTCATTGGTGTCAGCGAATGCTGATGCACGGAGTCCGTTAACAGTGAAACAGGAACAACCTATCGATGATGCAAGTTTGACAGCAAACATATCTCAGCCGGAACCATTGGTTTCATTGGCCTCCAGAACGCCTAAATTGCCAATTTTGGCGGATCAATCGCAGCCAGCGGTGAACGCTGATGTTCGTCACAATCAGCCAGTAAATCCCGATGTCAAGTCGAGCGACCGGGTGTACAATCCCGCTGCGGGAACTGCATCAGTAGATGCGCCCGTAGATGACACCTCTACCACCACTCAGTTCTCACTCACTGCTATGTCGTCGCGAGATATGCAGCCGGTTTCCCAATCCATTTCTCCCTCTGTTCGTTTGTTGGAACGAATCTCCCATAACGTGAACACTGGTCCACACTCTACGTTCAACGACCAGACTGCAGAAGCGGAAGGTTGGATAAATCGCCCAAGTGCACCAGACCTCAACCTGCACGGGCGGGGAGCTAGTACTGTCGAGGCCAGACCAACGACTAGGTCCATATTCGATCGTCGTTCTCCTCCGCCTCAGCACTCAGCATCAAGGCAGCGCGGACGCGACCGTCATCCTCTCTACTCGGACCGATCGGCTGTGCAGAGGGGGCGGCCCCAAGAGCGTTCACGGAAGCATGACAGGGACGATGGCATGGAGAGAAGCTCGGACGGACCACCCGCTCGTCGCCCAAGGTATTCGCCTCCAGAGGAACAACAGTACAGACCCATCGCGCCTGCAGGCTCGATCACGTATCTACAAGCTTCAACGTATGCTGGACCCCTGCGATCCCGCCATGAAGCTTTGCCGCCCTCCGATCGCCAATATGACGACGCGCATTATGGCCCTGAGTATGCACCTTACAGTGCGCCTTACGATGGCCGGGATGATGTGTATCAGAGTCAGAGCAACGGCCAGCACTACGAGCAGTCATATCAACCGTCTTCGCAATTAGTTTCTAGCGATCTAGGGCGTATGCATCCCGCCATACGGAATTACGACGATCCGGGGGCCAGCCACACGGCCTCCTCGTCCCGTTACCAATCGACCGCCCACGACGACCGGTTCCAACCGGATCTTCTTGCACGGATGGGACCAAATGCGCAAGCTCCTAGCATTTTGTCTCGTAACGTTGCTCGTGGGCCGCGAACGCCGCCGCATCCGATGCAGAACGTGCATGATTCCCTTCCCAGAAGACCCGAGACTTCAATCGCGAGGGGTCGTGGCAGACAACGGCCCCCGCTCAGTCGTCTTATGAGAGGTAACGACCTTGAATCCCGCTTGTCCTGACTCTACTCTCTGTGAAGTGTGAAGGTGGACACGAGGCAGCCAGGAGGGCTCATGAAAACTTCGAGTGGCTGGTAGTTGGCCCTGGACTTGTCGCGTCCGCAGCATGCTTGCCCCTTCGCTGTACATGTGTGATCGGCTGCATGTACCAGGCTTCCCCTTGTTCTTGTTCTTCTCCAGCCCATTGAGCAACTTTACAATCGACAAAATGCTAATGTGTGATTACTTTACAGTCCAAAGGAGGGCAATTGAATGTGAGAAAGACTATAAATCGTCCATAGGAAGATAGTACAGCAAAACATCGTCAAGCGCGAAACCTGTTGTTCAACTCGCTCCGCAGATCGTAAGCTCCTTCATCTCCTGTAAAACACCCTCGACCTAGGCAAGTATATATTAGTTCGTACAGTGAATCAGAGCGTCCGTCCTGCCCGCACCTGAGCATCAAGCTGTCCTGCCGCATAGTCATCTCGCACGTTCTCCGCGAAGTATCTAAGAGCGAGTCAACCACTGTTATAAAGTGAAGTGATCAAGTTCTGCGTTACCTCTGTACTCCACTGAGTTTCTCGTAACCTTCTTCTGCAAACTTGCATTGCATGCGGATCATCGCTTCGAAACTCGGGTCAAAGAAGGGCACACGTAAATCGAGCAGTTGCGGAAGTTCCGCGATCAGCTGATCATTAAGCATGTCGAATACTTCCTTCGCATCGTCATGTTCCTGCTGCGCCTATGGAGCATGGCACGGTCAAGGACGCATCATAGGACAGGCAGCTTAAGCGCACCTTCGGAAGCTTGGTCGGATCATCGCTGGGCTTGTTGATTAACTTATTCATCCTGCTACGGGCAGCATCGTAGTCTAACAGCTAGAGAGTCTGGTTGAGCGGGTAAAAGGACGGATGTTTTTGGTAGAGAAGGCAAACCTTCTTGTTACGTTTCGAGATATGCTCGTTCACTATTGGGAAATAAGCATTCATCTTGCCCAGCGGCTCCATCACAGTCGTCCTATACGGCGCATCCTAACACGAGGTAAGCACAGTCCACCTTATGTTATCTCAGGTTGGATGAGAATCAGGACACACACCAGCTCTCGTCCAATGCCTGTATCCAAGTCATCAACCGCCCGTTTGTACGCATGCGCAGCCATCGCGCTCTCCGATGATTTGTCCGCCGCGCCATAGAACACGTCTATCGTATCAGCGAGACGACTCTGCGTACTAGCCATCGCTGCTCTCGATCATGAATCCCGTAGCGCAGAGCACGCGAGCGACTGCGCACGCACCTCGCATCGCGTCCAGGTATCCCTTGCTGTCCTTCTGCAACATCTGACATTCCTTCTCGAACCTGCACAACGGCCGCACGAGAATGACTGCGAGTGAACAAAACATTCTGGAAAACGGATAGAAAGCTGGGCATAGGGGCATTGACGCACGTCTTGAATTTCACTTCCTCATCCGTGTAGTCTCTGTCCACCGTGCGCTCGATCTGACCAGTCTTCTGAAGCAACTGTATGCATACATGTCCTATTAGGCCTGATTCGTATGCGAATATACTGGTGCCCGGTGCAGGCAGAAGAGGAGAGGGTGTGACGTACGGTAGTCCCTGCTCGGTTCATGGACTTCTTGAACCTGCACGGAGAACGAATTGAGTCCTACAATCAGCTAGATTGTATGACTTACTCACCCTGACCAACTCATCGTGAATATTCAAAACGCGTCGTGAAAGAGGATGCAGTTAGATCTAGAGGGTTGGATGCAGTCTGTCTGATACGACGGGCGCCTACAGCCTGACGCATAATGTACATCATCACGTGATTGCGTGTACCAATTCAAGCGCCCATAAGCTGCAGAGGCGCTCTGAACCCGAGTGGCCATCCGACGCTCAGGAAGTGTTACAAAAAACGTGTGGGACCGAACGATCACGTTTTGAATATGCTCACTACCAGCAGCGTCGGCGATGCAACGCCGCGGACCCGGATGCGTGCATGCTGTTACACGCGAGACCAGTACCAAAGTATCAGATACCGCGCACGTCCCAGACACGCTGTGTCAAACCGACACGACAGTGCGAAAGCTCTTCGGGAAGTTGGCTGGTGCACTGAGGTGTGATGTGGGTATGTTCGTCGCAGATCCGCCGTTGTGCCTGCTGCGCGCGGTCAGATCTCGCTGCCTCGTTAGCGCTGGTCACACTCGACCGCCTCGTCGACCACAACATAGCTTGGCACCGCAGCGTCCCCCGAAGTGAACTATATACGCAAAGCATTGCACTGTCTTGTTGTTGCCTGCGGTCCTTTCTCATTTCCGGACCGCCAGTCCACTCCGGAAACGAGACGCTTGCCCGGATGAACATCAATCTGTATCGACTTTGCCGTGCATATCCGGTGGCCGGCTGTGCGCTTGATTTTGGCTGCGAAAGGCGCCATCTACAGCGCGAAAAATTGCCCGAAGCCGGACAGGAATTGTGCCGCTGGCACAAACGGGAGATACTAGTCGTCGAGATGGACCTTACCAAAAGCAGCACAAGGGCGGCGAACACGTGGCTCAGGCCTCCATCCTCCGCCCATGAAGTTCGGCCGTCCGTCCCCATGCTCGTTCTCCCCTTGCTCTAGCAATTCCGTCGCGCTGCCCAACGCCCTCCATGTTTCATTTTGGACGCGAACCTTGGACCCAAAGCACTGTACCATTTCAGAAAGCAACATTGTCTCGACGCGGCAGCGTACCACAACTATATTCTTCGTCCGAGTTCAGTACACTACAATATCACAGCATTCCGGCCTTACGACGAGCACCGCTAGCTCCTCTTGACCCTCAGACAACTCACGTCACGCTCACTGTAATTGACGATCAGATGGCCGCGTCGTCGCCATTCCTTGGTTACGCCGACACAGCACAAGATCCCCAACGTCCTGTTGATCTCCTACGCTACAACGCAGGCCGTTCTAATGTGCCTAGTCGCAGTGCCTGTGATGGTGCTGAGCTCGGTGTGCTTCCAGCCAGGAGGAGATCAATCCCAAACCAGTACGCATCTCGTTAACAACCTCATGTTATTCCGACCATGCCAATGTTTTCCATTTATTAGCTCGCAGTACGCAGGCAACACCGCTCACTTGCCCCTACATTTTTCTCGTTCCCTCTCCAGGCGTCCTCATCGCGCATCAACTGCTTCGATGCCCTCCAACAGGCGTCCCTCATTGCCGACGCTACATTTCCAAACGACGAGCTCAACGACGGCAGGGTCGCACTCTACACAAGACGCCCATTCCGTTACAAACGCCGCTCTATTGAGTAATGATGATCTATATTCTAGCCTGTCTACCTTCACATTCGGCTCTGCGTCTCCCGATCACCCTGATTTCCCAGAAAATATTAGCCCATTCGCTTGTGGTAGTGGTTCCAGCAGCGCACACCGCACACCTCGCCCCTCCGTCACTAGTCTTAGCTCGGGTACTAATCAGAATTCCCTCATCGCCTCGCGCGCTCGCTCACTGCGCACGCGTGCCAGAGACATGGATGAAGAGGGCACGCGCGCTGACGATGAATCCGACGCAGAGGCAGAGCAACATTCGCGTGCCAAAATGCGGGCGATGAATGACGGTACACGCAGGCCTTCCCTCCCCATAAACGCTTATTCCTCAGCCAGAGCGACCTCCACATCGAGTTCACCATCGCCACCCGCACCTGCTACTGTGAAGGACGAATCCAAGCGGCCATCTGAACGTGCGGACAGCGAGGACAATGTTGTTGAACACGAGCATACCGAAGCGGAGTCGGAGTCCGGAACTACTTGCGGCGAGGGCGAGGGGGAGAGCGGGGACTTCGACACTGATGTCGAGTTCGACTTCCATCATCATTCCGGTTCTCCTGCAGCTCATGATGTGGAGATGTTAGAGGCTACATCGCGGAGCATGTTCGACGATTCTCGTCAATTTGCATACGATATCCATGATCCGATGCATACGGATGGCCGCATGCACATTGACCAAGTCAGCGGCGCCCACGATGCAGAGCAAGGGCATTTGGGTGTCCCGATCGATCCGGAGGAGTACGCCACTAGGTCAAGAACGCGGGAGGATAGTATAGCAACTCTGACTGCTGGTCAGGGACAAACCCTGTCGCGAGAGGAAGTCAGCCCGACGGTCCCTCTAGACGCTAGTGCGTTGGAGCAGGCAGATCCACAAGCAGTGGATATGCACTTACAGTTCCAGCAAGAGCGCGAAGACGAGCATAAGGATCAGCGTGGACTACAGCACCAGTCCAACGCATATGAAGGTTTGGATCTTGCCTACATCTTCGGCGAGCGCAGCGTCGATCCGGGACGCCGCCAGTCATGGCAGTCAAATGCCCCATCGTGGATGCAAATCGATCCCAGTGCGCCTCCGCAGCCCCTAATAAACCCGGAGGGGTTTGAAACGTTCGATTATCCAGGTTGGGGCACAGCCGTGACTGGGCCATCCGGGCGACGACCGAGCACTGTGACGGTGGGAAGCGTCGGCGAAGACGCATTCACCCGCCACCTGCAGCGCTATGACCCAGTATCAAGCGAGCGTGCTTTGCAATGGAGTTTCAGGAGAGAGGCGTTAGATGGTGTAACTATAGACGCGCGCGCTAATACGCGACGAGCTCATGGCGCGGACGCTGCTGGGGCGCGAGCCACGATACCTGGTGCACAAGAGACCTGGAGGCAGGCCCATGTCGGGCGTTTCAGAGTGGACAGGCACATGGTGAAACGTGAGTTATCCTCTTCTCGATCGGAGAGATCGGGTTCACGCCTGACAACTTTTAAGCAGCAGAAGATCCGATGAAGCCTTCGTCCCAGCGAATCGTCGTGCGGCATATTGTTGACCCACTATCATATGGCAACACTCACGGTGGTCCGGTGTCCGTCGTGCACAAACACTCGCGAGCAATAGCGTTTTCCATCTTCCGCAAATATGATCTCTTCCGCCAGACACGTCAAGGGCACACGTCTATGCCGACTAGCTCAAGCATACTCCTCGCAACGAAACGTGTCCAGGAACAATATACCAGTACCCGTACCACGAATCAGCTCAAAGAGCACGGTTTGCTGAGGGACGGAGATAGCCGGACTCGTGCTCACGGTGGAAGCGGCAATGCGTCAGCGAGCGAGAGCGGACCGTCCGGAAGAACCGTTGTACGTAGCGCTTCAGCAGGGGCCAAGGCTCGAGAGAGACCCAATGCGAACTCTAAAGGCAAAGGCAAGGAGCCTAGGTCGGATCCGCCGTCGCATACATCTAGCGCAGACAGCATGACAAGTCGCTCTACAGCGAACGAACAGGCGTCGTTAATCTTCGCCAGGACTTACGCATCCTCTTCGTCTTCGGATCCTTCCGTACCAATCATCCCGACAGTGGCAGATGCGCATGATGCTTATTTATCCTCAGGATATACTGCAGCAGTACGACATTCGGTAGATGTCACTTCCAAGTATGGCTCGCCCCCGCCTACAGCCTCCTCTTCATCCAGTCGTTCTCCCACACATGTCGATTCTATGGCGATCGATGATTACGAGGAGCGAATGCCCCCGCGCACATCTCATGCAGAAGCGTTTGCGACCATATTCGATCAGAGTAGCATTGAGTACTTCCGTGGAGGGTCGGACCAGCGTTCCTCGGAGCACGATCTGTCACATTCCAGGAGCATCACGGAACGCCTGCGACGAAGGTTGCTGGGCCAAAACTTCCGGCCTTCACAAGGCCCACCATCAGCTGCGTTAGAAGGTCGATATACTCCGCCATGGTTGACGATGGCTCCGCGATCGAGGGTCGAGGAACGAGATCGGGTAATACAAAATCTTAATGAGTCCTTCAAGGATGTCGGTTTGCTGCCATCATTCAAGACCAAGGGCATGAAGCCCAGGCACCATCGTCCAAATGAGACTGTGAACATCTTCTCACACGTCCCCGCGGATTCTCTTCACATGCTTCTGCCATTGTGGCCCGGCGAAACCGATTCGGCGTCCGTAGTTCTTAACGAAGATTCCTCTTCGTACAGTGTTCCGGTCGAGGAACGGCAGTACCTTCTAGTTTATTATGTGCCATTCGACGAACGTAAGGAGAAGAGCAAAAAACAAGACAGCAAGAAGCGTTCAAGATCAGGTTCGCACGTGGCTATGGCTTCTTCGGGCTCTGGAGCTTCCAAAACGATCCTCCTCACCTCGTTCTCCGTCCGTGCCAGGCTGATTTCGTATCAGGACCTGTTAGGTACTGGCGTTAGGCTCCCAATTGAAGGGCTTTCCGTTGCTGGCTCTATGGCGGAGGCGATGCGGTTACTTCCATCCAATGCTATCCGTGAGACGCGACTGGAGACGCCATGGGCCATCATCGGAATCTGCAACAGCCGAAACAAGGGCGTGGAGTTTCTCCCGGAAGGCCTGGCAAAGGTTGGTCTCGCTATTGCGTTGCCATCTCCTAGCCCGGAGCCCGTGCAGATGTCCTCTGAGGCCGAGGAGCCAGAGATAAACTGGGAGCTCACACCTATCGGGAGAGCTGCAGTGGAGATGGCATGGTTGGGGTGCCTTGCGATGACCAGTTTCGGCCCGGAGTCCCCTACTAATAAGTAATATTGATCTGTGTATTGTACCTTGACTACTCTTGTTTTCATACTTTGACATGGTTACTACTTCTTCATTATTTGGATCATCCCATCCCCTCCTCCAGTTCGTCCTCAGTGCATCTCTATACCCTTGACAAGTGTATAATCTACTCTCTCAATTCTGTTACGACATTAGGACCTTGGTCGTTTGCCTTGTATGCCTATATTTTTCGTACAGTGTTGCGTCTGCACCGTCTCCCCGTCACTGTGAACTTCTGCGCATCGCAGAACAAGAGATGCGACAGTACAATGATAGAATTACGAATGATTATACTAGTGCGCGCAGCTACAACATTGTCGTCTACAAATCGCAATAACTTACGAATGACATCCTCTATACCTTGACACCGGTGTCTACCAAGGACAATACAGATGACCTCCAAACAATGCACCACAGTGCCAACGAGAGCAAACCTAAGCAGAGAGCGAAGAGGCGAGCCTCTTCTCCTGCCGGACTATGCTCAAAGAGAAGCTCCAGCATCCCCTTTCTCATGACGTCGGGGTGTCCGCTGGGCCGTAGCTCGCACTTCCACCGGCGCGTCCAACCATTCCCATTTGCTCGCCATCCGTTGCCAACGCCCATGCCGAACCATATCGCAGCACCCACGAGCGCTCCCCGTATGATACCGCCGCTCCCGCCATTCCAGAACGACGCGCGCCACTCAGAGATGAACAGGCTGATCGGGATGCCGTGGGTGTCGCACGCTAGTTCGAACGTCCCTTTCTCGATCGGCGGCGGGAGGGGCAGCGTCGGCGTGTGCGTCGGTATGTAAGATATGGTGAATCGGGAAAGGCGAGGATTGGTGAGAGCGATGCGTGCTGCTCCTGCATGCATCGGCTCTTCACCGTGAAACTTTACGATGCTGAGCTGCAGGGTCCGGAGCTTTGCGAGCTTGCTGAGAGACCGTGAAAAGGAATCCTAGGACAAGGTCAACACTCTGAACAGCTACTTTAAGATGGACGTGACGTACGAGATAAAACGAGGGCTTAGAAGTACAGGTCAGGTCGAGGTGCAGCAATTGAGGACATGATGAGATAATGGTGCGGAATACGCCGTTGCTGTCATATCCGCTATGCAGGGCGAAGGTGATCTTGAGCGATGTAAGTGCGGGAAGATCCATGAGCACTCGAGAGATAGTGAGCGGTGTGAACTCCCTAAGTTGCATGGGCTCCAGCAAGCGAACGGATTGCAATGTAATCGAAAGGGGTGAACTTGATGGCGCGTGTTGCCCCTGAGCTGCCCAAGGGAGGTTCGCATTGGCATTCACGTTGGCTGCCCCGTTCTGATCCCTATCGATGAGAGCTCTGAGATGCTCCAATGATCCGCTGTATTCCTTCAAGATAGGGAGCGCATCCCTGTCAAGCTCACCCAGATCTACTGAGTGGATGTTTGAATGGCTCAAGATATGGAGGCCCTCAAGCGTGGGATGCCGTTCGAGGAACCTGAGGAACGGATGAACTAGCGCGGGGTTCACAGGAGCCGGAATTTCGCTCGTCGGTTCACCGATGGTCAACGAGCGCAGGCGAGGCCAGTAGCTTGTGAGGAGGCGCAAGATGTCGAGGGGCTCGGCAGATGTTCCCGCGACCGCCAACGACTCGAGGTTGGGACATCGATTGACGAGCATGTCCCGGATAGGGGAGAAGACCGGCTCGCTTTCTACAATGACGTTCACAGACGATCATATGGACATGACTGAGAACCTACCTCGTGAAGGGATATGCAACTGAGAATGGTAGAACCCATCCTTGAAGAACAGTGAAAAACTAGCAAGGTCATTGAACTCGAATAACTGCAATACATTCGCTGAATTTAGATGATACGGCATGCAGAAGGAACTGCATCGACGTACATGGCTGCTGGGACGAGGCAAAAAGCACCCGAATGTGGTTCCGATATTCCTCAGGTATGGACAGCTTCAGACGAAGGAACCCATCATTAGTGGCGGTAACTGAGGCGCACAAGCGCGTTTCGACGTACCACTCCTGCAAGCTAGACCACATGCGGTCATCCGGCAGCATATCGTCCCCATCCCACTCGAACGTCTGCAGAGCATCTAAATGCCGCGCCGCCAGACTGACCAACCGAGAAACCGTCCCCGCATTGTCCCAGGCCCTCAGTTGCTGTCGCCGCTTGAATCGCTGTTCTTCTGGGCACACGACGAGCTTCTGGACATGTCGTGCGATCTTCGGGCAGCGCTGCAGCATGCCCAGCGTCGCTTCGCATTGTGCAGGGCCTCGTAGTTCGACGATGGAGTAGACTGCCGGTATTAGCTTCCAGTAAACGTCCGACGACTATCGCAGGCAATTAGTATTGCTCGTATCCCCTCGTAGACACTGGACAGAGATCGGTCTTACTGCCAGACTGAAGTGGAGGATATCAGAGAGTGTGGTGAGATGCGACCCGATCTCACTGAACACGTCCGCTGGTATAGAGTATAGCGAGGAGTGACGGTTCGGCGGTGTCGAGCTCAACAGTCGGTGGACGGAAACATCCGCAAAGGAGACATCTTGCATAATAGTACGACAATAAGTTATTAGGCGGTAGGGAAGGGGTGGCGAGTGATTCGAGTTGCGTCCTTATGGTCTTATAAGTGCTCTCCAATCCTCCGACATCTTCGGTTCCCCGGATGGCACTCTTGGGTTTGACGTTGATGTATGGAACACGGTGGCTGGACCTGAAGGCCATCCCATCGAACACCGCGTCGACACAGACGCTCTTTCTCCAGAACTCCACGTCACACAAGCTACACGTCGGAACATATGCCCTCGTTCTGCCGCGATGGTGCACGTATGCTTATGTATTGCGTATGAATATATGAATGTACACGTCAGTCTCGCACATCAAACTTCCCATGTCCCCATCTGCAAGAAAATACCACAATCTAGTACCTGCAAATATCGAATGGTGTGGCAGCGAGTCAGACATGCATGCACGATGCAAAAAGGTGCGGTGGTGATATAAATCAGGACCTGACAACCGGTCAGCGCTCGTCCCGCTTGACGAATATACCAGCAAGACGACGAAGGAGAGAAAGACGCACATCTTGTACTGGATCTCCGTCTCCGGATCATCGCGCACCCTGTAGGTGATGGTGATGTCGAGGTCGCGGTTATTCCGCGCATTCGGAGCACAGGTCAATCGACCGGATATATCTTCTCCTGCGGATACGGTGATGGTGTTGGGAGTGTAAAAGACGGTTTGTCTATTTGAATGACAAAAGACATATTAGCACGTTCTCTTCTTCCTCTGAATTGAATCAGCTCACTTCCAGTGGGTATATTTGGAATGGGGACCAGTCGAGAACCTGACCTTCGTGTGGGTGCACTCGAAGGAGATGTCAAACCATGCGAGGAATGCATGCACGTCTGACAATCAGACTTTTGATGAATACAATCCGAGTTCTAAACATGACAAAATACTACGCACAATCATTTCTTTGTGCCTTGAGCGTGAATGGAGAGGTGAAGGTCAGATCTTCTTTTTTGGCAGTAAGCAAGTCAATGTGCTGCGCAATGCATGAGGTGAGCGCATGCTATCCTCACTTTTCATGATAGACACAGACCTTAATCATGCAGTTGTTTGTAACGATTGCTTTCGCGTCAACAGTATCTACAAGGGGTTCTCGCAGCGCGATATCCTTGATGCAGGAGTAATCAAACCCATAGACGTTGTCCCAGACTATAAGCAATTCGTTAGAGACAGGTTCTTGTTCCGTAATCACAATGGGTCAGCTCACAGTTGATTTTCTCCTCCTTGTATTCGGAGTCTTCAATAGCAGACAAATACAGCGTTGCAGTATCAGGGAAGATGAGACCGCCAGGCTTCAGATAGCGGTCACGTGCGAGTAGGACAGTATCGAGCATGGACTCGTATAACAGGAAGTAGCCCATCCACTCGGAGATGATGATATCGAACTGCTGGATCGGTAGTGGGACATCCTCCAACTTCCCTTTGACAAGGGTGATCTCTGTGATGTAAAGGGTCATCATGACTGGCGGCACAATTTGAAAAGGTTAAAGCGACGTACTGTCTTTGAAGCCATTGGCTTCAATAATTTTGACGGCTTGGTCGATGATGTTTGACATGTCAATCTATCGTAATATGTAAGTATCCAGCTCGCTGCCTCGATAGATACACACATGCCCCGACAACGTGTTTCGCGCCAGCCCTCGCGGCAAACATACTGAGGATACCGGTCCCACAGCCAACATCAAGAACAGTCTTGCCCCTGAACAAGTGAGGGTTGTTCATGATTGCGTTGCGATATGAGCCCGTTCGCACGGAGTCTTTGAGCATTTCCTCGTGGATACCTATGATATCGGGTGGCAAATCAGTGTCTGCTGCTGCGAAAAACGTAGAAGAAGCATACACACCGAAGTGGGCGTAGGAGTCGGCATAGCTGTTTCGACGCGCAGCAGTCAATATGATACTCACTATGACACCCTGCAGATGGTACAGAGCTGCAGAGATGGTTGAATACGCGAACGAACTAGTCTCTCGAGGTCATGTTGTCTGGCGTAACCTCATCCTGCGTCGTGTTGGACGACGATGATGGTCCTGCGCTTTCCATGGTTGCGTTACACTGATCACAAAAACAGTGAAGTCTTGGAAGGAAGTGAGCAAAGCAAGAAGAATACCCTTGAGCACGGCCGAGCGGAATAACTTGAAATGCTTGGATTGCAAGAAAAATCAACGCGCACGTGGACTCGATCAAATAGATCGATCGAGAACAACAAGGGATCACGTGCGTGCCGGCGCATGAAGGCGGTGCTATAGGCATGCTCTAGGCGGACTCCGCTGTCCGGGTGGGCCACGTATTACGGCATGGAGCACGTACGCCATAGCCTTCCGCAGCTCCGAGCCGTCCTCAAACTAGACCGCAGCCGGCACTGGGCACCCCACCTCTCCCCCGCCTACTTAGGTCCCTCCTTGCTCCGTCCGTCATGATAGTTGACTCTAACAACACCATAAACATGGTGCGTGCTGCGAGCTTCCCATCGCATCGTTCACCTCGCTCACAACCACTCATCTTGCAGACTCAGAAATCGGACAATCCAACTACGCAGCCTCCTTCATACGATGCGGTCGTATCAGAGATGGCCTGTAAGCAAGATCTCCTCTCTTTGGTCTGCAAACACTGATCGTACTGCAGCTTCAGGACCGTACGTCGCTGAAGGGGCCACAAAGGGCTCTACGGTGAATGTACCGCCACCACCACGGCAACGATCATACTACCCAGGTCCAATGTCCGGTCCTCCTCCAGCCTCTGCCGGCCCCTATCCTACCGCGACAGTGTACAACTACGTGAATCCCGTCACTGGGGAGCATGTTGCATCGCTATTGCCTCCAGACCACCCGCAGATGATCTGCTTGCAGCAGGGCGGGCACGTCGTGCGCACGCAGTTCGGCTTACTTGGTGAGTCAATTCGAAGCAGGCTGCGCAATGATGCAGAAACATTGATGTTTGACATGCAGGTATCCTCGCGGCAATCTTCTGGTTCCCTTTCGGTATTGCCTGCTGCCTATTGGATCGGAAGGTCACTTGCGCCCGCTGCGGCGCGGTCCTTGAGGAGGGGCCGTGCGGCTAAGTCAGCCTTCACGAAGCTTCCACTTTACCTCAACAAAGGAGAAGGTGGTGATTATATTTACATCTTTCTTGCTTTCATTTTTTTCCCTCGTCTCCACAATATCCTTTTTGTACACTGTAGAGCGGCGCGGACATTAGCTTTTATCTGGAGTTTTATTTTGGTGATCTGTATAACAAATAATGAACTTTCTGGAGTGTGTGTTGTGTCCGTCGACCTCATTCTGCCTTTGATTCCGCAGCTGGTCTCAGGCACATGCGGCGCTTGGGCGCTCCGGTGGTGATCCGTGCTATGTCAAGCATTTGCAATGGTAACTCTCAGGGTTTAGCGGATCTGCGTAGGCAAGGCAGGTAGACCGATGATATTAGATTCCTGGGACACTCAGCCGCGTTGCGGCGAATTACGCGTATCCAGAGATCCACGCAACTTAGTCACATAGCTTGATAGGTGGTTGCGCCCACATGAAGGTGAGTTGTATGTTCACGATCATGAATTCTACTTATCGGGATTAGGAAACGTTCGCTCTTGTGGTTCGTTCAAATAAAACGTCAAGAGTTGAGAGGAGTAGTACTACCTGTCGTGATCACGTCACGGAGAGTGCCGGGCTTGCAAGACTTCAGGCTGTTGAACGCTCGACATTGTCGAACACATCCTAACGTGGAGTGTCAGTCCGGCTCAAACACCACTACCCCACATCGCAACAGCGCACACAACTAACAACCATGCTGCAAGTACCAGACCAGTCGACCCAGACGTGCGTCATTCGAGTCCTAGAGACCTACAAGCGAAACCCGTACAACCCCACGCAATCCGAGAATGCACGACTCCGCAATCCAGGTAGCTTCATAACGGTCGTGTTTTTTCCCGTTCTTGTTCACTTTGACGTGTGGCAGGCACCGCCCGTGCCAACCTCGCGGCTTCCTTGGAAGCCCCTCAAGGCACTCAGACAGACAGCTGGGCAGCGAAGCACAGCCATCAGACGGTCCTGCAGCAACACTGCGACTACTTCGACCCCGACCACGACGGCGTCGTCTGGCCTATCGACACCTTCCGCGGCCTCCGCAATCTAGGCTTCAACCTCCTCCACTGTCTCGTGGCGGTGTTCATCATCAACGGCTTCCTCTCGTACCCCACCGTGCCTGGCCTCCTCCCGGACCTGTTCTTTCGCGTCTACGTGCAAAACATCCACAAGTCGAAGCATGGCAGCGATACTGGCACGTACGACAACGAGGGCCGGTTTATCCCGCAAAAGTGCGTACGCCGCTGCGTTGTCTTGTGCATTTTGGTGCTGATGGAGATGACGCAGGTTTGAAGACGTTTTCTCGAAGTACGCAGACGGAAGAGTAGGATTGACCAAGTGGGGAATTGTGAGACTCCTTCATGGACAACGCGGCCTCCTCGATCCGGCCGGTTGGGCCGGCGCCATTATGGAGTGTAAGTAGATCCTCATATCCACAGCGCATAGAGGATGTCCCAAGGTGACCTTAATTGTTAACGATGCAGGGCTCTTCGTGTACCTGCTGATCTGGCCCGAGGATGGCATCATCAAGAAAGAAGACGTCCGCCGCGTATACGATGGGAGCATCTTCGCCGAACTTTCTCTCAAAAGATCTGGTAAAGCCTATGCGACATGACCTTGCAAGCTCGATGACCGCCAGATGATACGGACGCCTTTCGGACATAGATCCTATAGCTCGACGCGGTGCCCTCATGATGATAGACTTTTGTCGAGAATTTACGCAGTACGATATCTTGTACCTTGTAGCAAAACCTGTAACCCGATGTCAGGAGGATTTGTAGCCATATATCGTGAGGTCATACCCGTTGATCGCTTCGCCACCAGTACGCCTGGTGATCGGTGCTGTCCCAGAATAGGCAACTCAAGTTCGTCTCCATGTTGCTCTCCCTCATTAGCGTCCGTGGACATCTGCCCCTCACACTCTTCAGAAAGCACGCATATATTGACCTTAACAGACGCACCCTCATGCAGGCGGCGATCAACAAGCTCGTAGGGAAGGAGGAATACAGCCAGGCCGACGTCCCAGACTTGCATGGCAGGGTAAGTGTCCTTCCTCGAGTACTCTGACCCAGTCGAAGTTACTGCGCCCAGTCGGTATTTATACTGACTTTTGAGCAGACGGCAGTAGTGACGGGCGGGACGGGCGGTATAGGATTCGAGGTGGCCAAAACCCTCGCCCTTGCCAAAGCCCGCGTTCTCCTCCTCGCGCGCGGCAGCGAAAATGCCGAAGAGGCCATCTCAAAGATCCGTACTGCTGCTCAAGACTCCTCGGGTGCTCTCATCGACGTGACGTTCATCGAGTGCGACCTGGGTAACCTCAAGCACGTCAAGAAGGTCGGCGACCAAATCCGGGAGCAAGAGGAGCGGCTCGACCTTGTACGTTGCTCACTTGCACATAATATGCGCATCATTCCAACTGAAATGCACTCTCCAGCTCATCTGCGACGCCGGCGTGGGCGTGAACAAGTACGACACCTCGACGGATGGCATCGACCGACATTTTGCCGTGAACCATCTCGGGCATTTCTACCTCGTCAACCGGCTCCTGCCGCTCATGCGGCGCACAGCCGCACAGCCACACACGCCCGCCCCGCGCATAGTCTGTGTCTCATCCTCGCTTCACGCGGCCGCACCGTCTTCAGTGCGCTTCAAGTCGCTCGACGAAATCAACACCGATATTGGGTCCGTGCAGCTGTACGCCCGCAGCAAGCTCGCGAACATCTTGTTCGTCAAGTTCGGGATCATCGAGCGTGTGCTGGGTCCTGCAAGCGACCGCATCCTTGCACTCGCTACGCACCCCGGCGCGGTGCACACGGGGCAGCAGGAGCAGTTCAAAGAGGCATACGGCAACCTGGCGGGCACCGTGATGAAGCATGCAACGATTCCGTTCATGCGTAATCCGGATCAGGGAAGTTTGAGTACTCTGTGGGCAGCGACGTGCGAGGAAGTCGAGCAACACAGCCCGAAGTGGAACGGACGTTACATCACGGACCCCGGAGAGGGAAGCAAGGAGAGTGACATGGCGCGCGATGCACAACTCGGAGAGAACTTGTGGAAGCTGAGCGAGCAACTGATAACGGACAAAGTGGGCGACGACGCGTTGTTACCGTGGAACGAAAGGAAACCGTAGATGGAGACACGAAGTATGACAGAGCGGTCGACATCACAGAGGGTATGTTGCGCAGCAGACGAACGGATTGTTCGGTAGTGCCCCTAGAATTGTATGAATGGCATCCTATAATACCGATACCGTACCGCATATGGATATCTACGAAAGCGTCTCGCGCGTAGCAACAGATCAGTGTGCACTTCAGACTCACCGAAAGTCATTAAATAGCACATACAGGCTTGCCTGACAGGTGGTCATCGATAAATGCAGAGACTCGCATTGCTTTTGAGTGTACAACCAGCAACCGACGTACAATACAGCCCCCTTTCCACTCTCGCGGCAAAGACTCCCACAGCAATGACACCATTTTGAGAGGCTGGTGAATGCGTTATGAGGTGACGGTCCACACACGGACGAGGTTGTCCGTGAAGCCGCCGAACAGCGTCTGTCCGTCCGCCGACCAGGCGATGGACACGCACTCGGGTTCTCGAGCATGTGCGCTCTGGGCAAAGTCGGGCTTGAGCTCGTCGACGATCGACCTATGAGGTGCACAGTAAGACTAACGCAGATCTGTACCCTTACAGACCGACACGCACTTGCTCTCCAGATCGAAGATCTTGATGCATGTCGCAGTCGCCGCGCAGAGCCAGTATCGGTTGGGGGAGAAGACGAGGGCGTTGACAATGTCACCTGCCTCTAGCGAGTAGAGGTGCTTGCCCTCATTCAGGTCCCACAGCATGGTGATGCCGTCCTTTCCACCGGACGCGGCCAATGAGCCATCAGGTGAAACAGAGACAGTGTTGATGTAGCCGGTGTGGCCGTAGTGGTTGGTCTTGAGCTTGAATTTCGAGAGCTCCCAGACCTGACGGAGATTGTCAGCGTTCGGTACCAAGTCAAAATGAACGCAAATAAGAGAAGGTCAGAGATCTTGGTGATTTGTGTAGTCTCATTGGGTGATACCCTCTGAAGTAGCAAATATGTTGTAACATCACACCGAAAGAGTGGTCAAAGCTAGAATATATGAAAATGAAGCTCACCTTGACCACCTTGTCCCAACCGCAAGAGACAATGACGGGGTTCAAGACATTAGGGCTGAAGCGCACGCATGATACCCTGTAGAGAGGACATCCTGCGTTAATACCTCGCGGAGCACCAAACCCTAATCTGCAACTCACCACTCGGTGTGGCCATCCTCCTTGATGTCAAACTTGCACTCTCCAAGTGTGTTCCAGAGCTTGATTGTCTTGTCGCGCGAGCCAGAGACAATCTGCCGGTTGTCAGCGCTGAAGCTGACCGAGAGGACATCAGAGGTGTGGCCGACAAAACGGCGCGTTGTGAGACCGGTATTGAGATCCCAGAGGCGAAGGGTGTGGTCCCATGAGGAAGAAAGCGCGAACTGGCCGTCGGACGAGATGACAACGTCAGACACGAAATGGCCGTGGCCGTGGAGGATGCGCTTAGGGTAACCATACGAGTCCTCGTCGCGCGTCAATTGCCAGACGATGATGGTCTTATCTGCGTTGAGTCGTGTCAGACCACATCAGCCATGTATTCGACCTAGCGAACGTACCGCGGGACGCAGTCAGGATCATGTCCGGGTTCTCGGACGAAGTGGCGATGGCGGTGACCCAGCCCTTGTGGCCGGCCATCGAACCGAGATAACGCAGGGATTCCGTCATGCTGGCGAGTGTATGGGGAGGATTGAGGAGGGCGGCGGCGTCGGTCTTGAGCTGCTCGTCGCTGTTACGGCCCTGCGTGGAATGGCGGGAGAGCGTGACAGCCACAGTGACTGGTACTGTACAGCCCCGGCAATCGCCGAGATCAAAGTTCACTGGCGCTTTCGCTTCCTAAGTTCAGCGGGCGCTTGCGAGGTGAGGTAGGAACCAGGGAGAGGATTCGGCCGGGCAAGCACGCGGCTTTTTCCGCCGTGCATGAAAGGTGCTCGGGTCTGGATCGCCAGTGTCCGGGGTCCTTGCATCGGTGCCCAGGCTCCTGATTCGCTGGCCGGCGATCCGGGGCTTCCGAGCGCGTCTAAGCCGAACTCTCGAGCGTGAAGTGGCGGCGTAGCAGCCTAACGAGGGGGGGGCACGACTACACCACCACTAAACACTAAAAAAAGGAGTGGGTGAGTGGGTAAAGAAACTACGAGACGAGCTGGTAGCGAAGGTCGTGGCGGGTGGGAAGAGACGTAGCGCGTACGTCAGTTGAGCGCATCTCTTCTGCGCCCGCCTGCTTAGTAAGCAAGCGTTCGGCCCAGCGCTCGTTCCTCGTTCTGGTCCTGAACTTCACTTGTCCTCATGCTCTACGCAGTATTTTGTGCGATATATGTAAGTCACAGAGATATTTTCGGACAGGGTTCTCGCCTGCTTCAGCATTCAGAACTCTACGGTCATAATATGCACGAAGTCTACTACTTCAAGAATGTAGGAGAAATGGTGAGTTTTGCGTCCCAACTTCTTCCCCACAGCTGTTTTGCCTATGATACAAATGCTTGACGGGAATGAACTCGCAATGATGCTTGATTTTAAGGGTGTTTCCCTATGAGACCACATTTTTTCCACCAGAATCTCTGATTATTCATCTTTCATATATGAGCATATGTTCGTACTCACTCAACGCTTTATTCACACGCCCTTGTGCAAGTGTCTGCACGAGATATCAATGAAACGATTGTGTTGGACACCTTATGAGCGTGCTATGACTTCTTCAGCGCAAACGGTACAGGAAGGCAACCAACCGCCACCTGAAGGCCTGAAGCTTTGAAGAGCCATCGTCGATATCTGACCATGTCGACACGAAACCCATATGTCTGATTGTGTAGATACGTGTACGTACAAGAAGCTAATCGACGCGTACGTCCTGAGTTTGCGGACGCCCGGTGTTGGGTTCGTAGGGTCGCGACGCGCATCTTGCTCAGACGCGGTCACGTGCATCGATCGCGGAGCTAATCTTCCGATGCTTAGGGCTGTTGACTCGCTTCCTCAATTCCTTGGTCGTGACCTTTACGTTTGCGGCAAGGCAATTGAAGGATAGGTCAGGATCTTTGTGACATTCTATTTGACAGCCGTCATGAGGATCCCTGTGATCAGTGAGTGAGAATTGTCGGAGTGGACGACAGATAACCGACTTTGCAATCCTATCCTTGGTGCAGTTGACACAGATCCCGGTGTTGATGATACCCTGGCCATGTACGAGTCTTTTATATATGCAATGAAAACACACTGATCACAGCTCATTTTAAAGACTACTGGCATTGGCTTCTCCAGAACTAGAGGTCCTCGCCATAATCATCTCCTTTGGTACGTACCTAAATACCATCATAGTACAGTGTAATAGGTCCTTTAACGTGAGTGATCTTTAGGTAACACTGACATTGAATCATCATAGTACGTGATTTCAGCATGCTCGTTCTGCTATCACCGACTCTGCTAAACAGTCTGAACATCCTGAAACTCTATAAGGCCATCGCGAAACATTTGGAGCAACACCCGGAGGATCATGCACGTTTCCCTGGCTACTCATCCTCCACCAAGATAATTCTTGCCAAGGGTGCGGATCATCCTTTAAAAGGCGATTTGCACAGCGCACAGTACTTCCACGGCCGGTAAGTGCCGCGAAAGGCACATTCTTGCCATGTATTCTAATCAACTCGTGCATCATCGTGCAGAGATGGTCTCACAGACATCACGCACCGGCACCCAGATTTAGACATCAAGGATATCCCGCAGACCCATTCATACCTACACTTTGCCAACAAGACTGGAGTGGAGGTTGCGGCAGAGCTCATAGCTTCTCGGCCCACGAGGAGTGTTACATATCTTGTTTTGGGGCCGATGACGAACCTTGCACAACTTATGCGCCGGCATGGAGACGTCATAAGGAGCCGTATCGGCCGTATCGTCTGTATGGGCGGAGCCTTGGACGTTCCTGGTAACACAAGTCCGGTCGCAGAATGTATGTGATGCATATTGCTCGGACCATAATGCAAACTGATACATTTTAAAGTCAACTTCTTCGCCGACCCATATGCTGTGCGAGAGCTTCTCACTCCCACCTCGCCCGAGATGGGCCTTCCACTCGAGCGCTTTCTTCTGCTACCCCTCGATCTCACAACTCCGCACGAGCTGCCGTTCCCTTACTACAGAGACAAGGTCGATGCCGCTTTCGAGTCAACAAAAAAGCCGTCGAGAAGCCAGGACAAACCTCCCCTCGTTCACTTTACGAGCGCGTTTCTGGAGCGCACTCGCGAGATTATGATTGAGTTCGGAAAAGACGCTATGGAGTTGCACGACATTGTGGCGCTGTGGTGTGCTATTGAGAATCTTCCTTCGCCCGACGACGCCGTGGGCGCCATTCCGACATTGCAACCGGGCTGGCGGGCGACGAAGAGAAAGTTCGAGGTGGAACGGTCAGCGCATGCTCTCTTGATGACGATCGTCAGGCGAATTGCTAACGTCTTCTTTTCAGTGTCGGCGAGTTGACGCGCGGCATGCTAGTGGTGGATCGACGAGACGATCCAGGAGCGTACGCTCCTGGTGTGAATCGTGCTGAAGTGCAGGCGGAGCTTGACCGACACCACTTTCATCACACAGGTGACTACGAGTCTACAGCCGTGCCAGCTCAGGTCGAGGTCGAGCGGTCCGACCAGACGGAACCTTTGCCTGATAATCCAGCTGGTATTGCCTGTGTTGTAGAGACCCCAGGCTCAAGAGCACTGGTCAAGCTGATGATGGAGAGAATATGGGGAACTCAAGGTTATGCCTTTGATGATATGAGCTGATGCAGATTTTAATAAGATGCGCATGGGCCATATAGCGATACCGATGCGCTACAGTACAGATATTCTGAGTATACAGATACATCATAGTCCTAAGAGTTTGCGTGCTGCTCGGCTCGTGTGAACCTAGATGACGTCTAGTAGGCGACGTGCTGGCTACTGAATGCACGTAGACAGGCCACCGCATTGGATCGAGGTGCGGTATCATACAGACACTGCTTCCACGAACTCCTCTTCTGATTTCTTGTCTTCTATATCTGGCGGCACCTTTTGATCGCCATCGTACTCCAATTCTCCCTTTTTCTCTTTCGCCTCCTCAAGTTCGTCGACGTTTCGGAAGTGGAACCCATAGTGACGTGCCTGCCATATCACCATTCCTCTTTGAAATAGTCAGATATCCGTCTGACAAAACAGCAGATGAAGGTGATGCCTACGCAGCGTAAAACGTCATCGCCACGTAACCCGTGAAGGGAACGATGTACGAATGCGCAGTGTTGTGGTCAGCGATGGAACCCTGGGCAGGAGGGTACCATGCGCCACCTCCGACACCCTAAAAAATCGCGTTTCTGTGTTTCAATGTAGAGCTCATCGATGCAAGATGCGGTCACTGACCATGACGACCAGACCCGATCCACGCTTCGTGTGCCGACCCAGGTTTTTAGTCGCCAGCGTGAAGATCACCTGTACCGTGCGTCGGTGCTAATCAGTAAATCCGGATATCTCAGAGCAAAGTGTAAAGCTTACAGGATAGCAGATCGACTCGAAGAAGAAGAGGCAGTAGATACATCCGACACCTCCCCAGCCCGGAACGTAGGCGACACAGACGGCGAAAACGGAACAAGCAACGGCGTAAAGGGTGAGCAGTAGCGCGGGGTCGATGTAGTTCAGCAATACAACTCCGACGAATCTACGATATCACAAATTTGATGAGCAGACGAAATAAAGCGTGATTCAGCGTGAACTGACCGGCCGACCGTGAACGTGATCTGGCAATACGAGTACATTTGACTGGCTAGAGAGCTGGAGATTCCGAGGCCCTGGTCCTCGAAGAAGTTGGTTGCCATGGATGCGACGCCAACTTGGGCCCCACTACATCATCGTGGTTAGTACGTTTGCCATCACGCAATAAAGCGAAGCATACGTGTAAGTCGTCTGCGCGATCCTGTTGTGCACAGCATTTATCAAGCATTCTGATGATAAATGAAAGATAGAATGCGAACTCACCAGCCGAAAATACAGTGGTACTGTTTCCAGAAGGGCTCTTGATCAGCTTTCGATCCCGCATTAGCCATTGCGGCCGAGAGCGCTTCCTCCGAAATTTCCGGCAAATGGCAGAAGCTGTGCATGAGAAGCAAAGGCTTGCTTAGGATATATTGCGAGCGACGTCGTGATACTCACTAGAACAAAATGTTCAACATCAGGCCAAGCCCTGCGACAGCAACATACACCCTGCAAAGCGTAGATATCAGATTATATCATTCAATAACGGTAGGACTCACCATTGCACCGTGTAGAGCGAAGTTGCATTCTTCCCTTGAAAAAACCACTTCGACGCAATCATTGGTCCCGCAAACGAAGCAACTCCTTGCCAACCTTGACTGAAGTTCAAGCGCGCGGCTGCATACTTCGGTGATCCGAGCACGCTGATGTACGAGTTCGCCGCTACTTCAAGGCATGACAGTCCACACCCTGAAACACCATCAGGGCTCAGCGTGTAAGGCGTAATCGTTACACGCACCAATAACAAAGGTGCAACCAACGAATCCACCAAATGTCTCAAACTTCGCCGAAGGCCAGAAGAATATGGCGCCTATTGCCTGCATCAGTATCACAGCATCAACGTCACTGAAAGCAATATATCACGGACCTAACGAGTAGTACGTCAAGCCCATATGAATTCCTTTCTATAAGATGTGATCGCATCAGATCCAGGCGACTGCACATGCGGGTAAAGAGCCAGCAAACCTTGTAGCCATATTTTCTCATCTACCATTGATGAGAAACATGCGTCAGTAATCAGCTGTGCACACTCACGAAAATCCCGGCAATTGGTGCATAGACAAAGTAAGCTCCCTTAGAGGCAATCAGCGGGACCCATGAGCTTCTCGCTTATCATACGTACAAAATACGCAAGCTGGAGCATCGTGCTCTGCAGCTTCGTGATGCCAAAGACCACTTGGAAGTGCGCGTTGAGGACATCAAGGAGCTGCGAAGTTCATCATCATCAGCGACACTTGACGGATAGCAACGGAGTCCTGCTCACGCCGTATGCGAAGCCCCATGTGAAGAACAACGATGTCACCAGGGCAAATGCATACACCCATTCCCTGCGCGACAGCTCAGCTCCTTGAGAGGAAAATTACCTTTTGTCTCGTTCTTCGTTCGTTGAATAAATACACACCTGTCGTCTCCGCTGGCATGGCGGGAAAGCCGGGGGTGTGTCCCTTGTTTGAAAGGTCTCCAACCTAAATACTTCCGGACGAGTGCGGGGCCCCATACTTTGCGGGGTAAGCCAAGCATAGGGAAGCATATACGAGATGTAGCCTCGAGGTGCCCCGCGTGACGATGCACCCATTCGAGCACGGTCCGAGGAGCGCGACTTCTCTTCCCCCATAGTCACCGCTGAGTTGATAAAGGAGCACCTTGTGATGTCCTGAATCGGGTGTTGCCTACACGGAAATGGACAACGCAGCCACTGGGTGCACTCACGGGTTGTAATTTGAACTAGATCACCTGCCCGATTTGGAGGCTGGTGCTTGATCCCAGTTGGTCTCGTGACGCGCCCGGCGCGACTCTCCGCGTCTCAGCCACTGCCCTTGATTTTCCACACCGTGGAACGTACATTTTTGACTGATGAAATCCCAAGGATCCACTCAGCCGCAGCAGATTGCCCCTAGCCTGGCCCGTTTTCTGGTGGTCAGCAGCAGCAAACTAGCTCACAATTCTTCGGCAAAGAACTAATCGCGTTCGCAGGACAGATACCCTGCTGTCAAAGCGCGCTATCCCGATGAAGGCAGGCGAAAGTGGCGGTTGCGAGTAGCGGACGCGTTCTGGGCTCTTCCCTTTGAACAAAAGGCTGCCTATGCGATAGTATGTCAGGATCTTCCGAGATTAGCCATCATCGGTCTCTTCACAGAACCGCACTTTATCTCACCTTGCTTGCCGCAGCAGGGCCCTAACACCGCAGCCAACGAAGATGCAGAGTTTGTCACGGATGACGATCCGCTCCACGCACTAACTGCTGACGTCCCCGGTCTCGGCATTCTCCTGCGCACGGACTACTCAAACGAAGACGCGTGGCAGACATTTGGCGAGAAGCTCCAAGAAGGCGAGGCGGAATTCTCAGTCATGCGGACACCCGAAGACGCGACAATGACGGATGCACAGGGCTCCATTTCCACAAAGAAGGACGTTGATGAAGCAATGGACCAAGACGAAGGCGATGATGACAAGGACGAAGACGAAGGAGAAAGTTCAGCGTCACTCAGAATATTCACCGTTATCAATGCTGCTCTGTCGGACCGAGCACGCTTCGCAAACCTCTCTAACCTTGGTGCCTTGCGGCTTTTGAACGACGTCGATATTCGTCCAGCGCCTACACCTCCACCGGGCACGAAACGCATCAAGCCTCCCAATAGGCTAGTGGACCACGACGGATGGCAAGAGGTGTACACCGGGAAAACTGTATGGATATACGACGCTCGATCGAACACGGACCAATGTGTACGTCTCGTGAGCCAGCAAAGCGACTTTTACGGGACTGCGACGTGAGTGACTCCCCTTCCTTTGTCCTTCTTATTTCCGGTCCACCGGATCGAGAACCCGTCAAGTCAATTACTAACGCCGTCTTTCCCTCCCTCGTGCAACGATTCATTACTTCCTTCCGACAGCGCGGACAGCTGGCGCGCACGCGTAAGCCACATCTGCGAGCTGCAAGTGAACCTCGCTGCGGGCGCCCTAACCATCGACTTTGGTGGGCTCGACCGCTGGGACTACAACGAACGCTCACGGAACCTTGCGGAGGCGATGCTATCTCTAACATAGAATAGATGAGCTGAGCTGCGCTCGCAGTTTACGCCATCTACGCCGTTAAGTTTGAGAACGTGAGTACTTGATCAAATACTGGCGGTAGATGGTGCCACTCTCAGACGCAGAACGCGCCATTGTGATATGGTGTGATAACAATGCCATGGCTGCGGTGTTGAGGGAGTTGTTTCTGTCATCTTGTATTTGATGCATCATGCATGTCACGATCACGTCGGGCTTGTCTTTAACGCCCCTCGTGGGAGTTTGCGTTGTCCTTATTCAAATTTGGGATGAATGTGAGTGACTGAAGTCACCAAACGGAACATAGTGATTTGCAAAGGCACAGCGTCGGCCCTTTGGACATTTCCTGTGCATGTGCCAAAGATGACCGGCTATGGTCCGCGCATTATGTGCCTGATGCAAATGGGACACGCCAAGCTGTCGAATTCACGGCACTTCTGCGCTTCTTCTCCGAGCATTGGTCGTATTCACATTAACTTAAGGCCAGCCACAGCCTAACCGTCACTTTTATGAAATTCGTCATGCTCCTCCCTCATCGGGATTAGCAACGCTCGGCATTCCGTGCGGACGCTGGTGTGTTAATAGACTGATCACCATCCATCAGGAGAGACACTCTGAAACGCTTCGCACTCTCATACAGCTTATAGATAGTGATTTGTCGGATCATCAGGAACCGTTACCGTGTTTCCAGACATGCACAGCACTCACAGCCCCAAACGAATGGCGCCGCGGCTCATCTCGAACTCTGGCCAAAGTAAGTAGAGTATATGCAACAAAGTGGGCATCATGAGATTTTGCACACATACTGTAGCCCTTACTGTATCTACATTGACTTCACTTTATGCACAGAGTTAGACGCTCAGAGTCCTTGACATTTCCTTCGTCGACGTACCCAGGGCCCGAAAGTATCAATTTTCTCAGGTCGTCGAACGTGCAAAATCTAACGCCAGCAGTTCCGAGATATGTGCATATGCCTTGAACCTGGATCCGTTCTGGTTCTTCTGACCGTACGGTGGTGTCTATCTGTTGCAACGATACAAGAGCGCCCGCAATAACGATTGCATCAAGTCTTGGTGACCTCTCCAGGAGCAGTGCGTTGCAAGCGGCTCCGACAGTATCGCTGAACGTTTTCACCCCGACCAGCCAGAAGCCGCAGCGATTCACTTTGTCCAGCAGGCAATAAGGCCCCTTTGCACCAAAGGTCATGGAGTCAATGTGGAGGCAGTAATAATTGGCGATCAGACCATCAGATGTGCAATAAGCAGTCTCCTCCGTCGCGGATGCTACAGCATCAATCATGAACGATGCAGGTGCCCAGCCAAATCCTGGATTCTTGAGCTTCTCTCCATCATGTATGAAGATGATGCTAGAAGGTATTGTTTGGAGGTCCAACAGCAGCGCCTTCATGCGCTCACTGCGTGGCGTGTCGACTATTTTCTTTACGTTGACACCGAGTAAGCTCGCAATTGCTAGAGGCTCGTCCTCTATCTTACTCGATGTGCGCCTCTGAAGCGACTGGACGACTTCGGAAAGACTGAGCTTGAAGTCTTTCTGAATCCGTTTCCTCTGGCTCCAAAGCCGGGCAACTTCCAGGAGCAGGGGTGTTTGCACTGGATCAAGGTTCGTGTCGTCGTCGTTCCCTGCTTTGAGAAAGTCTTTGAAGTCTACCACGCATCCACCGAAAAGGAACTTCAACTCTCGTGCCAGAAGGGCTTCCTGTAATGTCCAAAGTCGCTGAACCCATGCCGACGCCCTGATTGCTAACAGCCTTCGCTCTATCGGAGCGTCGACTGGACACGAATATATGCCGGCATCAATTACTAGCACGACCTGTGCTTCGCTGTAAGTGCGGGCCATCATTCTGATGGCTTGCTTGCGCGAAGTACGATCCTCTGGGATGCAAAGTGAGTCGATCCAGAAAGGTGCTCCTGGCATCAACGACTCTGTCAGAGCCGCTAGTCGTTGCAGCTGACAGGTAGGCAGCCCGCTCTCGGTAGTGCTCCCAAGCCCATCAGCCCACACATGCGAAATGGCGACATAGGGAGTGTTATCGCTGGACATGCAGATGACCTGCAGCGGTTGATCATCGGAGCCGATAACCTTGATTACAGGAATCTGTTCGGCTAAAATGGCAGCAGTGACTTGTGATAGTGGAGGTTTGTGAAATAAACATCCGCAGTCTTCCGAGACGTGGCGAGTGCGATAGGTTCCAGGAACGACATCATTCGCCTTGCAGAGCAGCATTGTACAGGTTTCGTGTGAACGATATGTCGTCGGGCGAAAAGGTGGAGGCTGACTATGCGCGTACCCCAGAACGCATAGTCTATCCGTAAATGTCTCGATGGTGAATGGACACCACCCCCTCGCACGCATTTCTTCGCCGTATACGTCTTTGGACCGGTATTTACGTGCCCATCCCCAATGAGGAGCACGAGTGCCTTCAAGCGACGTGTAATGTTTGAACAGCCGAGACAGGGTTAGGGCTTCCCCTATAGCAGCAATCATATACTGAATCTTGCCAATGGTCCCTTCCTCCAATCCAACGCCATGGAGTAAGTTCTGCTCCGCATCCATAAAACCGGTCAGCAAGAGCTCCTGCGCTTGCATCAACGTGTCCTCGATTTGGTCGTGCCAAACCTGCAAGGCGGACCTGTCTTCTTTGAGGTCATTCAGGCGCCGTCGAAAGTCTGCGAGGACGGGAGAAAGATTCTCGCAGCTGATGACCCTCTCACCGGTGGGCGAGGTGCGAATGAGCTGCTCTTCTCGCAGCTTCTGCCCTGTAACGGCCTCGACTAGTCCGAAAGTCAGGAGACTTTGGAAAAGGGCTGCTTCCTCAAAGCCAATATCGTGGTCCGATGTAGGGGAATATGGACGACGCCGATACCGGCGGCACGCATCGTACTCCGCGAGAGAAAGGCAGAGACGGTACCCATTGTGTGGGCCGCCAAGCCATACGGTATCCCGACACCAGGAAACAACATCACGGTTGGCACCCTTGTCTGGTGCGTCATCTGGATGCTGCATCTGCTAGCCACCGACCGCGATGAATATACGCGTTGACCGCCCTTGAGCCTGGCTTCGGACTCACCTCGTGAAGAGTGCCCAGAAAATAGGTACAGGTAGACTAAGTATCGAGGTAGCACTTGAACGGGGAGTTGGCAATAGAGTGCATGCCAATATATTTGGACATGTGCATTGCACGATGTAGCAGATAGTGGCTCATTGAAAATTCACTTCTTCAATCTGGCCAATTCAGTCGCTGCGGTACATGTAAGAATAATAATGACGCTCGTTTCATGGGTCCAGGGCATCCACGTGTGGTTCACGCATTCTGGCCTCATCATTTGTGCAGTGGGGGATAGTCCGACCGAACATGAGCCCGAATAGGTAACGTGTGTTGGGTGAATCAAATTCGAGCGGCATCTTGTGGTCACGCTGACATTCTGATAACGACAGTCTGCGTTGCTTGGGCCGCAGCATGTCAGAGCTCAACCCCCGTTAAGTGCTTGTACTCGCCCGTAGCAGACGCTACGCATATTCGCGCGAAACTGCTACCGCATAGTACGGACCAGCACGTTAGCATGGAGGACTCCTAATGGATATACGGACAGTACTACATCGTCGTGTCCGGAATATGTGCGGCCCGCGGAGTGGCTTGAAAGCGCTGCAACGTGTCTTGCTTCGTCCTTCTCTGTCTGTGCCCTGCAACTGAATCTGCAACGCTTCCGACCCATAGTCGGATCCTGGATGACAACTGACGCCTGTCAGCGTTGCTTCCTGAATCGATGTACTGTTTATCTCCGACAGAACGGCGCGCGAGGGCGCGCGGGGCCGCGTTCGCAGGGGGACAGGTTCGCAACAGGCGCACAAGCTCATCGCCTTCAGTGAGCTCTAGACGGATGAGGCTACGAGCTAGCAACTTCGCGGAAATAGTGCTGCTTCTGACACGGCGGAAACGAGCTGAGCTACGCTCGCGGTTGACGCCATCCACGATCGTCTGAATTGAGATATCGAACGTCGGCGGTAAACGTGGCACCCTGAGTGTCATTGCCGTGATATAGGGTGGTGGTGGTGGTGATGATGATTGTGATGGTAAGGCCGTGGCAATGCTGTTGAAGGAAGAGTGCCTGCCATGATGTGGTATTTGATGTGTGATGCGTGTCAAGGCCGTCTCCGTGATCTTGATGCTCCTCGTGGGATTTGCGTTATCCTTCACTCAAAGTTTGCTGAGCGAATATGAATGAATGAGGTCAGACGGACGTAATGATTTGCGGGAAGGCACGGCATCGGCCTCCTGTGCGTTTCCTGTGCATCCCATTATGCCATGGTCCGTGCGCGTTATGTGCCTGATGTCGCGAACAAGGCACAGAATGTCATTGAATTCGCCGCACGTCCATGCTTCTTCCACGAGGATCGTCAGTTAACCTATCGTAGATTGCAGGGAATTCGTCAGCACCCTTCCTTGTCGGATTCGCAGGCCCGCTGAAGGTCCGCGGCATTCCGCAGAGACGCCAGCGAGTGGTTGACATCGGGCATCAAGCGAGAGCTACCCAAACGTGTAGCGCTGCCAAGCTTTCAAGAGACGTTACGCACACCAAGCAGAATTCGCCACTCGCCCTGAAACATGCCTAATGGTCCAAATGGAGAAAGAGTATTCGTCATCAATCGTCACTAGGTCTGAGTTCGCTCTGAGCAGTGGCTATGGTGTAACAAGATACGAGACAAATTAGCAATTAGTGTACAGTACAAAGCATCGACACATTACACTAACGTTGATACAACATAGCAAATCATAGCGGCAGCAGCACAGCAGCGGTGGTATGGCAGTATAAAGATACTAAAGCAGTGGTGCGTGCAAAGTAAGAGATAACATATAGCGCATGAATGGAGATGGGAATGCAAAGCATCAGGGCGAGCGCGGAACGATATGGGCTTGCCGCTGAGGTTCTTCTTGGTCGTAGACTGTCTGTATCCGTGTCTGTGCGTCTGTCTGTCTCTTGAAACAGGGATCATCCGGCGTTGGTCCGTTCGTCAATGGGAGCGAGATATCCTGTGAATGCGTGACGGCCCCGATATCGGCGTTGACGACGAGGTGCTACGCTGGCTCGCCTCCGATCCTGAAAATGACGTCGAGCGCATCTCCGACATCCGCGAGGACGTGCCGTGCGAGCCGCTCTCCTCAGCGTCGTCCACGAGCTGGTCTTCCTCTTCCTCCGCTAGCCCGCGGCAGTCCAGAAAGCCCCCGCAACATTGCTCTTCTGAGTACCCACTCGAGCCTGGCCCGGCTGAGCTGGACCCAATTGGCGTCGACGGGCGGGGGTCGACCTGCATCGGGCGCGCCGGGGGCATCATGGGCGCCTGCATATGAGGTGACTGCATGTGTGGTGAATGGCGCTGCTGATATGCTGGTGCTGTCCCAGCTGGGATTCCCATTCCCACCGCTGCCCCTGACCCTGATGATGACGCCGAGATGGGCGTGGGCTGTTCGTGATACGGCACCTGGCCGGGTGTGGGGTCGTTCCTAAAGAGATCACGGTGGAGGGAATGTAATGGTGGGAGCTCGATGCGAGCTTGCGGGTGGGGGGACGGGAGGCGGCGGTGCGACTGAGATAGGGGCGACGGCGTGAAGGCGGGCGTTGCGAGAGAGCTAGGGGTATGTGTATGGATAGGTGGTAGCTGGAGGGAACTGCCCGATGGGTCGGATAGGCGGTTGAAGGCGACGCGCTGGAAGTGCGCGAGCGAGGACGACGCGGCGGAGAGGTTGTGCATGAGCTCGGACGTTGCTGCGGCCTGCGGAGACAATTCGGAGGAATTTAGGGAATAGAGAGCAGTCAGCAGGGGAAGCAGAGACGCCGCAGCACGGGTGAATTACGCACCACTTCAGGGCTGGGGCTGGCTCTGTGCACGATGGGAGGCCCGATGGCCTGGAGGCGGGCAGTGAGGAGGTTAACCTCGTCCTTGAGACGGACGTTCTCCTCCTCGGCGACACGGACGCGCTCCTCGAGATCAGCAACATAGCGGGCCTTGCGGGCGCGGTAGTCGCGCTGCTGGAGGAGTGCGCGAGAGGGCGGGATGGTCATGTCTTTTCTGCGGCCGCGGGTCATGATGTGGGGCGTCGGGGATGGTGGTAAGGGTCGTTAGCGGGGTGGGGGGCGATGGCGAGTGGAGAAGGGAGTGAGTTGTGGCGACATAAGAGAGGGAGAGGGCGCCAGCTAGCTCATTTCCGTGATGGTCGTGTCCTGGCTGGCGGTGAGTAAGCGCGCGAAGACCCAGCGCGCCGGGCTGTGACTCGTCCGGATCCGACCTCGGAGGGCCTGCCCATCGCCGTCCATCATCAACTTCCCTTTGACCAGACAAATTCCCGCGTTTCATCGTGAAGAAAGATCTGATAGATGCAGCCAGATGCAACAACAACAATACTTTTTTTAATTTCCCCTCGGTGACAGATTCCGCCCAGCAGCCACTGGCAGTGCACGCTGCAGCCGAAACGTGCGCGCCACGCTCGTTCACGCTAGCCGACTGGCCGGCTGTGCATTTTATATCCTCCACATCAGACAAAAACCACTCCGAAAACACGCAAGCGAATTCGTTGCGGACCAACGGAGATGTGCTGCGCTGATGAGCTGTGCTGCCCCTTGATGTGATCTTGCCCGCCCTCTGGCCACACGGCTTCCCCGCCACTTCCCGCGGTCACGCCGATCATCCGCCGCCACCACTAAAGTCATTGTCACTGCCAGCCTCGTCACCCGGCGTTACATGCTCCTGTCACCCCCTCTACATTCCAACTATCATCTCCTCCCTTTGGTGCTTCTTGTTCCTATACCACACTCCCTACCCCTTCCATTCCTTTGCTCAAATGCGCTCCCTCCTCGCCCTCTCGCCCGTCCTCCTTTTCGCACAGCATTCCATCGCGGCGCCGGTCACCCCCCGCGCTGTCCTCAGCCCGGTGTTCGACGCTGTATCCAACCATGCATCCCATCCCGCCGAGAATGCGATCGTCTCGGTGCGCATCACCATAGCATACATCCCGCTGATCGTCGTCCGCTAACGAAATTATTCCATACATATCTTACAGACTCCTGATGATCATTCCATGTCCAGACGCGCATACACAGGACTTGGATACGATGGCTACCCTGGATATGATAGCTACAATGGCTTCTCTTCTATCACAGGCGAAGACGGCGCGAACGTGGGCTACGTAGATAGCACGACCAACGGATATCCCGACGCCACCGGCGACGGTTACCCCCACGACGCTGCAGACAGCGGGTATGCTGATACTGGCAACCCAGCTGAGCCCTCCGCCGCGACCGGCAATATCAGCGCTGACACTGATACCAACGGCAGCCCCGATCCCAACCCGAAGGAAGCGACTACGACTGATACCAACTCGGGAAACAGCGCGAACACCGGTGATGCCTCTGGCGCAGGCGTGTCTGGCGACGCGGATAATGCGAACAACGTGTCTGGAAGCAATGGCGCTGACAATGGAATTCCTGAAAGCGGCGCCTCAGGCAATGGAGCTGGTTCTGGTTCTGATTCTCAGTCTGCTGCTACTGGTTCCGGACACGGCTCTGGCTCTGATCCTACGTCGACGTCCACCTTCCAAGGCGCTGACAGCGCTGGCACGGGGGCTTCGAATATTGATACGACAGACGCTGGCTCTGGCCCTGATGGCACCGCCGGCGCGTCCGGAAAGGACACCACGGCTGGAACGGGCAACGCAGATGACGGTTCGCTCGTCCATGTGAATGCAAATGGAGACAACTCGAACGGCTCTACGGACAATGCCAGCTCGTCAGACAATACGAGACACCACACCGCGGCTCCAGGCACTGGCAATTCAGGCGACTCCACTCCGGATAGCGCGGACAATGGTTCTCTCGTTGATGCAAACGCTGGACAAACCAATAACGGTGACTCCGCAAGTGCGTCTGCGGACAGCACGAACAGTGGCTCTCTCGTCGATGCAAACGCTGGACAGACCAATAACGGCAACTCTGCAAATGCGTCTGCGGACAAGACGAACAGTGGCTCTCT